CCTCTGCGAGCGCTGCCATCTCTGCCAAGATCTACGGCACGCCCCAGCCGACGCAGGAGAAGCTGATTGCATCTGCCTCTGGCGCCTACGCCGAAGCCATCGCAGCTGCCAGCTCTCGCTACGACGAGGCCATCAAAGCGGCTTCCAAGGCCATTTACGGAACGGTTGCCGCCAAGCCTACTCCTTCCTATGACTGGGCCCACGTCGAGGCCATCGCTTCCCAGCGCCTCAACGAGGGGCGCCTGTGGGCCGAGCAACAGTACGAGAGCGCCAAGATTGCGCTTGGCCTTGCCACTGCTACCCCTACTTCCCAGGTCGAGAAGCTCCTCGATCAAGCCAAGTACAACTACTACGCTGGCTTGGGCGTCGCCCATGCTCGCTACTCGGAATTCTTGGCTGCTGCATCCTCGGCCCTGAGCGCTGCGACCGCGACCCCTACTCCCACCAACGTGGCCGGCACCGCGTCCTCTGTCGCCTCTGTTGCTACCCGCTCAGCCGACGCCGTGGCCTCGGGGGCGCAAAAGGAGGCTCTTGCCGTGGCATCGGCAGTCAGCGACGGCTTCTCGGCAGCTGCCTCGATTGTTAGCAATTCCGTCTCAGCTGGCGTCCAGGAGGTTGTAGAAGCTGCGCAGGCCATCGAAAAGGGTGTGTCGGATACCTGGGAGGCTGTAGTGAGCCGCGCAAGCGTCCAGATCTACGGCAAGCCCACCCCTACCGCATGGTACGACAGTGCCGGACAGTACGCGTCGCAGGCCACTGCCGCCGTTGCCGAGAGCCTCGCTGCCGCGCAAAACCGCGCTGTTAAGCAGTACGAGGAGATGAGCAAACTTGTCTCGGAACTGATGGTTGGCAAGGAGACTACCTACTCGGAGAGCGTTTTGGCTCGCCTGCAGGCCGCCTATTCTACGGGCATTGCCTCCGCCGCCAGCCTCGCCAGTGCTGCCTCGGCCACTGTATCATCGGCTGCTTCTGCTGTGACGGACGCCGTCAAGGAGACTGTGCGGCACGGCCGCGATGAGTTGTGAAGACGTCTCTCTTCACCTTTGACACGACGAAAAAAAAAAAACAGTACGATTGCACGAGTTATAGCACACGAAACCATCTCAACACACGCCTGCAAAGGCAAAAACAAAACACCCGATGACGCTCTTTTACGTATCAGATACCCTCGCGCCTCGAGTCTCGGGGCCGACTTGTCTTGAAGATGTACTTTTCTCTCCTGTTCCCTCATCTGGCTACACAGCAGCCCCGACGCTGAAGTTACTGAAACTGTCTGTCGCCACCCCGTCCTCTGTAAAAGGTTGAGCACCCGATTTCTTGTTCTCGTGTCTGAGGCTGAGGAGGGAGGGGAGGTTGATTGTATTACACACTACGGCAGGGCAAGGAGCTGGCGTTTTTTCTTTCTTTTTCATTTGGCATTGGGAAACCGTCGTGGTTCTTTGGGAATACAATGACCGGCTGGCCCAATACTATTTTCCAAGTTTACTTTTTATGTACGCGCGCGTGTGTTATGTCTGCCTGTTTAGTTGAAGTATATGCCGATGGAAAATAGTCGACGACGTGTCGTTCCCGTGATGTCGCTCGTGAACCGGTGTGGAATGTAGTCGTGCTCTCGATGGCGATTTGTCGAACCGTCTGTGCATGTGCTACAGTCAGTCAGTCCCCCTACTTCTTGGGCGGTCTTTGTCTTCACGGCTGGATGATGTTTCGCGGCTACTTTTTGTCAAGTTACGCCCGATGGGCTTCTCTATCAAAAAAGGGCCGCGTCCTGGCAAGGATCGGGATCCCTACTTGGTGACATATAAACCCGACCCACGTATCCGCTCGAGACAGGGATTTTGCTCGGGTCTAGTACCCATATCGGACAGCATTCTTTTTCTTTCTTTCTCTTTTTTCCCCCTTTGAGACGAACCGTCAACAAACTAAACTATAACCAAAAAGAAAAGCCTACAATGCCGCCGTCGTCTGTAATTTGCCAACGACGTCGTGGATCTGATTACATACGGGGGCTTGCTCCGCGCGAGTCTTGAGGCGGTCAGACATGATGACCACCAGGAGGAATCTCCTGGTCAGCTTATCCAAGTCATCGAAGCGATGGGTGTTTACACAGGCGCCTGGACAGTACAGAAGAAGAAGAAGAAGAAAAATGAGAAAAAGGGGCAATAATTTTGATTCAAACCGTCCGTGGTGGAGGCAACGGTGATGTGGAATTGAAGCGGTCTTCAGCAGCCAGAAAGACACCCCCTTCCCCCCTTTCGCGGGCCAAGATGACGGGAGCAAGTGGTCAACGGAGATTGGCCATCCTGCATCGCGGTGAGTCGCGAGTCGCAATAGGCTAGGAGACCCGGCTTCAGTTACAGCATGTGAAGGGGGGTCCCGAGAAGCGTCCGGATTCGTCAGTTCGTAAAGACAGTCGACGGTCTCGCGGGTGATGGCCGAGCAGGCAGCAGAATTACCGGCATTTCGACATGTTTGATAGGCGGTCTGGTTGCGCCGGGCGTATCAGGAGCGGCAGAAAAAGGGGAGCAGATGCTGTCGTGGTCAGATTAGGTTAGGGAGGCTGCAGCCGAGAATCTACAAGGAGTCCTCCACGAAACGTGCGATTCGCCATTGGCCTTGCGATGTTGAAGACAACGGCAGGGTGCCTTGACACAGCAAACGGGTAATAGTGGCTCAGGTTCTCAGTGTATGGTTCTGTGGACTCAACCCGATACTTGGAGGTTGTTTCGGTATCGACCAACAGTCGACTGCCAGACAAGGGCCCAAAGAGGAAAGCCCGTATAATATGCGGAGACTCCTCATCCTTCTCCTCCTCCTGCACCTCCCTCTCCTCCGCCGGGTACCCTGACGAAAGCCCGTCATAGCTCATGGGAAAGACGGACAATTAAAAGTAACCGGATGCCGTTATGTAGATCTGTTACGCGGTGTTGTGTCCCCATACACGTGAGCTTTAGCGTTTAGGCAGCCAGATAAACAGGGAGAGGTGCCCAACTGCCGTGGAACAGCGGGTGGGCTTCCACCGCGGGACTCTTGGCTGACGGGACACTCGAGGGTTAGGTCTGTCCATGTTCTTTGGCCAACAGTCAATGTGATCTTGAGACGTGGGTGATGTATGGGAGGGGCAGCCTGGACAAGGAGTCCATGAAGATCAGGATGAAGAGGAAGAGGAGGAGGATGTGCTCTGGGACACGCAAAAAGGGACTTTGGCGCTGAATCATTGCTGTGGCTAGCGGCCAAGAAGAGTCAGTCCGTGTCGGAGTGAAGTGAGGTAGGATAATAGGTATGTAGTAACACGGACTAGCCGCTCATGGATGGATAACGCAATGGTCGTGGCGGGCAGGGATTGTGCGGACGGACCGCCGGAGGCGCGATACAGAGGCGGCAGACCGGGGGCACACAACCAACATCGGGCGTATCCAATACGGGGTTGTGAGTAAGGTACCTAGGTAGGTAGTGTAGGCAACGAGAAATGGGATTCCTGTCTTGGTTCAATGGGCTTTTGCGCAGGTAGGCCATGCTGATCACTGTGGATGCCGCAGATGTCTGTATTAGAGATGCGCTCGTTAGGTAGTAAAGTAGTCGAACAGGTTCATAGATAAGTGATAATACAGCATGAGAAGATGAGCATCATGGCAGAGATGCATGGTGCCGTCTTGACATGAAGATGATGCACGCAGCAGATATTCGGTACGTACTCGGCACGACGGTACCTCCGTCTCTTCACTTGTTCTTTCTTTTTATGAGGCGACGTCCTCCTACTCTACGAGTTACAATCATGAAGTACAGGCAAGTGAGAGGCAGGTATGAAGTGTTAGGCTGGATGGTGCGTATACGTACTTGCCTGCTGCCAGTTTTCGGCAGGCCCCGATTGCCCGGGGATCCACTTTGCAGGCTCCAAGATTACTGAACCAATCAGACCAGCTCGGCGCCGATGACCCACTTTGCACAAGCGGGTCTAGCCGAGACAGGCATAGAAGAGGGATCGCAGGCAGCAGCATTCCAGCCAGCCAGCCAGCAAGCAGGAGCAAGAGCAAGAGCAGGAGCAGGAGCAGGAGCAGGAGCAGGAGCAACGCACACACACCACACACACCACACGCACAAGCCACAATCAGAGAATTAGTCTGTCTCACCCCTTACGTTACTGGCTTTCCTTTCCAACATGGCCCTTCCTTTCTGCTTCTGTTCAAGTTAGACGTCTCCATAGCTCCGTCTTTGTTTATTTGTCCGGCCACCACCCCGGCAATATCGACATTAGTGTGGTTTTGGCATCGACATGCATTGTCATCATCACTCACCATTCCAACCGTACACAGACAATCCTCGCCGTCCGTCCATACCTGATGGATTCATTGTCTCCAGTATAGGGCAAAGACCGTCCCGTATACTGTAGGCACCCAAATAACTGCATCCTCCTCCATCCAACTGCGTCTGGTACCAGAAAACCTTGGGGGGAAGACCCCTCTCTTCCCCTCCCCTCTCCTCAATTGTCCTTGATCACCACCACCACGATCCGATCCATCCATTTAATTCCCTTCTCCCTCGCCGCCTCCGCAATCAGCGCAGCCATTGCCGCGTAATCATCTCTGCAACATTCCACATCCCGGGAAAGGCCTGTAAACTATAAGTCGTATTTCGCTTTCACCTACAATTCAACACACACACACTCCCACACCCAGAGAGGGTGAGAGAGAGAGAGAGTGTGTGAGAGTGAGAGAGCCCCGCCCGCAACAGCCTGGCCGAGCTGCACTCCCGGTTCTCAACGCCGACTCCGACTCCCGCCGGCCTGGGGTCATTCTCCGCTCCTCGCACATAAACAAACACGCACACCCGACTATGTCATCGTGAATCAAGTCGCCCCGACACACATACTCACAAAACCTTCTTGTCAGGCACCACCTGCTTGCTCCTTCATCTCCTCAACCGACCGACGTCTTACCTCGCCTCTCAGGTGAGGGGCGTCCCTCATTGTTTTTAATTTTCTCCACATCTCAACCCTCGACATGGAGGGCATCCGCACCACCGGTGGCTTCATGCAACGCCGCCTGAGTCGTCTGTATAATGACACAAAAAAGTCTTCGGATTTCGTCCAGGAGACGGCCAAGGCCCCCGAAGACCCCGAGATCAAATCCCTCTTCAGGAAACTACGCATCCAAAAGGACCGCGTCTCCGTCTGGGGCCTCGAATGGACCGACCCTAACCAGTCAGATGAGATTGACAGCTCATTGTCAAAGGCCGGATTGAGCGAGGTCGTCCACAGCATCTTGTCCAGAGTTCGGGAAACACTGTCCGAGTTGGATGCCCTGTGGAAGAGCTACACCAAACCCCTCGGCACCGTCTCAGAGAAGTCGGCCATAGACCGCAAGACCCCGTTCGTGACCTGGGACAAGGCCGTCTTTGCTGATGCCATCGCCGACCTCACTCAGTCGGTAGACACCCTCTACGACCTTTCCAGAACCCGCTCCTCGGGCCACATGTCGTCACGCTCCAAACTCGAAAAGTCCATGGCCTCCGCCGAGGAGCTGAGGCCCTTCGAATCCACCAGGATGCAGACCCCTCAGGAGATCGACCCCAAGACCTTGACCAACATCCGCTCCATGCAAGCAGAGCCCATGACCGAATCCAGACCCAGCCTGCCCCCGAGGGACATCGTCTTCATGAGCAAACAGGCCTGGTCAGATTTGTCCCAGCACATTGGCCGTCACCCCTTTGCGCCCCTGTTGCTCGAGTACGCCACCTTCGATTCCATCTACTCCGTCACCGGCATTATGCCCCCCATGTCACGCTTCGAGAAGCTGTCGGCCGGCTTGCAGCAAGATTCGCAAAGGGCCCCTGGTACCTGGATCGGCCTGCCGCGCCTGCTGGGCTACTTTGAGGATCTGGAGCACTCCCGCCTCGGGCTCGTCTACCACTTCCCTCCCAACTTCAATGCAGTCTCTTTCGAGAACTTCACCCAGAACCCTCTCTACAACGTCTGCACCCTCGCTGACCTCCTCTCGCGCCCGGATTTCGAGCCTACCTTGGAGGCCAAGTTCCGTCTGGCCTCCAACCTCGTCAACACCGTCTTCGACTTGCACGCCCGCGGCATCACCCACGGCTGCATCATCGACACTAACGTGTCCTTCTGCAACCTGGCCACCCCGGACCTCACGACGGGCCCCGGCGAAGTCGACATCCGCCGGCCCCTCGTCTCCTCTTTCGACCTGTTCCCCGATGCGCCATCCGACGAGGAGCCGGCTTCGCCGTCACTCCCTCTGTTCCGTCATCCCCTGGATCCCCGCACGACGCCGGCATCCCCCATTAACGACAAGATGGATTCCCGAATCCTTGACTTGTACTCCCTCGCCATGGTTCTGCTGTCCATTGGACTGTGGAGCAAGCTCGAGAACCTGGTCACCGACCCGTCCCAACCTATTTCTGAGGCCGTCCTGAATCAGCTGGGTATCCGCTGCTCCTCCATGTACAAGAGAGCTGTTGAAACCTGCTGGAATGCCGTCGACATGCAGCTCCAAGGAGTTGCCGCCGACGAAGAGCTGCTTTCCGCTGTGCAAGTGACCGTGACGCGCTGCCTCGATTCGTGCGCTATTCTCGACAACATGAACTCGCTCGAAGATCGTCTCAACCTCGACCTTGGCAGGAAGACATCCTCTCCTATTGGTACCCCTACCAGGCAGAGCATTTCTGGGCCTTCAAAGGATACACAGGCAGCTTCTAACCCATCCGTCGACATCCATCACTCCTCGTTCGATACCAAAACCCGCGTCTCGGACCCTGATCCCGCCCGCCGCTCGTATCCCTCGGCCGCAGAGGAAAAGCGGCAGCTTTCTAGGAAGGAGGCTGGAGGTGAGTCGATTTTGTGGCCTTACTCTGCTCCGCACACTAACCGCGTCACAGCCGCCCCAGCAGAGCTGCCTGCTGAGACAAAGGCCGCCAAGCCGCCCTCCCCCAAAACCCGGCTTTATCCTCAGATCCCACTGCCTCCGGATGCTGTCGAGAGGTGGAACACGCTTGTGATGCCCCAGGTCAACCAGGCTTTGCGCCACTTTTATCGGAAGAACCGGGAAGAATCCGTCGAAGTGTCTCTCGAGTCCATCGGCAGTCACCCAACAAAGACGCAGCCTACCGTTTTGGTTGTGTGTACGTCTGTCAGCAAGGTCAAGGCCATCCTCACACGTAAGTTGGGCGAGCTATTTGACGGTGGCAAGTCTGGGTTTGGCTTGAAGGTGTGCAGGGGACAGGTCATGAGGTCACGGAAGCAGCCGGGCGACGTTAAGCGGAGCGCAGCACACGACGAAGATGATGAGGGCGCCGTCAAAGCCGCCAACCCCGACTTTCAAGCGCGCCCCAACAACGGCGCCAGTATTGGAGCTTGGGTGGGGGACCGCCACCTGCCGCCCGTCAGCTTGGGCGGCCTCGTCATGGTGGATGGTAAGCCGTACGGGATGACGGTTCATCACATGTTGGATGACCCCGAGGAGATCTACAAGCACGCCAAGGCGCAGGACCCCGCGAAGCGGAGCATGGCGAGGGACACTGATCGTGCGCGTCTTGACTGGTACGCAGATTCGTCTGCTGAAAGCAGCAGCGGAGACGACTATGCTTGCGAGTTTTCCGAATCCGAGTCGGGGGCCTATTCGGACACGGAGGCCACCAGCGACGCCTCCGACGAGGAGAGCGGCGACGAGTCGGGGGGCGAATATGATGAGCCGGGCGACATCCCGGGGATCGAGCCGGACTGCGGTGAAGGCTACATCATCACGCAGCCGGCCATGGACGACGTCGACGAAGAGTTCTATCCTTCGGAGGAAACGGCGAATGAGGACCACCTGGACAGCTACACCGTCGGCAAGGTCTATGCGTCAAGCGGGATCAAGCGCAGGGAGCAGGACGGCCTGATTCACGAAATTGACTGGGCCTTGTTCGAGTTCACCCCCGAGAGATTGCCCAAGGACAACACGATCCCTCGGATAGAGGGCAAGCAGCTGTCGCCATCTTACGGTAGATTTCCGTCGAAGCACGGCAAGTTCATGCATCCCACGAACGTGGCGCCAACATCGAAGCTGGCGGGTCTGGAGGTGCAGTGCATGGCTCGTACGAGTGGCCTGCAGACTGGACTCATCCTTCCCGCCCTGACGAGCGTCAAAATCTTTGGGCGAGTGACACCGAGCCACACGTACCAAGTCAGCAGTGTCGCCGCCGAGACGCCTGCCGAGCTGGCCGGCGACGGCAAGAAGCAGCAGCCAATGGGCGTCCCCGGAGACAGCGGTGCTTGGGTCGTTGAGCGCGCCCACGGCCGGGTCTGCGGACATGTTCTGGCGTGGAGTGGGCGGAAGCGCGTTGCCTATATTTGCCCGATGGACGTGATGCTCCTCGACATCAAGGAGACGCTCGAGGCCCGAGAAATTGGGTTGCCGGGTGGCGACCCAGTCTTTGGCCTACGTGGTCAGGAGGAGGAGGAGGAAGAGGAGGGCACCTACAGGGACGACGAGCCCTTCTCGTCGCCCTTTTTGGATCCCAAGGATGACGATGATCTGGATGTGGTGTCAGAGGAGGGGGATGACGATGAACTGCCGGTGCTCGTCAGGTCGCGCGCGCCTCCACGTGGACACGGCAAGGACAAGCGAGAGGAAGAAGAAGAACAGCAGCCGCAGCAACATAATGATGAGGGAAAAAAGACCGAAGGGCAGACGGCGGAGCCGGAAAAGTTTGTTTCGGGCGACAATGATTTATCGCACAGGATGGAGTCTATGGGCATTGCAAGGAGTCGTAGGGGTATTGGCATGTGCAGCTGACTGTCTGAGGGCCTTGGGGCGCGGTCCCGGGGTCATGGAACAAATACCCCTCTTGGTTATCACTCATTTTCTTGTTTTTTTTTTTTTTTTTTTTGAGTAGATGATGCCGTTAACGAAGTGACGAGACATAAAAAGTAGTCAAAACATATTTCAGCGAGCAAGTCCAAGTGATGTTAATAGCGTATTTCACATTCATGGTGTTTTTGATTCAGGCACAATATGGCTGCTAGGTTTTTGCAATCTAGACGGCACGTGGTAGATGGAAAGCCTAGCAGCGTATAGAGCTGTAGGCGATGAGTTGGATATGTTGTTCAGGCTGGTTTATAAGTTGACCATGTCAAGGCTCTGCAGACTTTCGTGTTGGGGCCATCTCCAATCACGCGGTCTTGGTAGATCACGCTGGTTTCATAGTTCCTAGGGAATATCCATGTGAACAGGATACCCTGCTGGGATGCTAGCACAAGTGTGGGACATGATGTGCGTGTAGTGTCACCAGCGTCTCTTCACCGATTGTGTTTCCCTTTCTTATGGATTCTATGCTAGCAGATAAGCTAACTTGGGCACAAAGAGAAAAAAAAAAGAAGAAAAAAAAAGAGGGAGAGAGAGAGAGAGAGACACGCAGAGCTTTTACATAAAGTCGTCCTCCCAGTCGGGGGCGCGGTTCTGGTTGCTCGTCGACTCCATGTTCTCCTCGGTGAAGATGTCATCGTAGGCATGGTCCTTCTGCCACTTCTTCTCCTTGCGCTCCTGGGCGATGCGGGCCTCTTCTCGTTTCTGTCGGTTGTTAGTGCGGGATCCATCAGCGACTTTGTGTCGGGTCCATCCATGGGAGGGGGGAAGTGAAAAAAGGAGAGAAAAGGGGAGCAAAACGGAGGAAAGTAGAGAAAGCCGTACCCTCTCGAGAGCGGAGGCTTGGTCCCTCTTCCGTAGCTCCCTGAGCCTGTCGTCCCTCTCCTGCTTGAGGTCGGGCTTCTTCTCGACCTTTGTCTTGTTGAGGCGGTTGACGACGGGGTTCTCGCGCTGGGGCACGAGGATCTTCTTGACTTTGCGGGGGTCCTTGAAGGAGACCTGGCCGACGGCCATGCTGCCGTCCTTCTTGAGATTGGACCAGGGGGTGTAGATGACGGTGACGTTGTCCTTCTTGTTGCCCTCGATGGAGTTGGCCTTGGTGAGCTGGGCGAGGTCGACAAGGAGCGGCTCGGGGATGGCATCCCACGTCATGGGGGAGGTGTTGGCAGGGTCCTTGGGGTCGGGAAGACGGAGGTAGATATGTGCCGATGAGAGCTTGTCGGCGTGGAACTGAGGGGGTGTTAGTGGGGGAGGATGAGGGTGACAGGTGTGAGTGAGTGAGTGAGCGAGTGAGCGAGTGAGAGTAGGAGTATAGGAGTGTATGAGTGAACGAGTGAGTAGGTGGACAAGTGAATGACTGAATGAATGAGTGAGTGAGTGAGATGAAGCACATACCCTGATGAGAGTCAGTTAGGCTAGGGTTCGCGATGAGTGAAGGAGCGGAAGAAGGGGTAACGAACCAGACATCCTCCTCCCAGCCGTACTTGATCAGCTCCTCATCTGTTTCCCGCAGTCAGCCAGTCCATCCGTTTCTGCCGAATGATGCCCGCCTCCACAACGTGTGCCTCGCGGCGGCGGCATGTCGCGCGCTCCCCCGCCGTCATCCACGGACAGAAGCGCGACGTACTCTCAAACTTGTCCTTGCCGACGTAGATGAAGGCGGGCGGGTCCACCGCCTTGGAGGTGAAGTAGTAGACCATCGCGAACGGAAGTAGGGGGGGGAGGGGGGGAGGAGGGCTCGGTGTGCAGCGCCGTCCGTCACGTCTATCGATCTCGTTTGGATGGCGTTCGTCGGGATCGGGTCTGGTCTGACGAGGCGGTTTTGCGACGGGGACACGGGAGAAATTTCGAGGTGGGGGTGGGGGATTGGAGGAGGTGGGGGGAAGTACATCTGGGTTAACACCTTCCTTGGGCAGGCGTGGTGAACGCGTGTGTGGAAATGGTGGTGGGTCCGATAGTGAAGAAAGTAGCGACGCGACCACTGAGCACAGAACCGCGACCGTGCGAATCGGGCAACAGGTTCCGTACATGTGTACTTCCTACCTTCTCGCCCGTTGGGATGTCATAGATGCACCGGTCAACTAAACTACTTACCCGAGATAAATAAAAATGAGAGGGCCGGTTAACGAGAACATGCTTATGGAATTGATGAACTGTTTCGAGTTACCTATATTTCTCACATTGTATTTGCAACGGCACTCAACTTGGAAGGAAGCTTGCAATTCGCTCGACTGCACTGATCAATCCCATTACAATTGCAGCTGTGCTGATTAGAAATCTGAGCTGCGACAGCGACGACGTTACACTATCTCCAAAACCAAGCACACCATTCATTCCCCCGAGTCCTCTTCACCAGCTTTGTTTATCCCAGAAAAGAAAACTGTCACAATCCCACCTTGGCAACCCTTACCGTTGGCATTCCACGAACCCGCCGTCAAACTTGATATTCCTTCTGCTGCTGACCGAAAAGCAAGCCTTGTTGGCTAAGTGGTATAGCGTCTCACTAGTACTCTAGTGTCATGAGAAGATCGGCGGTTCGATTCCGCCACGAGGCACAGCTTCCGACAGCCTAGCTGATCACGATTACTTTTCGCTTTTTAGAGGTCCTTCGTTAACTTTCTCCACCATTCGTTATGTGGCTTTCATTTAGATAGCATCGTTCTAATTAGGTACTTTGTCTAATACTTATTTATCCCATATCATGCATGCATGTTATATAACGCTCAAAATTTGGCCGTGTCGTAAATGTCATCAGGGTCTGTCATCAGTTAGTAGTTGTTCAATCTCAAATGTGGATCCTCGATAATCGCATACCTTTGCCGTGCTCCATGATATGGTCCCGAATCTCCTGCACCTTGGCCTCGACCTCCTTGATCTTGTCGTCCAGCACGGCCTTGATCTTCTCGTTCACCTCGGCGCCTCCCTTCAACGCCCGGATCGCAACGTCGTATCGGCTGACGCCGTTGAGAAGCATCATGTCAAATGGCGTCGTTGTACTTCCCTCCTCGCGATACCCGTCGACCGTCATCCTGTCCAGATTGGGTCGTCCGAACAGCAGACCCTGCAGCTCCGTCGGGTAGCCGTGGTAGTTGAAGACGATCGCCCGATCCTCGGTGAACATGTCCAAAAACGCCTTTCTCGACATCGCGTGCGGGTGCTTGGCCTCCGCCTTCAGAACCATGAGGTCCGTGACGTTGACGACGCGTACCCTGAGCTCCGGCACCAGCGTGCGCAGCAGTTCCGCCGCCTTGACCACCTCGAACGTTACCTCCACGCCGATGCCGGCAATCACTACGTCCGGGTCGGCTCCGCCGTCCGTGGATGCAAAGTCCCACGTGCTCGCGCCGCGCCGGCAGTGCTCTTCGGCTGCGTCGGCGTCGAGGTAGTTCGACGTCGGCTGCTTGGAACCTACAACGAGATTGACGTAGTTCTTGGACTTGAGACAATGGTGGACGGTGCTGAGGAAGCAGTTGGCGTCGGGCGGAAGGTAGACCTATGTGTGTACGCGTGAGACTAATGCGCTAGGTTGGGGCCGGAAAGGGGATTTACTCGTGCGGCTTCTGCCTTGAGATTGAGGACGGCTCCGATGAAGGACGGGTTCTGGTGCGAAAACCCATTGTGCTCCTGGCGAGTCCACGTGCTCGTCTCAATGTAGTTGATGGACGCCAGATCCCCGCGCCACTTGACCTGTTTGGCAATCTTGTTGAATTTGGCATACTGCACCATCATCGTGTGCACTATGCCCAAGAAGGACTCGTAACTGGGGAATAGGCCGACGCGGCCCGTAAGGGTGTATCCCTGCATGAAGCCCTGGCAGCAGTGCTCCGACAGAATCTCGATAACTCTGCCGCCCTGGTTGCGCGAATATTGGTCCCACTGGAAGTTGCGGCCGGTGTGATCGAGCACGGCGTCGAGCTTGTTGCTCTCCAGCTCGTCGGGTGAGAACATGCGGAAGCTGTGAGGGTTTTCCTGCATCACCTTGTCTAGGAGCTGGCCCGTCACTTTCATGCAGCTGTCCTGCTCACCCGCTTTGACCGCAAGCGGCTTCCAGTCGGTAAGCTTGAGACCTACGTACGGGTCGTAAGTAGTCTTGAGCTGACCGAGCTTCTTGGCGCTATTCTTGGGGATCGCTCCGGTGACGCTCTCAGTCGGCTTGCCTTCTAGCAGAAGGTTCCCAATGTCGTACCTGGACAACCAGTCGCGCAGATTTCCGAGCTGGGCTACGTCAGAGCCGGCCTTGGCTAGGGGAACCTGATGGGACTTGTATGAGCCTTCGACAATGACTCCATCGACCTTCTTGGGGCCAGTCCATCCCTAGAAATGTCAGCACGGTGACATACGCTCTTGTTAGGACGGGACTACCTTGGGAGTGCGGAGAGCAATCATCGGCCATCGCGGTTTGGCAATGGCTTCTCCGGAGCGAGCAGCCTTTTGGATCTTCTTGACCTCGGCCACCGCCCACTCGAGGGCGCTGGAGAGGTCGGTGTCGATGTCTTGGAGGTCCTCGACAATGCAGACCTGGTACCCGTATCCGGAGAACAGAGCGACAATCTCCTTGTTGTCCATGCATCCAAAGATGGTGCGCTCGCTGATCTTGAAGCCGTTGATGTGGAGAATAGGGATTACAGCACCAGACTCCTTGGGGTCGAGATATTTGATGGCATGCCAGGCTCTGGGGCTCATCAGCATGGCTCGATACAGCACCAGAGCACTCGGACTTACCCGGCAGTAGGACCACTTTCGGCCTCACCATCGCCGACAACGCAGGTCACGATGAGATCCGGGTTGTCCATGACCGCACCGAACGATACCGACAAGGCATAGCCGAGCTCGCCACCTTCGTGGATGGAGCCAGGGGTCTCGGAGTTGATGTGGCTAAGCCGGGTTAGTGCACGGGCACGCCTTGGCAAGATAACGGTCTCCTTACCTGGGGAAGCCCCCGGGGACGGAGAACCTGGTGATGAGATTATGCAGACCCTGCTTGCTGACATCGTACTCGCCAGGGTAGAACCTCTCGAGGGAGCCCTCGAGCCAGAGGGCCGCCAGAGCTGCAGGAGCACCATGGCCGGGGCCAATGACATAGATCATGTCCATATCATGGTTGCGAATGAGTCGGTTGAGGTGGGACCACACCAGGATGAGACCGGGACACGTGCCCCAGTGGCCTGGAACGTTGTTAGGTGACGGTTCCAAGAAGCAAGCATATCAAGGCGTGGGCTTACCGAGCAACCGAGGTTTGATATGCTCGAGTTTAAGTTCCGACTCCAGAAGGACATTGTCCCGCAAAAAGATCATCGCTGGGGGCTGTTAGCTGCGAACGAGCGGCAGATCTAACGGCAGATATAACAGGGATAGGCTCGGCTCACCAGCAGCGATGTAGCAGGCGGCATTTTGGAAGTCGCGCAGAGACTTTGCATCCTTCTCGTCCAACGGCTTCTTCTCCGTCTTAACAGCAAGATGGAGAATACTATCGGGCAGGTGAGAGGGTATAGGTGGCGGGTTCGCCTGCCGAAGGACTTGTCCAGCCATGTTAGGGACTGGATGGATTTGGTGTTTGATATTGTATCGATTTGACGCTGGCCGTTTGACCGTGTCTGAGCGTATACAGGACAAGACGTGTGTGTCTTGGCCTGTTGTTGTCTTTTTTTTGAGTTGGACTCGGATGAAGCTTGGTTCGCAAGTACAAGGGTAATTGGCAATGAGGCGGTAGGGTATATGGATTGAGAGATTGGGATGACAGGGTGCGACGCTGTTCAATCGGGGGCTCGGGAATATCTGTTAAGCGGAAGCTGCGGCGAACTGGTGGGCTGTTGAAGGGCCGATAATGCAGACAGGCAGAAGCTGCTTTGCTAACAGTAGCAGGTATAATCAGACCGGAGAGAGAGTCTGGACCATTTGCTGCGAGGTTCAAGCGGGAAGTGGGTGACGGGTGACGGATGACGGCGATTAGTGCAGTCTATGACGTCGGTGCTCGGCCGAAAAGAGCCAAAGGTAGGCACACAAACACACCCGCAAGTGGAAACAACGGCGGGGAGAGAGAGAGAGAGAAAGGGTGGATGCTTCAAGGTTTCAGTCAGTCGCTGCTTCAAGGCCAGGAAAATATCTGATTAATAGATGCTTGACTTGGGTTTGTTCCGTAGTAATAGTTATTGCACGTTGACGTCTAGCCCTGGGGTTTGTTTGCATGCAATGACGAGAATTGTCAACGAACGGCCTGTCAAGAAAAGACTCTTGACAGGGAGCAGTTCCAGCCGTTGAGCTTGTTTATCCCCATGAGTATTGCGTTTACTTTGGATCATGCCGATGTAACTCGAACTCTGTCTCGAGACGGCAGCCTCTGGGTGCACATCAAGCTGCAAAAGGACTACCTACCCGGTGTGCGGAGGAGGGAGGTACTTGTACATGCTGCGACGGGACTTCCGGATCGAGGATGGGGGCTTCAACGTTAGTAACAGGTTGCAACAAAACAATTGGATGCCAAAGAGATGGGCTTCTCGGCAATCAGAGCCCACATCTCGATCGATGGATTACCATGCAATGATCTCACCAGTGCTGCAAAACTGTCGAATGAGGCGCCTTTGGTGCCAATCACCATAGGGCACACCTGCCTGCCTGCCTCGACCTTTTTAGCTAATAAGTAGGTGGGTGGTAGTAGTACCATAGTAGCGGTACTTTGTAGAAAAGCTTGGACCATTGAGGGGCAATTGTCCAGAGGAGGGGGAGGGGCATCAGGAAAGAGAGTACGTACCGTCTGAGCTTCGGTGAGAGACCCACTCTGCCGCTGGCGGTAGCCCAGATAACGGTGTCTTATTGGCCAATAGGGCCAGCTGTACCCACTTGCCGGACCATAAGTCCCGTTGTTCGACTACTGGCAGGGCAGGCACGAGAGGCATATGTACAGGGGGGGGGGGGGCGTGGAGCGTTGCTGCTTTGGGACGCGGCGACTTGGGGCTCTGACATCAACATGGCGAAATCACGATGTGCCTGCGCTTTCCGTGATCTCTGATCTCTGCTCTCTGCTCCGGCCAAACAATTCCACACCTTTTTTGTCTTCTGCTACCGTCAAGCTCGTCTCTACCGCTACACTCATCCAGACAGCTACGCTAGCAAGTAAGCGAAGCGTTCCATGCCTCCTATACGCCACCTAACGTAGTCCTCCAGATGCCGAGAATGTCCCACCAATGGAGCTCCTTGCAGCACGGCCCCGTCCAACCCCAGTGTAGGTAGAGGCGATAACTGTCGTCCTCGACTGTCATGTACCACCATTTCATGCACTCTGCCCATATGGTTGACGTCAGGAATTGCTAGGAGATCGACTGCATTCTGCAGCTCGAGCATCGAGGACATGGATCAATCGTTCAACTGCCCAATGGTAGCACTTGTTTTATAAAGACGGGGTTGGCCAGGGGTTGACGACCACGCCCGTTTCTTGAATCTTCGCATCTCGTCCTCCGCTCCTTCCCACCTCTCGGATTCATATATCTTGCCTCTATTCTCTCCTTTTCCAAGCCCTTTTCACCAATCTTCTACCTCAACATGTCAAACATTCTTCCTGCAACCCTGAAGAAAGCCGGAAACGTCGTCATGGGTCAATCAAACAAGAAGAACGCTCAGCTCGCTGAGAACATGGTCGAGCCTAACCCCAAGGCTCCCATGACCACCGACTTTGGCACCAAGATCGAGAACACGGACGACTGGCTACGAGTGACCAACAATGACAAGACCGGTCCCACGCTTCTTGAGGATGCCATTGCCAGGGAAAAGGTATGCTGTGTCTGCTTTTTACTGTTTGCATCACTCTTACTAACACTGCCAGATCCACCGTTTCGACCATGAGAGAATCCCTGAGCGAGTCGTTCACGCAAGAGGTGCTGGTGCTTTTGGTACCTTCAGACTCTTCGAGAGCGCTTCGGATGTGACCAACGCCGGTATCTTGACCGACACCTCTCGCGAGACCCCTCTGTTCCTCCGCTTTTCCACTGTTCTCGGTAGCAGAGGCAGTGCCGACACCGTTCGCGATGTACGCGGCTTTGCAGTCAAGTTCTACACGGAGGAGGGAAACTGGGACCTTGTTGGAAACAATATTCCCGTTTTCTTCATCCAGGACGCCATGAAGTTCCCCGATGTCATCCACGCAGGTAAGTCGTCGTTCTTGCTACCCCTGTTGGGAGTACATCATGCTGACCAAAACCAGGCAAGCCTGAGCCTCAGCTCGAGTTCCCCCAGGCCCAGTCTGCCCATGACAACTTCTGGGACTTCCAGTATCTGCATACAGAGGCCACCCACATGTTCTGCTGGGCTATGTCCGACCGCACAATTCCCCGCTCCTACAGAATGATGCAGGGTTTCGGAGTCAACACCTACACCCTCATCAACGACAAGGGCGAGCGTCACTTTGTCAAGTTCCATTTCACACCCGAGCTCGGTGTCCACTCCCTCGTTTGGGATGAGGCTCTGAAGCTTGCTGGCCAAGACCCCGACTTCCACCGCAAGGACCTCGCCGAGGCTATTGAGAATGGTGCTTACCCCAAATGGAAGTTCGGTATCCAGGTCCTTCCCGAGTCCAAGGAGCATGACTTTGACTTTGACATTCTTGATGCCACCAAGGTCTGGCCTGAGGAGCAGATCCCCATTCGTTACATCGGAGAGATGGAGCTAAACAAGAACCCCGACGAGTACTTCACCCAGACCGAGCAGGTCGCCTTCTGCACCAGCCACGTCGTTCCTGGCATTGGATTTTCCGACGACCCTCTCCTCCAGGGCCGCAACTTTTCTTACTTTGATACCCAAATCACTCGTCTCGGCATCAACTGGCAGGAGCTTCCCATCAACAAGCCCGTGTGCCCCGTAATGAACTTCAACAGGGATGGTCAGCACCGCCAAACCATTTCCAAGGGTAACACCAACTATTGGCCTAATCGCCACGAGGCCGTGCCCCCCGCCAACCACTCCAAGGTCTCTGGTGCATACGTCGACTTTGCACAGAAGGTGGAGGGCATCAAGCAGCGCACCAAGAGCGCCAAGTTCAAAGAACACTTCAGCCAAGCTCAGCTCTTCTTCAACAGTTTGTCTCCTATTGAGAAGCTTCACGCCGCCAACGCTTTCGCCTTCGAACTGGACCACTGCGAGGACCCCGTCGTCTACGAGCGCATGTCTCAGCGTCTCGCCGACATCGACCTCGGCTTGGCCCAGACTGTTGCTGAGATGGTTGGTGGAACCAAGCCCGAGAAGGCTGGCCTCGCCAACCATGGAAAGAAGGCCAAGGGTCTCAGCCAGCTGGAGTTCATGCCCGAGACACCCACCATCGCCTCGCGTCGCGTGGCCATCATCATCGCCGATGGCTTCGACCCTGTCGCCTTCGGCGCTGTTCAGGCCGAAGTTGTTGCTTCCATGGCCATTCCTATGGTGATTGGTACTCGGCGCTCCGAGATCTTCCCCGCAGGAGTATCCAAGACACCCGGCAATGGTGTCAAGCCCGCTCACCACCTTGAGGGTTTCAGATCCACCATGGTTGATGCTATCTTCGTTCCCGGTGGCGAGGAGTCTATCAAGACCTTGACCAAGAACGGCAGAGCCGTTCACTGGATCCGAGAGGCTTTCGGTCATCTCAAGGCCATTGCAGCTACCGGTGAGGGTGTTGAATTCATCCGCACTGCCATCACTCTGCCTGAGGTTACTCTGTCCACCGACAGTACCGTGACAGAGAGTTACGGTGTCATTACGATGAAGAAATTCTCGCCCGACAGCCTCAAGGAGACGGTCAAGATTATTAAGAACGGCAAGGGATTCTTGGAGAAGTTCTTTTACACGATTGCTCAGCACCGCGTGTGGGCTCGTGAGCTTGACGGTCTTAGCACCCAGCTTGCATACTAATTTCTTCGTCACTTGGACGGACTGCACAGGCGTTAGGGACTGCAATGGATGGCATTAGTAGTATCACGGCAAATTGACCACAAATTTCAAAAAATAAGTTGTTCGTGATGAAAAATGAGGGATATACGCATACGAATTGTTTATGTCCGCCCATACTGTCCCCATCTGTTGAAGTCTAGGATGTTGAACAACTTAAAGTTTATTTAAGCCCTGTATCAAACCTCATGCATGCACAAAGAGAAGATTGCCCGTTTTGCACAAAGGCATAATGATTTGTTCAAATATTGGCTTCTACGTTTTATTCTATAACTGATTATGCGCTTGCAGCCGCCGTCGTTGTGGGAGCGGCAGTCGTCACGGCAGTCGTCGGCGCCGCCGTCCCCGACGCCATCGAGCTTCCGCCGCCGCCGGAACCGCCGCCCTTGACCACAGTCGCCCGCACGACCTGGCCGAGGGTGTTGAAAACGATGTTGACGAGGGAGTTGAGCGGGGAGTACTGGAACGTCTTCTGGACGAGGCCGTTGCCGAGGTCCTGCTGGTTTCCGGTGAAGGTCATGTTCTGCTGGTAGTTGCCGATGATGGTGCTGAGGGCGCCACCGGCGCCGCCGGCGACCTCCTGGACGATGTTGCCGAGGTTGTCGATGAGGAAGTTGATCTTGGAGTCGCCGTTGACGATGGAGCCGAGGAGGCCGTCGACGGCGCCGATGACGTCGTCGACGACGTCGCCGACGGTGTCGAGCAGGTTGATGAGCAGGGGGTTGAGGTCGAGGGAGGCGAGGGTGCGGTTGACGATGTCGACGAGGTTGCCGAGGCGGATGACGAGCTCGAGCTCGGCCTCGACGTCAACGATGGTGATGTTGACCTTCTCGATGCCGACCTGCACGCCGGCGTTGATGGTGACGAGCTTGGCGACCTCGGCGGCGAGGTTCACCTCGGCGCTGAGATTGTCGACGTCGAGCTCGATGCGGCCGACCGAGAGCTCGGGGACCTTGAGGTAGACGTCGGCCGGGGGCGTGCTGGAGGGGCGGGAGGTGGTGCCGCCACCGCCGCCGCCGCTGTTACCGCTGGTCGTCGTCGTGTCCTGCGCCGCGGTTGAGGTCGGCGTCTGTGATGGTGTTCCCGTGGCCTCGGGCGTGGACGGGGCCGCCGTTTCGGCGGTCGTCGTCGTCGGGGTCTGGGCGACGACGAGGGCGACGAAGAGCGCGAGCCGGAGGGAGAGGATGGAGGACCTCATCTCTCAAGACTGGGGGTTTGGGCTAGGTGCTGGAATAAAAGAATGTGTGGCGGTGATAGGCCTTGAAGGAAAGAAGGAGTGACGATGGGAGCACCAGGTGAGAAGCCTTGAGGGGGGGGGGATTGCGCTCGTGGTGGATGGGCTTGCCTGGGGGGATATAAGGCGGCATCGTGAGCGATGCGCGCGTGGTATGCCGGGAATCGTCAAGTTACCTCATCCTAGCTATTGCCGCCCCCCCCTGCCCCCCTCTCACGGAGTGCATCCGGATTGTCAAGTCACCCTCATCTCGTCTCCATGTCGCTCGCATATCGGGGGCCTCATCCGCCGGCTTTTGCATCGAGATCATCCCTGACTGGGTCTGATGCAATGCGGGCGTACCCCATATCTAGGGCGGGTATTATGCAACGGTTCTGGGCGGGTGGTGTTGTCCTAGTGTTTACAGCCCCCCTTGTTTTCTTTTTCTTCTTCTTTTCTGGATGGTCAGTCGACTAGGTATTCGCTCATCCAGGACGTCCTTCCACGCCGATGCGTCTCTCTCATAGGAGGAACATGGGCTGTGAGACAGGCAGAAACCCATGACAGGCTGCAAGCCACCGGGCCGAGGCCTGGCAAATAGGGGCGGGGAGAGGGGAGGGGCGGGCAACCGCATGTGATGGAATGACAGAAAAACCTTGGAATATTCCATGTTCATACCACGGGTTCTGGGATGGGAAATGAGGATACCGAGCAAACAGTCTCTTCTCCTCTTGCATGCATGAGGTATGTATGGGCTTGGTCGTGTTGCATCGGAACCGAACGTGATAAACGAGGACGAGGTGGAGGGGGGAGGGGGGGTGGATATGCTTCTGCGTGACTTTCTTTCCCATGGTAGCCAGTCGGAGGATTCGCCTGGAACGGGGGCGCCGCGTGCGGGGGACCTTTCGCGAGCGAGACCCGGTCGTTAACGTTGGAAGCGGGAGAGAGATTAGGCCTTGTCAGTGGCAGTCCAAGATATCATGTCAAGGGGGGATGGTATTCTCGACGCAGTGACGGCCCCCGGAGGCCTTCGTTCTCGTCCTCATGTTTGAGAATCCCACCCCCCTCCCCTCCCATCTCTGTCTGTCTCGTACCACTCATCTCAGCCGGGTTGATAGGCCATACTTGATACTTCTATCGTTGGGTTCCGCCCGCCTCCAAACGTCGTCAGACCTCGCTCGTCCCCGCGGCCCTTCCTTCGTTCAGTCAGTCAGTCAGCTAGTCTCAAGCATCACCAAACGGCCTACAACGGCCATTCATTCATTCATTTTTCGAGACTCTTGTCTGTCCCTCCCTTACCCAAAGTCATCATGATGGCCTCTATGGCCACCAAGGCATTCGCCCTCCTCGCCCTCTCGACGCTCGCCCTCGCCCAGGATGAGCCCAAGGGCGACGGCTACTTCGGCTACGACCTGAACCGCCGCGGCGACAATGAGTCGGCCGTCTACGAGACGGCCAACACCAAGACGGGCATCGACACGCTTAACCCGATTCCGGACGTGTACCTCAACGCGTCCGTGTCGGTGGGCGAGATCAGCATCGAGGTGCAGAACATCACGGCCAAGGTCAACCTGGACGCCAAGGTGCTGAACCTGCTTCACTTCCAGGCGGGCGTCGACGCGCGCATCGACCGCGTCAAGCTGGGCATCTACAACGTCTCGGCCAAGGTCGAGCTCGAGGCGCGCCTGGAGAACGTCGTCAAGATGGTGGACGACGTGCTCACGAGCATCGACCTGAACCCCATCATCGCCACGCTCGGCGACACCGTCGGCGACATCGTCAACAAGACCACCGACGTCGTCGCCGACCCCGCCGAGGACGCCGCCGGCTCGCTCGCGAAGCGCGACCTGACCTACCGCCTCGAGAACAACATCCTCTACTCGGTCAACGACTTCTCCGGCCGGACGCACACGAACCGCGTGCTGGCGCAGAACGGCTCGCTCTACGACGTCTACCTCGACAATAACGGCGACGAGAGCGGCAGGCGGGTCGTCGGCTACTACAGCCGCGACATGACCTTCACCGGCCACAACAAGACCGTCACGGTCGACGGCCGGGTCAAAGAGTTTGAGCTGCAATACCTGTACGCGCCCTACCCCGGCCTGGAGGCCTTCAGCAACATCTACGTGGACACCACGGGCAGGGTCGCAAGGACCAAGATCGTGGCCGAGGCCGAGGGCGGGGGCACGGCGACGGTGAGCAACGACAACGGTAACGACTGGTAGAAGAAAAGAAGAAAAGAAAGAAAGAAAGAAAAGAGGGAGAGGGGTGTGTGATTGGGGACCGGAGAGAGCCCATAGAAAAAACAAGAAGCCCGGGATTCAAGGATTAACAGGATAAATCGAGAAGTCCATAATCGTATTTTCCCATTCCCTTTTCTTTTTTCCCCATTGACAAACGACGGACTTCCATGTTGTCCCGCAAAAAAAAAAAAAATGCAGCAGACCCAGCATAGTGAGCAATTCCAAACGTCCAAATGACGTTTGGGGGATGGTTGAGGAGTCTGAGCCAGTCCGAAAGCGGACAGACCTCCGATGGCATGGGCTGTCGGGTCCGAGTATCGTGAATCCGCCTGTGGGACTGGGGGCCATAAGATAGGTCAGATATTGCCCGGGGAGCTGATTCTCCAGAGTCGAACATTTCTTCTGTTCTCCTCTCTCCTGCCACGCACACACACAGAGAATCTCTCTCTCTCTCTCTTTAAGACACAGTCAAAGCTGTCCCTCACAGGAACTGGATCACACGCCGACGGCGATATGGTATGTGTGATGAACTGACGTTGGAAGGGCAGGGCTTAAAACCGCTCATATCGCCCGTTAACATACTCACCTCCCATTGTTATATTCGTACCTAAGCCAAGCCCAGGACCAAATGCTCCGCGCGATGTAGCGTTCAGAGTTTTCGGGCTGGGCCTTTGCTTTTTCATGGAACCGAACGGGCAGATCATCTGCCCGCTCATCTGCGGAGCGCACAGCGCACGATGATACCCTGTCCTCTGCTACTCGCCCACCCCTGAACCGCCCTCAGTGGGAGAGTTGGAGTTGGAAGGGGGGCTGGATGCAACTCTTACCCGCCCCGTCGAGTGTGGCCAGTCTTTTTGCCGGCCGGATGGAAGATGGCGAGCTTGACGTGTCGCTGTCAAAAAAACGTCGATGGTACCGTAGCGTCGTACCCGTCTGGCAATAGGCCCCTTCCAACGACGACACGCGTTTGCAACTGCGTCTCCCAGTTACGCATATGTCGTTTGCTTCGCATAGATCAACTCCAGTCGAGCGTCTGGAAATAAACTGCTGCCGAGTTCGGCCGAGTTCGCGTCAACCGCTCCACGTTCCGTAGGTGTAAGCAATCCCGACGGTGGGACGGCTCAGCCCCTGAGCACCGCCGTGGAGATGTGCCGCTTATGATCATGTTTAATCGTGGATCGGCGCTCACAGACTCCCCGTTGGGCTAGTTCGGAAAATTTAAAACTCGAGGCCACTGCAGGAACCGATTCTGCTAATAGAGCAGCCCCCCCCCTGTCTTGGGGCGAGTTGAAGATGCTGAATGGTTCAGACGTATTCACTCTGCCGACCTGGAGTGTATCTGTGGGTGTGAAGCAGTGACAGTGGGCTCTCGTCGAATCAATCCGAGTCGATCCGGCATGCTGCCCACACACTAAGGAGATTATCACGCAGCCGACGACAGAAGCGAGCTACCACACGCCTTGTTTGGGTCTCTCCCCTGAACGCGATCGCGCGGCACAGCACCGCACCGCCCGCGGCCTATTGGCCAAACCAGGTCTTGACAGACTCTGGGGGGGGGGGGGTGGTGGTGAGCGTTGGCGCTGCAGGTAGGTGATGCAGGAACCAAGGCAGAGAGGGAGATTTGCCGAGCCTCCACCCCCCTGCGAATCCCTTGGGCCTGGCCTTTTGGTGATGCCATGTACGCACATACAAGGGGAGATGAGTGCCGGCCTTTTACATTGAGTGCCTAGCCGGCAATGCGGCCATGCAAGGTCGGTTGGGCAGTCTGGAGGTCCAGGCGGGCGGTTTTGTTCCTCACTCATGCGATGTGACCTCGCGAATGTGATGGGAGGCCGGAACTTCTGTGCGGATGATGATGCCATCGGCCATAGGATGACCGCAACCCCCCTCCTTTTCTCTACGTCAGGATGGTCTGATGTCGGTCCAGTTGAGTTGATTGCGTTCTGGCAATAGGAGAGTCGGACATGGCCGTGGCATATCAGCCAGCAATCGAGCCGGCGCGACTACCTAGTGTCGTTTCCCCATGATGCTGTCCTAGTTGGACCGCCTGCCCGCACGTCTCGCCTCATCTGGGGAAAAAGGGGAACGTCGAACCGGGCGATAGAGTCGTTTGCTTGGCACGTGTCTACCAACGAATGGGTTCAACTCATCACCTCTGCTTTCTTCTTCTTTTTTCTTTCCGTTGTTCTTTTTGGATTGCTTTCTATCGGTTGCGCAGTTGATTTCGAAGTGTCGTCATTGGAACGGCATTTTGACGATTGGGAATTCGAGGCCCCGTATTGATGCTACCCTCGGCTAGTCGTTATTTCAAAAGACCCATCCGTGCTGTGGTGATTATTTGTGAATGCCTCTGCGCCACGGCACCATGAGTCGCGTTCGAGAGGGGACAATGGGTCTTTCTTTTTCTACCCACATGAGAGCCCGGCAGGTTGTGACAGTGTACGGAACGTGCCCGTATCAGTCTCGCAAACCTCTTGAATAGAGTTGCCGACATTTTTTCAGAATGGCGACGGTAGTCCCGTCTCTCGTCCATGTAATGGCGATATGGATAGAACCAGTGTTGGTTAGCTAATAGGCAATGAGAAGGTCAAAGAGGGCAGCCCGACCGAGGGGGATATATGGGTAAACACGGTGTAAGTGGGTAGCTTGCCAGCTACCCCCCACCATACCCTCGATTCGGCCGGCCGTACTCTTTGGCCCTTAGACATCGACAATATCATAGTCGAAACCCCCGGGCGAGAGCTGTCGCAGGGAGGAGGAACCCGGAAGCACGAGGTCCGCATCTACACGGAGCTCGGCATTGAACACCACGCCGAGCTGGTGAATTGCTCAGCCTGGTTTTATTGGACTCTGAAGGCTACCATGAGGTGTACAAGTTTCAAGAGTCAGATGGACGGCTTCTTCTTCTTCGGCATCCCGCAGTGAACATTAGACGTTCACACAGTAATCAACTCTGAGACGTTTCTGTGAGCTCGCATAACGGACCCGTTGTCCGATGGTAGGTTATCAGCGAAGATGGTTGTATCACCCCTCAAGCTGTCTAAAGCTAGCGCGGAACAAACGACACATTGAGCAAGACTAGCCTGGTTTCTCATCTCGACAACTTTATAAGAGAGGCAAAGGGCTAGAATTGATGCATTGATAAATTCGATATGCGCTAACCCGTAGATCGTCCTCGGCACAAGTAAGAGCTACATCAACTCCAACAAAATTGCACATGAGCCCTGCGATATGCGAAGAATAGCCACCATTGCCAAGAAGAGGATTTCAATCTGCAACTTTACGCCTTGTAATCAGAATATAAGTCTTTCTCCAGAATTCTTGGGTTATTGAGGTGTTTTGGAGGCGGACATACTTTGCTTGAACATGTCCCGTTGCAACGGCTTCAAGCTCTCAAATGGTATGTGACTGATTGGAAACCAGTCCAGGGTTGGTATACCACAACTCTTAGCTTCGCAACTACGTTCAATTGATGAAAACATTGAACGAGTCTGTGGGGGAAGAGAGTTGGTTGAAAAGTCGAGGAAGAAATCTCGGTTTGATTCGAAATCCAAGAAGTTCACTCACGTGGAATGAAGTGCCGCTTGAATGGGTATTTAGGCTCGCGAAACTAATGATGTATACAATCAGTACATCATGAGTGTCATTCGGCGCGAGGCGTGGACATTGCGTTAGCGATTGAATTCATTTCACTATCTGAAGCTCGGACTTGCGGGAACCACCGGAGTGACAGGAGGCCGCGGCCGCCGAAACCCCTATACGACCTTAGGTTGGGATAATCAAGTTCGCCTACAATGTTTCGATCAATAGAGTTCTCAACCTCGTCATCCCAACCCCGGCTCAACCAACATTTATGTCTCTCAGCCCCGGCTCAGAAATATCGCTGGTGCGTACCCGCAAGCCCATATGACAGCTCCGCAATCACGGTTTGGGTCCCGAACTAAGCTTTGAACAGGCGGCTGCGATCGCTGCTCTGGGCGTTGATATCCTGGTCCACCCGATCGACACGTTGATCACTCGCACTCAGTCACCTACCTACAGGACGCACTATAAAAACGCCAATGGATCATTCAACCGGTCCCTCTTTCTTGGGCTGTACCAGGGCTTCGGCCCGACCCTGGTCGCCGGCATGCCCTCGGCCGCTGCATTCTTCACCATCTATGAGGGCTTAAAGAAGGCCTCTCAAGACGCTAGAGCAGCGGGCTATCTCCAGGGCGTGCCGTTGCCAGTGCTCCACGGGGCCAGCAGTGCTGCCGCCGACCTCGTGGCCTGCGCCATCATCAACCCGGCGGAGGTTCTGAAGCAGAATGCGCAGGTGTATCAGCAAGGCGAAGGATCGGCGAAACGCCAGTCACCCACGTTGAAAATTCTCAAAACGTTCATGAAAAGGCCGTCAAGGTTGTGGGCTGGCTATACAGCCCTGGCAACAAGCAGTATACCCGGGACCTCCCTGACGTTCCTGCTCTATGAATCTCTGGCGGCGAAGTTGCTGAAAAGGCGGGAGCAGAAGAGCGGGAAAGATCAAGGAAGTATAACACAGCAGATCCAGGTTCACACGATTAGTGCCGCCCTCGCCGGTGCTTCTGCTTCCTTTCTCTTCGTCCCGGTTGACGTGGTGAAGACGAGAATGAGGCTTGTGGCCGGGCGCCAAGCAACGATTCCCCGTTTATTCCAACTTCAGTCAGGATCCAAGGCAGTGCAATAACACATGTTGAACATGCCCAACCTCGCGCGCCTCACGGCCCCTTACGCGTGGCGCGGGACGTCTTTCGTACAGAGGGCGTTCGTGGATTGTTCAGGGGAGGCAGTTTAACCTGCTTGGCCGCCGCTGTCGGGAGCGGCATCGGTATTGGAAGCTACGAAGGCTTCAAGCAATACTTTAGAGGTTCTACGCAAGCACAAGAAGAGGCATTGCTATAACCCACTACCTGAGGAATGGATCCTCTATTTAGACATCTGTAACATTATGTAACCTTGGAGAGCAAACTTCACTCAACTCGGAGATTGCGTTGCTTTCATGACTTAGAAAACGGACACGTGGTATATTGGTAAGAGGGTTCCGTTCACAAGCTTCGGGAGATGATGAGTTTATGGGCGTGGTGTCATGGAAAGCGGGATTCGCAATATTGTACATTAGATTCTACAAACTCCCATACTGATTGATGATTGTTATTACCCTTGGAATCCCACCTGCACCACACGAATTAAACAGACACATCTTCCACCACAAAATGCTTCTCAGAACCAGGTCAAGAATCTATTCTACGTAAAACTCTGATCCAAACTCCTGGACAGTATTCCACCCACGCGTTCGTTGGGCAAAGCTTGAGAAGAGCTTTATCCGCCATAAGCGGCTGAAGTCTCCACTTGGCCTTGGTATGAGGGCTCGCTGCTGCGGCGAGACGATCCTCAGGTGTCTTAACGCATCTGATCACGAACTCCAAGTGGTGGGTGTACATATCTGCCTCGATCCAACAACACAAGCCGCCTCATCTCAGCTAAGTGTCTGCGTATGGTCCCCTGTTGACGATTTAGGGGAACATGGTTAACATCGTTGTGCCGACGTTGCTCATCCCAGTCCTTCCGCGCTCTTGTGTAGGGGCGAGAGGGTGTGATCGGCGAGGTATCATGGCTGTTCTGAACACCCTGACTGTTGCGAGAGTCGATTTGGGAAGGCGCCGTACTGCTTTGCGAGATGAACTGATGGTGGTGTTGGACGCGGGATGCTGGGCTTGAAGACCCTTCTGTCATTGTTGCACCTAACCTCGTTGACTCATTTCGATCTTTCCCGCCCTCCTCCTGTGGACGTGATATACCGGCATAGACATTGGAGCCGTTTTGCTGGTCGACGGCGAGTTCGTCGAAAGGCGCGCAGGCAATCAGATGAGGAGGCACTCGGTGTCCGAAAATCATATCCGCTACGCGGACGATCTGGTACGAGATACAGGTGATGATGAATCGGTTCTTGGCGGGTGTGTCTGCGGCATTGCTTCCAAGGGCGCCCCGGAGAGCGAAATCGGAGACATCCGAACAACATCCATTCTGATTGATGGGCAACTTGGGTAGATGAGGACGAGCCTGGTGCCACCATCTCAATGTTCCTAGGAGGCTTAACAGCGCGAGGACAGTGGCGCTAAAGGCCACCAGGGTGGCCCACGCAAATGGCAGACTTCGCTGAGTAGAGAGGAACGCCAGTGTACAGCCGAAGGGAACGCAAATGAACACCAGTAGGATGGAGATGAAAATGGTAATCGTCCATGGGTTGGCACGCAGGGGCTTGTAGACCCAGGCCTGCATATCCCGCTGCCGCGTGGTTACGGGTGGGGGGGTGAGAGACCTGGTACCGGATTCCATATCTCTCAGGATGTAAGAACGAAGATAAAAGTATTCCGATTCTTGTTGTGAATTAATTAGGTTAAGCGACGGTCACGGAGAGCAAGATAGCAATTGCATTAAGCCAAAGAATGCCGGTGTATTTACGTCGGATGAATTCATGTCCCTAATTCCCCCTCAACTGGGTTTACAGCATGCAACTTGAAGGCCTGTTTCTACTGTCTCTCACTGCCGCATCATGTGTAACACTTTGACCGGGGTATCGGCCTTTGTGTTGATTGTCTCCTTTCACGAAACACTCTTTCACACCTCAATGTCATCTACGTCTGAGATTGAAGAGAACCAGAAAATTAGTTTCCCAGTGAGACCCAAACATAAAAGCAGAGTTCAAAATAATAACCTGGCTATTTGACGCGCTCTATGGCGGGAAATCTAGCTACTTCGGTTTGCTACAGTATGAGGATTAACGCTGTTAGAAGTGAACGACGCCATCAACGCCATACTGTGGAGAACCATTGAGAGCATTCTAGTGCACAGGTGAATGCTTTGTATACTCAGTGTTTACTACTTACTATATTTTAGGAATTAAGTTCCACTCTTAATGTCTTAATGGTTTTTATACTATATAAGAGAAAATACTTTACTTAGTCTTAAAGAAAGTCAAACTGTTATACTTAGAGATGCATACACTAGAAGAAGTTAAGTTAATAAACAAAAAGAACGCACAACACAGTCCGCAAATATTATTTGAATGCGAAACCCAAAAATGCGAAAAATCAAAGAACCCGCAAGAGTGGCTATACCAATCGCGGTGAGGATTTGAGCCTCACGCGGGGGTCGAACCCGCAACCTTGAGATTAAGAGTCTCACGCTCTACCGATTGAGCTAGCAAGGCGGGTCTTGTTTATTGGTATTTCAGCGCACAATACCAAAACATGTACCTCGATCTAATTACTTCTCGACAAAGACTACGCTTTGCCGCCCTCCCAGCATAGATAATTAACCATCAGTATTGACATTTAGCACTAAAATTCAGAATGCTTTATTTTCTGCATGCTAGCGCAGTGGTAACACTCTGTGTTGTCGTGTGCCTCTATTTCAGGCAGTCAAACGAAGCTACAGAATCCAGCAGCGTGCTCAAAGAATGTTTGGCCTGCCTCCCCATATGAATTAGAGCATGGAGTAAAGCCTTATGAAGATCCAAGGCTAGGCAGAGTCAATACGTCCACGTTCAATATCTGTTCCAGTTGGTCGCATCTACTAATATTGAACTGTGCTCTCGGTCTAAGACTCTTGAGCTGTCAACGATGGAACAGGAACTACAATGTGCCCAAAGCTCAGAAGAAGCGTCGGCACCAAGTTCTCCTTTAGAAGATAAGTTGCTAAGTTCTACAATTATGACCATTACGAATAGTTGCACTGTTTGTGCGTGATCCCGGTGCCGGCGCACCTGCATGAGGAAAGGTTTGTATGTAAAAGAATGCAACAAGTTCAAACATCCCATAACGCCCTGCTCGTAATTAGTGTAAACCCAGCGTTTTCTTTTCGACAAACACTTCTATCGGTCGCCGCCTTTGCCATATAGGTTAACAGGAGTTCCGTCACCTAGTTCGGCCCTTGATCCCTGTTGCTCCATGCCGTCTAGCTCGCTGACCGGATGCAATTCCACCACAGCACTGGAATACTGGCTCGGGTGCCGTGGGGTGTGCCCACTGAGGGAGCTCACATTACTGTCCGTGTAGGTAGAGAGATGACGGTCGTCAACAGGCGGCGTACCCGGGTGCTTGAGTGGGAAAAAGGGCGAGTGCGGCGGTGATGTGGACTGGTACGAATTGGGGGCTGCGGTTGTTGCATAGCTGATATGAGATGCTGCGCTTGTTAGTTGGTTTGTCTTCGCAAGGATGTCTGTTTATGAGACCTACCACGTGCAGGGTCGTACAGGGCGGGACTCCGAGGCGCGAAGCCCATATTTGGGTGGTGGCTTGGGTTTGCGCTTTGAGCAGCGGGCTCCCACGCTGGCTCTCGTCTTTCATTGCGCTTCCTGGCATGCCATCCGCATCTCCAGATCACCGTCACAATGACACCAACCAGCACAGCGGCCCCAATGGCGATACCGACGATAGCTCCTGTGGCAAGGCCGCCGCCGCCGGAGGAAGGATTAGGAGTAGAGGTTGGCGACGCCGACGACGAGGATTCCGGTGTAAATATCGTCCGGTTGACAGCGTCTGGGCTCAGAGTCGTCGCAATGAGGTGGTCCGTCGGGCAGAGGCCATCAGGCTCTTGGCAGGGGTTCTTGGCGCAGCATCCGATGAACGGGATGTTGTTGGTGCATGTGTAGAAAAGCTGGCTAGCAGGCCTCGGGTCGTCGCATCCCTGAGGTGGGATGCTTGCGTATCTGTCCGGGTTGAATGAGGATATCCTCAAGTCCTGGGTTGGGCACCTTCCGCTGCCATCGGCGCATGGGTTTGTAGCGCAGCAGCCCAAGAACTCGATCTTACTGCCCTCGCAGACATAGAAGTCGCCGCCTCGCGGACAGCTTAGACCGAGGCTGGCACTCACAGACATTGTGTTGAGCGCTGAGGAAGTGGGTGATGTTTTGTCTGAAACGTTGTCTGCTGCCTCCTGTCGAGTTTCAATGTACTAGGCGCACAGGAGAAACGGCAACAGTTAAACATTCAAAAGGTCCAATACGTATACTCATATTAAGTGAAGACGTACGGTTAAGTATGCATATAAGCGTGGCAAAAGGAGTCTGACAGCATGCTTCCAAGCCTCCATCTGGTTGGTCTTTGGACCGAACAGCGTCGAATGGGGCTGAACTAGGGATGGTCATGTCAGAATGACAAGCTCCCTAACCAGATCTGTTGAGGCAGACACATTATGTCCCTGTAAGGTATCAAAGTATGTCCCAAATCTAGCACTTGGGCCCACAGCCTCTTTCGAGAGCAAGCTCGCTTGAGATCTGGAGCAGGCTTACAGGCAGCGGAGGCGCAGAGTTTGTCCGCTTGTCGGCTGCGGAATGACCGGCATAAGCTGTACGTATCTGTCCAACGTGTCTTGCACTTCTTGTGTATGCCTCAAGCCTTTTTATTTTGTGTGAGGGGGCTTTACGTTGCCTCTTGAAAGTTGTCGACACGAGCGCAGGACCGGAGCTGAACATCATGAGACCTTTTTACATTGCATGATTCCATATATGTTCTTGAATATAAGACACGAGTGTCGAAAAGTGCAAATCCGGTAGGCTTGTTGATTGTTGATGATGAATATACCGGTGCAAATAATTGCAGATTTTCGACCCCCGCATTCCTTTCGGGAGGCTTCGTGGCTTTGCACTACTTAGAAGGATGCCTGCGGAGGGCTTGGCTGCTCAGCCGAAGGATCAGAGGGGGATAAGCCCTATCAACTCTAATGAGCAAAGCTAAAAATACGAGAGGGTCTGTCATGACGGCGAGGTCAGAGCTATCCCGATCGGCGAGTTTTGCTGACATTCTGACATGCTCACCTGCTGACAGGATTATGATAGCTGCAGTGTGGCTACACAATCTTGGCTCGCCGTTGTCAGCACAGCACCGCGACTCAGCGGTTTCTGAGATATTGGAAAGGCCGGGGCAAGCTCGTGAGGGCAATGGGCGAAGAATGTCACATGTCAGTATACTGAACGAACCAATTGGTAGAGGCTCAGGACGCACCTCATTTGCGCAAGAGATGAATATTATATAATTTTGGAGAATCCCATCTGAGATTGCCCATGCGCGCAATCTTTCAAGTATAGAAGTAGACCTGGTCATTATCTCTATGCAAAAGAAGACAGAAAAAGAGAAGAAGAAGAAATAGAAGAAAGAGGGGAGAAAGGGAGAGAGAGAGAGAGAGAGAGATAGAGAGAGAGAGAAGGGATCTGACTTCTTGACTCCATGCCAAATCGCTGGCTTGGTGAAAGAGAAATGGCTTTCAGGCCTATCCAAAGGCGATCGCGCTCGACTGTCCTAAACTCCTCTTCCTGGAAAGGAAATTTGTGTTTCACTTTTCACATTGTCACCGTGTTGCTTCCTTGCGCAGTCTCCTTGTGCCCGTAAGTATAAGGAGATTGTGAAGGGTGTGGCTAGTACACCATTACGAGCTGGGAATGGTTCTCAGACGAGGTCTCCTTTTTTTCTTTGTCGTTAACAGGCTCGACTTGAACAAAGGAACCAGCTCTAACCAAGAGAATTACGCGACTGATTGTAAGCTTCCGCCAAGCATCCCGAAAGGTAAAAGCCAACAAATCACACAAAATTATCGTATGTAGAAAGGGAGAAAACCCGAAGGCCGTAGAGGCGGGGTTCTGCCGCGATAAGTCTCGGATTGCCCAGATTGCCGGTCATGAGATTGTAGGGATACGAAACCTTCACAAAAGTGGGAAGTTCTGGCGTGGATTGTGAGGGAACCCAGCTAGGACCGAAACTTCCGGTCCGTCATGATCGGATTGTCATCCCGAACTCAGTGTAGGTATGCCCGGGGTGGATTGCTCTCGTCGGCTCTGCTGCGCCGGTCAGCACGAGGTCTCCTCGGAGAGGGCCTGTTCCGGGTCCGCACTGAGCACACCGAGCTGTAAAGATGTTTACGCCGTCCAGCTTGAAGTGTGTCCCAAGACGGCCCCGGATGGGTTAGGTTCGGCATGCTGATGGGCTCGGGAACCGCCGAAGGATCGAGTCTAAGTTCCGTATCTCAATGAATGAACCCAAACTTTCGTCCCCAAACAGTCAGAGCCGTTTCTGGGATGACATATTACCCTTGAGTTGGCCAAGTACGAGAATTTCTGAGCAACATCTCGACATCAGATGATCCCACCTCAACACCGCGACAAACAATGTAGACTCGAAGGCCGAAAGCTCGCACGTTCACATATTGACCTTGCACTGTCGGTCAGGCATCGTCGGCGGGCGCGGAGCTGGCGGGGCCTGCCACGAACGGCTTCAGCTGAAGTCCGGGCCCAGAACCTTCGCGTTCCTTCTTTCTCAGCACCGAGTCTCAAACGCGGGCGTGGCATTGTTCCACTCGGACCTCGGACGGCATTGAGACTCGTGGCGGCGCCATGCCAAACAACAGTTGACCGGCAACCTTGCATGTTGTGCTCCCGTAAGGGGTGACCGGTGGCGGGGTGTGGAGGTGGAGACCGGGGAGAGACCCCCCGAACCATATGTCTCGAGACTATCACACGCCGACGCTTTGCGGCCTCACGGTCCACTAGTCAGAGCGGGAACTCCATGTCGTCCGAATAGCGCGAGAGCGCGAGCAAGTGGGCCAAGACCCTTTCAGCCTTGGGCCACCAAAGGGGTCGCACCGAACGAGATATTAGCGAACAGGCGGCTCGCGTTGTTGATGCACTCCACGGGAAGCGAGCGATGGTTCTGTGTCTGCACGAAGGCGGAAGGCCGAGCAAAGGGGCCCGCCGCGGTGGGACAAATCGTCTTGGCCTGCATCCAGGACTTGCTTGGTCCGGGCGGTCCAAATACCTAGCTGTTAGGATAAGGGGATCGCCCGCGTTGCCCGGGGAGCGCGTCGGTCGTGGGTGACGCCAAGGGACCGGCCAGCCATTATTAGTTCAGGGATGGTGGCGGGAGATCAGCCGAAAGAGAAGAAGGACGGGGCGATGTGGCGTGCATTCGGCTCTCGCTCTTTGTTGCGGGGAGCGATGTGCATGTTGGAACTAGGAGATTAGCAGGCGGAGCGGCGTCGTTTCACGGACGTCCGGTGCGCGCATATGCAAGTCCGGTCGTCTCTCCACGGGCATCCGGGCGCAAGCAAAGGAACGGGCCTCAGGTGAGGCGGTACCACGAGTTCCAAACGGGCATCGGGAATAGAACACATTGGACGGACGGGCTGGCCATCAACATGTCGAGATGCCGTACATAAGGCCTCGAAATCCAGCCCAACTATTCGTTCTTGGAACACTCGACAGAACTCAAACACTCACTCAACCAATCCACTCTTAGGTATCATCACGATCCAGTTCCCTGCCACCACCACACCACCCCAACAACAGTCAACCTAAACAAATCAGCCAAAATGCCTGGTGTCACTTCTCAGTCCACTGGTTCCAAGTACGATGCCATCCCCGGCCCCCTCGGTCTGGGCTCTGCGTCCCTTGAGGGCAAGGTTGCTCTTGTCACCGGTGCCGGTAAGTTTTCTCTATACCTATTCCACGACGAGATGGGATGCACCCTGCGGGAGTGCCGCAGCCGGAGATCGGCAAGCCTTGGTGAAATTGCGGGGTGCATTCCCCGGTCCGTTCATCTGATTCGAGTTCTAACCATTGTTTTCATCTTCCAGGTCGTGGCATTGGTCGTGAGATGGCCCTGGAGCTCGGCCGTCGTGGCGCCAAGGTCATTGTGAACTACGCCAACAGCGCCGAGACCGCCGAGCAGGTCGTCCAGGCCATCAAGAAGGGCGGCTCCGATGCCGCTTCCATCAAGGCCAACGTCTCCGACGTTGACCAGATCGTCAAGATGTTCGCTGAGGCCAAGAAGATCTTCGGCAAGCTCAACATCGTCTGCTCCAACAGCGGTGTCGTCTCCTTCGGCCACGTCAAGGACGTCACTCCCGAGGAGTTCGACCGTGTCTTCGCCATCAACACCCGTGGCCAGTTCTTCGTGGCCCGCGAGGCCTACAAGAACCTCGAGGTCGGTGGCCGCGTCATCCTGATGGGCTCCATCACTGGCCAGGCCAAGGGTGTTCCCAAGCACGCCGTCTACTCCGGCTCCAAGGGTACCATTGAGACCTTCGTCCGCTGCATGGCCATTGACTTCGGTGACAAGAAGATCACTGTCAACGCTGTCGCCCCCGGTGGCATCAAGACCGACATGTACCGGTAAGAACATGCCACTCTACAATCCGCCGTCTCGGACCATCAAACTAACAAAAATCCGCAGCGACGTCTGCCGTGAGTACATCCCCAACGGTGGTGAGCTCGACGACGAAGGTGTCGACGAGTACGCCGCTGGCTGGTCCCCCATGCACCGTGTCGGACTCCCGATCGACATTGCCCGTGTCGTCTGCTTCCTGGCTTCCCAGGATGGCGAGTGGGTCAATGGCAAGGTCATCGGCATTGACGGCGCTGCTTGCATGTAAACGTTCAACACATATATCGGAGTAATGATTCGCCACGGGGACTTTAGATTGGACCACTGTACATTTTAGATTTACTACATGGGATACCCTGAATAAGACCATGTACCCCCAAGTCACGGGAAGCCCTCGTCTTGAGAACTTCGTGCATGCCACTGAACGATCACTAGCCCGGGTTCTGGAGCCACTTGTGTCCTCAACTGGCACACTTTTCCAGGTACCCTCTCAGTACCGCCGAAGCCGATATTTCGGCGTCTCGTAGTAATTCGCATTGTGGTAGCAAACACCCTTGAATCTATCGTGGCCTTGACGAATACGCTGAAGCTGACAGCAGTTGCCGCCGACCCTATAACCTCAGTTTAAAATAGAAGATGACTCTACCAAGTTGACATTGCATCGGATTATGTTCAGGTGGGTAAAGGCTTGGTTACCATACGATATGTATGTCCACAGTTGATTAGTCATGAACCAGACGCCTTTGGATATCTGTTCGCCCAAGCCAAACTGAATAGCAAGAGGGTATCAATCAGGAAGTGGTCCGAAGCTGCGCGGGCATCCATGGATGTGGACACTCAACTTGTTCGGAATTATTCTGTGACACAACGTGTTTCATTTCTTGTGTATTTGGAGGTTGCTCCAGGTCGCAATCGGCAATTATATCCCCAAGATGTCTGTACCCATTTTTGTCAGAGCCCGCTGTCCTTGGCTGCGGGTTCCGACCTGGAGGTGGGTACACTCAGGGATCCGGACTATCGGCGATCCCGTCACCTCTTCAACCTTGGAGGGATACTTTTCTGTATGTTGTTTCTTCGTATTTGATTGAAGATCAGTCCGTTGAAGTGTATTAACTGGGAACGAGCCCATCGAGCTAACGTGTATTCGTCCTTGGAATATAGAATAGATGAGTTTTCTAGCCCCAACCCGATAAAGAACAAATTCTTCAGTTCTTCGTATGCTGATATTAACACTGGGAAGATAAAGTTTAATGAGACCCGTTGCTTTTAGTAAGGAGGCAGTATGATCGTCGCCTATTCCCTGACTCGTGTACTCACATGTAGCTGGAGCATTTAATTTGAAGACATACGATGTACATTACAAGTAATATAACTGCAGTAGAGTCTTAATATAGTATCCGGAACAGCCGGGGAGAGATTGATAGTTACAGGGCAGCATCTTAAATACATAAGGATACGACGAACCGGCCATCATCAGCAACCCTCAAGGTCATTCTGTATCCAAACCTTCGGCATAAACCAAAAAGTCCTCTCCAAACTATTTCATTCGTTTTCGACTACATCAACCATCAAAATGCGCACCGCCTCTCTGCTCATTTCTCTCGCCGCCTTTGCTGGCATGGCTGCCGCCAAGCGAGGCTGCAGACACGACCCGGCCCACCCTGGGCAAGGCTGGTACTATATCGTTTCAGGCGACGACCTCAACTCGATCGCCGCCGATTTCGGCACCACAGCTGCCGCGCTTGCCAAAACGAACAACATCGCAAATCCCGACTTTATTTCAGCCGGGACGACGATTGTGGTCCCCTGCGCCTAGGGGATATGAGCCGACTGTGCGACCGCTTAGGTCCCAAAACAATCTACGGGTGGAGCCTTATAAATATGAGCAGAAGCGTAGCGACTTTAGGATTTGATGAGAAGGGTGGTTAGACGGTCATCTTTGAGTGCCGTCTAACCGGGGAAACAACTGGGAGTATTTTTCGGTTGGAACAGCTGTTCTGGATTTTGTTTCCCAGGTGGAAGGCCGCAGGCCAAGTATTTAAGATTGCCTGATTCAACGACGAGTCCAAAGGTTTTAAGCTTTGATGACTTTAGACTTTTGAGAATCTAAACTCGATGAGCAAGCGATCGTTCGGCTCCATCGCGCCAGGCAGAGGATTGTTTTGGTCAACGTCGAGAAGCATCCCGGAAAGGGCAAGCAATACTTGGTCGAGCTAGATTCCTTACGATAATATACGTGCGAGCCATAGGGCAGTGTAGTAGTCCTGATAATATCACAACGGTGAGCAAGCCCGTTCGTATTCTGACAGCTTAATGAGGTTGATAATTGATTGAGCCGTAACATGATTTATTTGCTCCATGTAAGTGTGTCAATCATAGTATACTAGAAGAAATATGCTTATTGAATTGTCAAAGTCTATGACCGCAGCAATAAAGTTACACCAACCCAGCCCGCCAGAGTTCAAGCCGCATCTTTTCTACGTTCCTGGCCTGCAATCATGATCTAAAAGCTGAGGGTCTGACCAGCAATAGCGACAGCCCTGCTCTCAACATTGGGCTTTTTGATTCGAAACCCTCGCCATGTCGCCCTACCAAGTTGTCAATATCTCGCAGAAAAGGGTCTCGTTTTCTACAGACCAATCCCAGTTGATTCAGGGGTCACCAGCGATCAGCGATTCAAGACAGCCCCGCCCGTCGGGTTACTCCTACGGGCGACGGGCGTCAAGAAACCACACTGGCACCCTGACTAAGCATCGTGATGCTCAGTCTGACTAATGCTGATACAATTCATGCCAATTGTCAACTGCCTTAGAATGAGGGGTTAGAATCTGGATTGAGTAGCCAAGGCCATCATCACAACTAAGTATAAGTCGCAGGTTGTTCTTGTGAGACCCTGAAATAGCTAACTACAACAAAATGGATCTCCTCATTTGCGGTACCTGCGGCGTGCAGTACGGCAGCCATTCAATCAAGTCATGCAAAATATGCGACGATCCTCGGCAATACGTCCCCGAAGGAGGGTGAGGTTGTCCCAGTGCGGTCTCAATGTCGCTTTCGTTCGTCACAAATAGTCAACAGGACAGGCTAATAACAGCTGCAGCCAATGGTTCACCACGCTTCGCGAGCTCCAAGATTCCAGAAAGCACAGAAACGTCTTCACCAAGGATAAGTACAACTCGAGCGTCGTCGCCATCCGCACCGAGCCCCCGGTCGGTATCGGCCAAAGAGCATTCCTCTTGCGTTCTGCCATCGCGGGTAACCTCCTGTGGGACTGCATCACGTACATCGACGACGAGACAGTGAGCCGCATTGTCGCCCTTGGCGGCATCGACGCCATCGTCATCTCGCATCCTCATTACTTCTCCACCGCGTTACACTGGGCCGAGGCATTTGGCTGCAAGGTGTACGTCTCGGCCGAGGACGCCGGGTGGCTTCCACGCCGGGGCGACGCGCACGTGCTGTGGGAGGGGCTGGCGATGGAGTTTCTCTACGGGCAGTTTCTGGCCGTCAAGGTCGCGGGCCACTTCCCCGGCAGCTCGGTGTTGCTATGGAAGAGCGAGAAAAAGCTGTTCGTGGCGGACTCGGTCATGGTGGTGCCGAGCGGCATGTATCACGTCGACCGGCCCGAGGGGACCGCGAGCTTTACATTCATGTGGTCGTATCCGAACATGGTGAGTAGGCCCGGTTGCGCTCTTGGGAGTCGCTGGGTGGAGAACTGACTTTTGGCAACGCCCATAGATCCCGCTCTCTCCAGATGCCGTGTATGGCATCTGGAAGGCCGTTTCCGTGCTTGATTTTGATGATGCACACAGTGCCTTTATCGGCCGCGATGCCAGGGGCGATGCGAAGAGACGACTTTTGGAGAGTGCGCAGATTTTCATCAAGTCCATGGGATACATCGACCATCCTATTCGTTACGAAGAAGTTTAGTTCCTCTTCACATAGAAAGCGATACTCTCTGTATCCAAGAGAGAGGCATTGTTCTGCTTTGCACGTTGGTGGGTTTTACCAGTCACGTCATGTCTTGAGGCATTTACATTTGGAGTATCTCGACTGTTCTGTGTTATCTGTCCCCTCTGGTGTTTCCGTGTGGGGTATCCCAAAGCTTTTCAGCCCTTAAAGCCAAGCCCCTTCAAAAACCAAAGATACAAGTAGGAATGTGGGTGTGTTCGGGGAGTTTAGCCGAAAAGCTTGTCCAGCACCTTCTCGAACGTGTTGCTGCTCAGCTAGTCAGCATTCGTTGTTCAAAGCATTGCAAGTGATTATGACTTACGCTGGCGGCGTAGGCACAAAATTCCTCTCGTACTCATCAACCTCTTCCTGTTTGTTATACCGTCAGTAACATGGTGATGAGACTGCCACTTTCTTTCTACGGGATATCACCGTACCTTGTTGCGATACAGATCGACCTCCTCGGGCTTATAGATCTTGGTGTGCTTGATAAACTTCCAGCCTAAATACAAGACGGGGAAGATGCCGACCATGGTGTACCTAGCCATGTTAGCCGTTTTGCTGTACGAACCGCAGCATACGCGTTAGACCTACGAGAACAAAAAGTCGGGAATGTTCCAGTACCCATCCAGGGGCAGAAAAACGGTGTAGCCACCGACAAACGTCATGATGAAGGTGCCGATGAGGCCATACCAAGCGGCATACGGCTGGAACCACCCCTTGTACGGCAGCGAGTCGCGACTGATGCCTTGGGCCTTGAGGGCGCGGTAGAAGGCCAGGTACGCCGTGCACATGCAGGAAAAGTTAATGAGTTGCGACGCGGTGACCAGACTGACGAACCAATTGAGCACGACGGCCGTGTTGGAGCTGAGCTGGAGGAAGCTAAGGAGTCCGATGAGCAGAACGGCGATGACGCAGTAGACTGGGACGCCCTTCTTCGTGCACCTCTTGAAGAAGGCGGGCGCTTTGCCCTCGAGCGCAAGCCCGTACAGCGAGCGCGAGGCGCAATAGACGTAGCTGTTGCCGGCGGAGAAGGCGGCGGTAAGAACCATGGCGTTGACGATGTGCGGCAGGACCCTGATCTTAAGGCGGTTCATGGCGACGACGTAGGGCGAGGCGGCGGCGCCGGGCTCCGCGTCCTTGAAGGCGCGGGTGAGCTCCTCGTCGTTGTATGGCACGAGGATGCCGACGCAGAGAGAGCCGAGGACGAAGAAGGCGGTCAGGCGGTAGAAGACGGCGTTGAAGGCGCGGGGCATGATCTTGCGCGGGTTCTCGGCCTCGCCGGCGGCCATGGAGACGTAGTCCGGCCCGGCGATCGTGAAGGAGGCCATGATGAGGCACTGCAGGAACCCGAGGAACTTGCCGAGTGAGCCTTCATAGTAGAGCTCCGCGAAGGCCCCAGGCTCGTTCCAGTACCTGAAGCCGAACCTGTCTCCCAGCGGGTTCCCGCCGAGCATGACGATGAAGGTGAAGATGATGAGGCCGACGATGAGGATGAACTTGCCGAGGGCAGCCCAGAACTCGGTCTCACCGTACCACTGCACGGCCATGACGTTGATGAGGCCATACAGGACTAGGATGATGGCAATGATGCCACCGGCGGGGACCGCGTCGCTCCAGAAGTGGATGATGAGGTTGCAGGCGACGACCTCGAAGGGGACAAGGGCGGCCTCGAAGACGAAAAAGTTCCAGCCAGCAGCAAATCCGAAGGCCTCGTCGACGTAGCGACCGGCGAAGCGGATGAAGGGGCTCGAGATCGGGAGATAGGTGACCATCTCAGCCATGCTGAGGGTCACGGCCAGGATGAAGGTGCACCAAACGCTGAAGGCGAGGAACAGGCTCGCCGGCCCACCGTTGAGCAAACCCCTTCCAATTTGGACCTGCAGGTATCGTGAGTACGGTAGCCACGGGTAGCAGGCGGCCACGGGTAGCAGGCGGCCACGGGGTGCGCGATTTTCAACGTACGTAGAGAGCGGTTCCTGTGCGCGATGTGTTAGTCTTGCTGGGTCCTTTGATTTCGCACACGTAGACGACGTACCAATCGTGCCACCGATACCAATTAGCTGGATATGACGCGACTTGAGTTTGCGATGGGTATGATCCTGCTTCAGGCTCGAGTCCAGAGACGAACGGCCGCCTGCTTCCAGGGTCTCGTCATGCGGCTGGCCAACGAGCTTTTCCTGAGGGAAGCGCCCGTGGTAGGAGGAGCCGTAGGTCGGCGGGTCGTCATTGTGACCTGCGCGCTCAATGCCGGTGGACGACATGGCCGGTGAGGAGGAGAATGTGGGGGATCAAAACCCGGGGGCGCGGGGGGTGATCACGGCGCCGCGGGGTCGTCTCAACTCGCCCGGGAATGGCTCGCAAGTGAAGGCTTGGAGATTTGACACTTTCCGTGGGATCAAGGTGCGCAAGATGCGCAGAGCTGGGGGGGAGGGCCTCTTTGGTTGTGAAGTCGCAAATGCGCAAGCCTTCGATTTACCGAATGGCCTTAAGGAGGAGTGAGAAGAACTGCACAATGAATTCCATGTGGTTGATGACGATGGAGTGCCAAGGACTACTGAGTAAGCTACGGTCTTTCTGAGGTCATTCAGGCCGGACACACTTTGAGAGAGTCAGAGAGCTGCGACGAAACGGAAGAAGAGGGAGAATGCCGAGAAGACATCACACGCTCGCTTGCCACCGAGAGGGAGGGCTGCAGATCTCTTTTTAAGGGAGCACCTAAGGATTCCCAGAGATCAGGGACCAGTAGCACATTGCAGCGTCCCGCCGGGCAGAGCAACATGAGCTTGTCTGCGGGATAGTGGGGGGGAGGAGGGGTGAACAGCACGAATCTGCAGGATAGCGGATTCATTCTTTGGCAAATCGTACCAATGCCCTAACATGGAAAGCCCCGGAAACGGGCCTGGATGGGACTGGGGGAGTTGGAAATGGTTACCTCACGTCTCCTTGGAGCAAGGAGCTGTACACTACGTACGCCACCTCCCGAGTACTGCCCGTAACCCTGTACTTTGCACATGAGGGATCCTGGCAGTTTGCCCTTCTGCTCTACATAGTACGGAGTACTCGTAGTAGTAGAGTCATCAAGCCTGCCGCCTCATCCCACTCACCTTCCGCAGGGTCCAGGCCCCTATTAGTTTAAGTTCTGTGCCAAATGTTTCTACACTAGGCGTGGCAGGCGTGCCTGAATGTAAACCACCTCAGAGAGGGGTATGCTAGGCGATAATAAGTGGTGGAGCCCGCCCCGGCATAGCTATCTGTACACTAGACATAAGAGACAATGGTCTTATCGATGCATTCCCGAGACGGGAAGTGAGAGACAATCTCAACTCGCGCCCCCTGTATGAGTGCCATGCATACCTCAAAAGCGCGTGAGGGGGGTTAAGAAGAAGAACGAGAGTCGATGAGGGTCGCCGCGTTGGGTAAGCTTTGCTTTCGATTGCATGAGGCGGCGCATGATAGTCGCATGCTGATAGCTCTTGATCTATCGAATCCGGCGCACCTCTACGGCGGACCATCATCGTCATCATCAGCGTCGAGACTACTCACCAACAGCGTCCCGACAGCTTGGCATCGGTGTGTCCGGCCGTCCACCCCACGCGACGCAATGCGCCCAACTCAACCTGCAGCTGGCGCGGCCGGAGGGGAACACGAGTGAATTTTATTTTTTCCAAGATGAGAGCGAGAACTCCAAGGCGACCAGCGACACGATATGGTCCGGGCTGGTAGATGGCACGCTTTGCTACCGTTGCCACATTATTTTGACAACATGTCTGGGTCCCGGGGCTCGAGCTGTCAAATGATGGTCGCGCTATAAACCATCTTGAGCCAAGGCAGTGCGAAGCTTTTTGGGATGAGGAACAAGCAACGAGCATGGCATGGTGCCCCTGGGGAGGGGAATAGCCTACCGAAAAGGGCCGCTCTCTTTTGATTCCACGGGTGGGTGGCTGGTCGAACTCGCCCCCAGCAGGCTATGAAGGCCATTGCCATTCCCCAATTGCGTTACCGTTGGCTTGTTGACTGCGTCACTTGTCATCTTGGCAGAGACCCAAGGCCAATGCTATGCTGTCGGGCCGGTCAGGATCCCTTGGCATACGGAGGTTACAGACAGAGGCAGGGCTCTCTCCGAATGGTGCAGCGTTATCGAGAAGATAACTTGTAACTTCGTAGCGAAAGTGTCTCATTGGGCGACGCGAGTTGCACAGTTGGCTGTCGCAGAATGTGAAGGTGGTTGGTCAAATCTCACCTTCACCAGAACAGATCGACACCCTAGGGATTCTCTGGCGAACACCCCCACCCTCGACCTGCACGAAGAAGCTCAATGAACCAACCTCATTGAGACTGCAAGTCTATGGCCGAGTGCTGCCGCAGGCCACCTTTCAGCACCCTTTGGCTAGGTATCGGGTCCGAGGATGAGGATTACCTATTCGCCAACATCCGACATTCAGTCAAGTCTACCCCTTAGGTTGCAAGCCGTGGATTTCCTCGTCTAGGAATTGGGATTGAACGCCGCTGTCTTGGTGGCTGAGCAGGGTCACGAACTGAACGGGTGTTGAGAGCCTGGAATTCAGAAGACTCTCACAGAATTAACAGTGATATTGTCCAAGAATGTTTGCGCGTACCACGACGCTATGTCGATCTCCACACAGTACAGAGTAAGCCACATGGTTGTTGTTGTTGTTGTTGTTGTTGTTGTTGTTGTTGTTGTTGTTGTTGTTGTTGTTGTTATATTTAACGCCAGGACGTCCCTATTTAGGGCAAAGGGCGCCTACCGCTAATCCTAAGGCTTACGTCGCCTACATACATATAGAGTGGTACAGGATAACAGTGCTATAGGCACAGAGGGTCCTTTTTGCCTTTAGGGGTAGGAGTTTAATCTAGTGCTGGTTTTAGTACTAACTGGTGCCTAAGGCTCTAGCGTGATTTTCCTTATAGGAGTAACATTAAAGTGCTCCTGTCTAGTACACCTTTAGGACCTAAGCCCCTAGCCTGCCTAAAGCCTTTTTTTCCTATAGAGGTCTATTAGATATACTTCTACTTAGCTAGATTTTTTATTATCCTTCTTATTAGTACTAATTTATTTAAGTTTTTACTAAAGTAAATAATTATACTAAAAAAAACCTTTATAAAGAAAAAAAACTTAATATAGCTAGTTAGCTTATATAATAGTATATAAAGTAAGGGTTATTATATTAGCCTAAACTCTTTAAAAAGGCTTTTAGCTTATTTTTTTAGTATAACTTATTTATATAGAGGTGTTATAGTAAAGAAGAGGTATGTTGTTATAGTGGTGTTAGGAACAGATTTTACTAAAAGAGACTAGATTTATGTGCCCTGTTAGGGATATAGGGCGTCTTCTATACGTTTTTCTAGCAGAGGGGTCTGTGCACCTATGGGTTGAAAAATAAATAGAAGGGAGAGTTGAGTAAGCCACATGGATATAATTGACAGGCGCCCCCTGAATCCACTACCTAAGTAACTCTCAAGCGCGGGGAAAAGCATGCGCACTCACACGGGCCCTGCTATTGATCCACGGCTGCTTCTCCAGGGTAATGGGGATGATGGGAGATTATTTTCCTTTCATTGTTCTGGTTTGTTTCTTCTCTTGTATTTTTCTCGCGTGCTCGTTAGGGCAGCCGGTAGGCTCATTTACGATATACGGAAGCCGAACCTTGAAGTGTTAGAGTCGCACGCCGCTAGGTATGCTTAAACTGACACTAGCGAGGAATGTTAAAGCGGGTAAGAAGGGCATGGCGGGAAAAACTAGTTGTCCGAATACTAGACCCTGTTTAAAGTCGTCCGACAACTTCGTTTGCCACCAAATTAGGGCATGAGCATTCGTCTTCAAGCTGCAGAATCTCTTTTTTTGTTTTGTAGAGAATATTAGTTCAAAATTTTCTCCATCGTATCAACAGTCTCCAATCACACCGGTCTATTAGTCTAGTTGGTTAGGACGTCGGATTCTGATATAGGAACTTCCGTAGGCCCAGGTTCGAATCCTGGATGGACCTCATTTTTTAGGTTCATATTTGCAGTCTTTTAATTTTGTCTTTCTGCGACGCGGACGATTTGAACTGTTGTAAACTTGTGTTGTAGACTTACACCCCGGGTTTTACCATTTTGCAATCTTTTCATCGGACCAGTACTCACCCGTTGTCCCGCCAATATCCGCAATCGCTAAATGAACGGGAGTCTGAGCACCTTGGTCTGGGGTCTTCGTACCTCCTCCCTTCGTCATGTCTGTGACGACATATCCTGGGTGGCATGAGTTGACCATCAACTTACTTCCCTTCTCTTGCAGCTCCCTGGCGATCGCCCTCGTCATGGCGATCTCGCCAGCCTTGGAGACCGCGTACGCCGCGCTCAGCCACCCGTCCTTCTCGTGCGTCCCCTTCTCCACCGCGGCGGTGAACTCCTCCATGAGCTTGGTGACGTCGGAAACCGACTGCGTGTTGTAGAAGCGCTGCCTGATCTCGGGCGAGTACTTGCTCAGCGAGCCCGATATCGAGGCCACATTGACTATGCGGCCGTCGGGCTTGAGGATGGGAATCCAAGCCCTGGTCGCCTCTAGGGTACCGTAGTAGTTGCACGCCAGCGTATTCTTTACGACGTTTGAGTCTGCGGTTTCCATCGTCAGCACCGAGGGGAGGGGAAGGGGATTGGACCAGCGGATGACGTACCAAATCCTTGCATCGCAATACCGGCATTGTTGATGACAAAGTCGATGCCGTCAGGGTGCTCCTTCTTCAAGAACGAGGCAAGTTTTGAGATGCTGCCGCAGTCGGAGATGTCAAGCTGGTGGAATTTGATGGCGGTAGCACCGCCGTGCGCCGACAGGGCCTTGGTCTGCTTAAGATCCGCATCGCCTTGGATGTTGCTAACAGCCTGCTCGCCGCGAGATTTGTCTCTGGCCGTCAGGTAGATGAGTAACGGACCGTTGTTCAAGGGGGATTTGGGGTACTGCAGCGCGAGCTGTCGGACTGCGGTCGGAGGTATGAGTGGGTGGCCACATGTGACGTGTGGGGGGATTGGATGAAGGATTGCCTACCAATTGCATATCCGATGCCTTTGTTGGCGCCAGTCACCACTCCGATTCGTGAGTATGCCATTGTAAGTGTGGTTTTGAATATGATATGGTTCCTGGTGGTTTCTGGAAGCTGTTTTCGGGGACGATGCTCCTGAATCTGTTTTGTATCCTAGATATTTATCAATCGCTGGGTCATGACATCACTACCCCGTTATTAGTCATCGATGGACTGGAGATCCTCTGTTTCTGAGGCCATCCAATCGTTTCTCCGCCACCCGACACTATCGACAGCCCGCTCTCGGGTCCGGATAGCAATTATACCGGTGTCTGGCCGCCCCACACCCCGACCGATTGAAGCCCGGAGCACCGCAAAAGTGGAGATACCGGCTCCGGATGTTAGGGTGACGGGATCAATCTGCCATCTTGTCCTCGCACATTCCGATGGATGAAACGTAGCCATACTCCTCACTTTCACCGAAAATTACACTTCGCTTAGCAGCCTTGTAAAAAGAGCGGCTTAGGCTTCGACGCAGTAAGCATAGGGTTGCACTGAACGCTGCATGCATGGCTGATCGTTCCAGGTGTTTGCCCACCGGTTCGCCCTTTCTTGTGGGGGGTTGTAAGTGTTCCTCGTGCATATGCAGCACGCCTGAACGGGATCTGTTGCGCCCCAGCCTGATCTGGAAAGGCAGATAGACAGACTGTACGGAATTCAGTGGAATCGTTCTACCATCCTCCCGGTAGTTTTTGATGAGGTTGGGCATACTAAACCCCAGTGAGCCCCCCAGGACATACCTTCTCTCGTTTATGTTTCATAACCAAAGAAAGATAATTACTTGTCGACGCATCTGTGACCATCAGCATGGCCGAAGTTATTGGGATTGTTGCGAGCGCAGCAGCACTCATCCAGCTCGTATGCTACGGCAAGAAATCCGCCCGCGCGTTGTACCAATTCTCTCATCGTGCCGGCATCTCGAAACCAGACGTTGAGCGATGTGCCAATCATCTAAGAACCTTTTCGCTTGCCGTTAGCTTGGCTGTCGAAACACTGGACGAGTATGGCGCAAATACCAGCACATCTTCTGTCTTTGACTTCATAGCATCAAAGCAAGTGCTCAGGGCCATATCTATCGACTCCGACTCGCTTGTAATGCGCCTCACTTCAGTTTTAAAACGCTTCCGGGGCCTTGCCAAAAGCAGCCGAACACCGGTGGCTTTCGTCAAGTGGTGGCTTCACAAGGACGATGTCATTACTCTTTTCCCCGAAATGGAAATGATCAAAACCAACCTCACATTGATCATAGCTACGATCCAACTCAGGCTGGTCTACAAAAAGATTGAGACGGAATCCTCTGATTCACTCGCTGTTAAGAAGCTGGAAAAGAAAAAGTGAGTGTTGTGGACTAGATATTGTTGATGCCATCAATCTAACTCCACCGTTACTCAGGTATAGATTGAAAAGTAGCATTAAAGCCCACTTGGACACACTGAAGAAACTTGAGAACCAGATAGAGTGTGCTCGTCAACGTGTATACTCACTGGGCCAGGTACCGCCTACTGCTTCATTCAATTCTCCATATGAAGCTCTTTTTATCCTGGGGAAGAGTATCGTGAAGACTGGAGACGTACCAAACATGCCTTCTGTGTCATCGTGGCCACCAGAAAGTCCATTCTCCACTACAAGGGTAAGAGGTAAACGGCCCGGCTTACGCGTATTCCTGAAACTAACCACTGTTATTGAAGCTCGATCAATCTATATCGTCGAATTCCGTTTCTCGTAACCATTTCTCGGTAGGAGACCATGGTAGCTATATCAACAAGGGTGCTGCCTTCGTTCATTCACCCGACCCCCCTATTCCCCCAGACGTTGTCCAAAGTCCTGCAACTGGAAAGATCTTGAATGTTGAAACAAAAGACAAATTTCAAGCTGTCACTGGTTATACAAGGGACCCTAAAGACCGAAGAGCATCCCTATCCGCAGTCGCCATCCTCTACCACAGGCTGGACGGAAATATTATTTCCATCCTCGAAGCTCGGAGGCTTGGACTTGACGTGGTACCAAACGATCAAGATAAGGAAGAGGTTAGAATATCTTTCGATGGCTCTAAACCCCAAAGATGTGTTGGTAATGTAGAAATATTTTGGTCAGAGATGATTGGGGGCACCGTATTGTCGCATCTAAGATTGCAATTGTATGTAGTTGAACACTGCACACCGGCTCTTATATTCGGTGTGCCTTTTACACAGGCCATGGAGGAGCAAAAGCGAAAGCGTTCGAACTGAAGGATTCCGTACATATTGCCTATTTTTCCCAAGCTAGCTAGTTGAGTTCATACATACGTTCGATGCTGTCAACATACACGACCCCAGTGGCACCGGCTAGATGCTCCAGTGTATGTCCAAACATGATCTCCATGCATTGCGCAATTTATAATTACGTCTTCAACTCGCCTTGACGTCTTGCCAGAGGTCCTAACGCCTGTGTTGGAAAACACTATGTAAACTTAACCACACTCATCCCAGAAACCATCAAGACTCACAATCATCGCCTGTAGCTGCCAATGCAGTTACGATCTCATTGCCAATCACAGGCCACGGTGACTAGCCAAGAACCTATCTGCGCCCCGCTGCGCTATGCTGCGGAAGACGGCACCTCGAGGCGGGGCAGGCTCCACGGCTTATCAGCTGAGGAGATTGTGAGACCTAGATAGCGCACAAGGAGATTGCTATGTGGCCTGGTTCTTCGATTCCAACAGATACTCTTTCTCTCATAACCGACCTGAAATACTTAGGCTGGTCTGGCCAAACCCAAGTCTTGTTTTTTTTGCATCGATTATGCAGCGAACTATGATCTGGTGTGCTGTCTTGGCGACTTTCTACGCTTCAGGTGTCATCAGCTCCTACGATGGCATCCTACCGTGTTCAAGCAACTCGTCATCAACGGTTTCTCGAATTTTCCCCTTACTAGAGAATGCCGATTCTGTAGACCTGTTCCCAATGCCAACCTGTGGGGCCTTCTTGTTGGAGGAGGCTACCATTGACCAAATGCAAGCCGCGATGGACGCGGGAACTCTGACGTCGCAACAGCTTGTTTCTTGCTACATGCAGCGGACGTACCAGACGCAAGACTATATCCAGTAAGTGAGCTTTCAGCTGGGACGAATTCTTGGATAAACTGTCATTGCCAGGGAGCCTGACTTGGGCAACAGCTCCATCCTGCAAATCAACCCAGATGTTTTTCAGATTGCTGCGAAGATGGATGCGGAACGAAAAGCCGGAAAGGTCCGCGGTCCTCTTCATGGGATCCCGTTCACAGTCAAGGACAATATCGCAACTAAAGACTCCATGGAAACAACCGCCGGAAGTTATGCTCTTCTCGGTAGCATCGTCCCTCGCGATGCTCACGTGGTAGCCCGCCTCAGAGATGCAGGCGCCGTCCTGTTCGGCAAGGCGGCCCTGAGCGAGTGGGCCGATATGCGCAGCAACAACTACTCCGAAGGCTTTTCCGCACGTGGCGGCCAATGTAGAAGCCCATACAACTTCACCCTTAACCCGGGTGGGAGTAGTACGGGAAGTGCAGTTGGCGTTGCAGCGAACGCCATTGCATTTGCGTTGGGCACAGAGACTGATGGGAGCGTCATCAACCCCGCGGAACGCAACGCCATCGTGGGATTCAAGCCTACAGTCGGTCTTACGTCTCGAGCTGGGTACTTTGGGCTCTTGAGATCTTGAACGGGAGAGTTTGCTGACGATAGATAGTGTTATCCCAGAAAGCGAACACCAAGACTCTGTGGGGACTTTTGGACGCACGGTCAGGGATGCAGTGTATGCTTTCGATGCCATCTACGGAATTGATTCGCGAGACAATTACACACTGTCTCAAGAAGGCCATACCCCAGAGGGAGGATACACACAGTTTCTATCAACCAAAGCAGCTTTGAAGGGGGCTACGTTCGGTCTGCCCTGGAACACCTTCTGGGTCTACGCAGACGATGAGCAGAAGGAGGCTCTGGGTCAGATCCTCAAGCTCATCACCTCCGAGGGGGCAACCATAATCAACAACACTGAGATCACCAACTATCAGACACTAGTCAGCCCCGACGGGTGGGATTGGGATTACGGAACGACTAGGGGCTATCCAAACGAATCCGAGTACACGGTGGTAAAGGTTGACTTTTACAACAACATCAACTCTTACCTGTCTGAGTTGGAGAACACCGACATCAAGACACTTGAAGACATCGTTGCATTCAACTACAACAACGATGGAACCGAAGGCGGAAACCCGTGGCCGCTTGGAACTTCGGCATTCTACTCCGGCCAGGACGGGTTCCTTGCTTCCCTTGAGTCGCAAGGAATCAAGGACGAGATCTATCACCAGGCTGTCGAGTTCACACAGACGTCGACACGAAACGGCATTAATGATGCTCTCACATTGGCCAACGGCTCAAGGCTTGCCGGGCTCCTGGTTCCCCCTGACGTCGGCCAAACGTACCAGATCGCTGCCCAGGCTGGCTATCCAATGATAACCCTTCCAATGAGTGTGCGGTCGAGTGACGGCATGGCCTTCGGCCTCGCCATCATGCAAACAGCCTATGGAGAAGCAGAGCTGGTCAAATGGGGAAGCGCCATTGAGAATGTGCAGTTGACAACGGAAGGGAACCTTTACAAAAGAACGTTGCCAAGATGGCATGAGTATTTGTCAAGGAACGTACCAGTTTTTTGGAACAGGAATTCCAAGCAGTTGATGGCTAGTATCTTGAGAGTTCACATTAATGACTGGCGCAAACCATGTGTTTTATGTGTATTCGTCATGGAAGGCTCGGCCCTACTAGCTGAATAAACTGTGACGGGTCCGTCCTGACTCTTCAACTCATGATTACTCAGGACATCCTAGCAATAACACTCCCTATAAGTCTGAATCCTTTTGCATGGAATTTATGTAGAAATGCACTTGTTGGAATGCAGTCAGAGAAGGTGGCAATGTGAATCAGCTTCTCACAGGCGTATCTATTGAAAGTGTATATGGTAGTTCGGGATTTATGTGGCGCGGTGATCAAGAGGGAACACCACAACCTACACAAGCAACACACGATTCCTCGCCGATCGTTTCTGTGTTATCACGTTCGAAAGTCAATCATCTAGAAAGCTCAAGGTCAATCAGGATAAGGAAAGGTAGATCTTAGAAGATAGTGTAAAGTTTTGTTGATTATCCCTCTATCTGTCTACTTTTTGACGTATATCCTTCGCGTCTAATCAGCGCATCTAAGTCCCGATTAGTGGCGATCCTTGCTATCAACCCGCTCTATTCCACTGTTTAACAAAAAGACCAATCTATAAGAAAGTACCATGTACTGCTAATTATGCTGTGGCGATGTAACCATTGAAACCTTGACTGATCAGTTGAACTGAGAGCGTCAAGACCTTTCAAAAAGCCCCGTCTTCATTTTTTCAACAGCATCAGCGATGGCGTCATAAAAAGTTGAGCTCCATTATCAGCGAAAAACATGTCTTCGCTAAGCATGCAGCGCCTGATGAAATCTTGAGCACGATCAAACATTTCTGTCTCGTATTCTTTCAGAGGCTGCTCAATCTTATCAGAATCTTCGAAGAGATTGCATTTCGGGCCACAGCAATGCTTTTCGATACTCTGCGCCAGTTTGAGAGCATCATGCATGGCCATATTCACACCTTCCCCAACAAAAGGTGTTGAGACATGTGCAGCATCTCCCAGAAGCGTGACTCCAGGCACACGAGACCAAGACAGAGAGGAGAAAGGCATGCGGTGAAGAATCCACGGTCGAAAAGGTCCTTCAGCATCAGCGATGAACTGGCGCAAGTTGGGAGCGAAATCCCTGTAGAACTCTTCCGAAGACAGAAGCTTCTCCTTCGTAGCCTCAATATCGCCCACATCGAAGCTTGTTCGTATCAAATCCTCGGGGCCCTCCAAGCCCATGTAAACTCGGTATGATCGATCTGCTACTTGTTGGATCATGAGGGCGCGGCCCTGGCCTAAGGCCATCATGCTACCAGGCCCTGAAAGTTCCAGTACGCTTGTATAACTTGGGTTGCTGTAGGAGATTCGACCCTCCAGAAACATCTTTCCCGAGTACTCAGGCTTGACAGGAGTAATCTAGAATACTTTGTTAGTCGGCTGAATGATCAGGTACTCAGTGGAGGTTGCCTTATATAAACTGAAGTACGGGGGTGGGCTATTACTTATCAAGGGTCAGACCTTGCTCCACGCCCCATCCGCACCTACCACAACTCGAAATCCAGAGATAGAAGTTCCATTGGTGAAATTTATAGTCACTCGTGGCGTTTCAGAGTTGGAGTTTCCGTCTCTCTCGATGTTACGCACTCCATGGCCCCCGTGAATTCTGTCGGCAGGAATCGACTCGAGAAGGAGTTGGCGCAGCTGAAAGCGGTCGATCTCCGGGGCATCCCGCCCCTCTCCCACTGTGGTTTTCAGGGTGCCTTTGAATTTTGGATAATGAGTCTCGAAGCATCCCATCGAGCCAGCTTTTTGAACTCCTCAAAGAGTCCAGCTTGCTTCAATGCTTCCTGTCCAGAGTTGGCGTCAAGATCTAGCGTACCGCCCTGATACAAGGGAGTCAGGGATGCATCTGAATCATTCTCGAATACAACGTAGTCGATGTTCTTTGTTTGGAGCAGCCGTGCGAAAGTCAAGCCACAAGGGCCAGCGCCGATGATGGCGACAGGGGTCGTTGTAGCACTTGTTTGAGGGGCTGCCATTGTGTGTTGGTGTTGCCCAATGTGCGAGTGTAAAAGTATTATTCGTATTTTTTTGTGATGTTGGAATACAGAATGCAAACTTTAGCTTCAGGTAGGCTGATTGTGAGCAAATACGACTCAAATAGATGACAATTCTGATGATCTTATATATAGTTTTAGAAAGCTCACGATATTCGCGAGGCATTCCGGAAACAGTCTTGTTCCTGTCTGAACGGCCTGATCACGGTGAAATTTCGCGGCTTGAAAGATGCTCCGGCGGTCCGTCATCCAGACAAAGAAAACGTACGGGTTTAGAAGCCACCGACTTACAAGATATGTGGGTTCCCGGATTAAATGTCTATGATTGGATGGGTCCGGAATGCCGGCAATCAGTCGTCCGGGTCCAACCAGTCAAGATTAGCTTGTTAGGACTTCAACCTCCGACTTGCTTATTCCAACTGGAAGCATCGTTCAGCTAATCTCATCAGATAACGCGGAAGCAGGAACACGATTGGACGGCCGACCGAAAAGCCGTCAATTCCGGGAAGCCAAGTACCGTTTTTACGAACAACAACTGCCAGTTGTGCAAAATGGACCGTAGCAATGACTCGGCGTCGAGCACCACCCTAACTCGTTTCGCGGTAAGCTAGAAAGGTGCTGTTGCGAAGGCTGTTGAACTCACACATTCGGGCATGCGGTGTGACTATTGCCGACAGAAGAAGCTTAAGTACATGATACATCCCTTCTCATGCGGCCGAAAGATGGTCATGTTGAGTGCTTACTGACATTCCGCCGTGGAAGGTGCTCGAGAGAGCTACCCAAGTGCAGCGCTTGCAAACCATGGCCTGGTAGCTGCGATTATACACGAGACAAGCCAGTGACCAAGCCAGGCGACACACATGTTAATGATCGGTAGGTTCATACCAAAATCTTCTATTAATTCTAATCTAATAAGTATAAACAGACTGAAGACACCAAGCTCGATAAACCCTTCCTCCATCGAGCAACGGTTGCAAAATACTGAGAGCAGCCTTCAAAAGTTGACTGAAGCCGTAGAAAGAATTCTACAAGCTACCACTCCGAAGATTGCATCTGTAAACAATGAAACTACACCAAGAGTGACAAACACTAGCGATACCCAAGTCTCGAAGGATGAGGACACTCCAGGGCTGTTCCTTGGACCCTCTCACTCATTCTCTTTCCTGAAAGAGGCGTCAAGCAATATCGAGGTAGCTTTGCGAACGTCCACATCCTTTGCGTACCAGCATGCTCGTTCTGAATTGCAGTTCCTGTCGACTTCGTTGACGACTGCGACCGTCAGGATGGAGGATGTTGGAGATGATGAAGGATTTTTCATACCTTCAAGAGCCTTGGGCTACCAGCTTATCGGCAGTGAGTTGTATGTGAATAGTTGATATTACGCTGCTGACTTTCCACCTCCAACTTTTTAGCCTTTATGGAACACGCACCAACCGGCGAGCTTTATTTCTGTACTCCTCCGGATGATCTCTCAAAGCAGATTGTGTTTCATCCAGAACAATTCACACAAAAAGCGTGGCTTGTGTTCTTCAACTACATTATGCTCGCACAAGCTTCGACCGAGGAGGAAAACCACGCCAACCAAGCCGAAAAGTTTCCGCGCAACGTGCGAAGGGCACTCAACAACAGCAGCATTTTCTTAGAGCCGCGAGAAATCAATGTACAAGCTCTATCCATCATGGCAATGCATGGTGAAGACTATACATCTCCGAACCTCTCTTGGATGATCGTTGGGCACGCTTGCCGTCAAGCTGAGGCTTTGGGCCTACATGTGCTGCCACATCTCGACTTTGAGTCTCACCAGCGGAGCTTGACCCTCTTTTGGCTCTTATTCATTGTTGATGAGTCATGCACCCTTGCATTTGGTCGATCTCCATTTCTTCCGGAAAATTCGTATCAAGACGTTCCGCTGCCGGAGTTCAGCTACCCTGTCAAGTTCCAGCCCCATACCGGCAGCCATTTCGCCGGCTCACAAACGCCGTCGAAACCATCTCAATTCGGCGCCCATTTCTTTATCGGAGGTATAAAGCTTGCCAAGATCATGGGATCGATTATCGAGTTTCTGTCTCCTGGCCCGTCTGCTTTCACAAGGCATGAAATCAAAATCAAGCTTGAAAAGTGGTATGCAGAGACAATAAAGGTTGGTATTAGGTCACCAAAATTAAAGAGAGGAACTTTGATGCTGATCAGTATTATTATAGATATTGGAAGATACTATTAAGGCTGAGAAGAACTCCCTTACGATCTCCCAACTCCAGGAAATGTCCCTTGGTCTCAACAGTACGAGGTTTCAGTACCTGCATATCGTCATTATCCTCCTCAAAGGCGACGAGCCTTCTGCAAATCTCAGGTTGGAAGCTGCAAGAGAGGCCATATTCCTGCTCCCGACAGTAGTTTCCAACTGGTCGTCGGTCTACAATGGGGTTATATGGTACGTCTAAATATTATTTGTTCTGATTAAGCACTTGGGCGCTTCAACCACTACGAGTAATACACGCCGAACTACACCATACTGACGTTGCTAAAGGCATCTTCTTTACTATCCATTCATCTCTTTCTTCGTCATATTCGAGAACCTGGTCCATAACCACGCCTCTCACTCCGCAGTCACCATTGATCAAGACCTTCAGCTACTATCAACAGCTGTGTCATACTTCGTGAGTATGAGAGGTCAGATGCGTCTTTTAGCTACACTCTGCATTCGACTAGAGCGGGTTGCCGCAGTATTTTTCCAACTAGCGAAGAGTTACCTTGGTCGCCGAACACCGGTTTTCGATGGAAGCCGAACCAACAATCCATCGGCCCTCGGCAATTCTCTCGCCAGTATATCATCGTTGCCCACACAGACAATGGTGGGTCAAGGTGCAGAAAGTACGTCACAAGAAAACCATGGAGCCTTAAGATGGACCCAGCATGAAGATGGACCTGTTCTTGGAGACGATGTGGAAATCGAGAAGCTACTCAACTGGCTCCCAGCTGACACGTTCACTGCTGGCCTATTCATGGAGAGAGAACTACAGAATGAAGGGGTTTCGGCCAACTCAACCGATTCCGCCACGACAACACTAGCACCCGAGGGCTCTCGAGGTCGGAAGAGGGCATTTGACGCCACATTTGATTGGTTTTCGTGGGACGCTTACTACATGGACAGTAATTCAGGCAGGTAGTGCCTTTAGAGGGAGGCCAAGCACCAGACCGCAGCTACTTCAGCACATAGTGGCCTATAATTTGTTCGCCGTGAAATCATGGCCACATCTCATGAAATGATTGTGTATTTCGACAAGCTTTTAGTTTTATTGCCAGGTTTTTAAGTTTGCAGGTGTCTCAGAATTCTCAGGTAGCTTTAAAAGATTCTAACTCCCTTCTGAACTGGCTCTCTAGAGCTAGAGAAAGCCCTTTTGATAGAAGAATACTAGCCATTTCTTTTTTCGGAAGGGCAAGATTATTTTCTTTCAAACTGGTTTCTGTCTTGGAAAAATAAAGCGAATGCTTCCTCTAGAACCCATCTCAATCCGGTCAAGACGTACAATCACACGTGATGATGGCCCATATAAAGGGGCCTGATATAGCACATGGCATGGCTGATGACGTGCGCCACACCAACATAAGCCTCCTGTGATAGAAGCATACTGTGGGATGGTCGCGTGGGGGGCGCTGTAATTAGATAATGCAAATCCTCCCAGAATTACGAGGCGTCTCACAAAGATACCAAAGCCGAAGCGATTTCCATTGGCTTGGGCTATATACGCTTCCATTCAAGGACTGACTTGCACTGATTCCGACTTGCATATGTCCTAGTTTCTTCAGAAGCAGCATCATTATGCTAGAATACACTGGCATCTGTTACATCTTCCAGTATTCCAGAAAACATGGTTTCATGCGTGATCAATCTGTGGGAGCACTTCGGCCAATTGCATGAGCGATATTTGTCTGTATTTTTAATAATCGGACTCTACTGCCTTCCTTGATAACACACAAGTACTGGTGGTATTATGCAAACATGCCCTGCAACGTGCGGTGCGTGCCACAAGATGCAACATGACGGTTCTTGGATAATCAAGGTAATGATTGTCAAACGAGAAAGGATCTACCTATGTCTTTGGCTCCTACGCGTAATGTGGCGCTACGATTAATCCGCGGGCAGCCGAGCTGCAAGCCAAGATGCTGGCTGTGTTCACAGTAGAGGGAGAGCTACATCTACCTATCGGAAGACACTACCACATCGCCTCATGGGCGATGAATGAGTTGCAGCATGTAAATGACCTCAGACAAGACGACGAATGCCGATCTGAGGACCAACAATTCAGTCCGGTTGCCAAGCGTCAGCCCTCCGCCCTCGCTACCCCCAAATCTCACCCCACAACAGGCAGCAATACTTCCATCAGAGTGGGCCGGAGATGCGTTTTTAACAGCTGCCTGAAGACTACTATGTATACCAATTAAAGATGCACAAGTATGGGCGCTTGGGACAGGGCTGTGTCGACATGGGTTGTGCGGCGCGGTAAAGGGGCTGTGGCGTCCAACGAATACATTCAACGAGACCTATACGGCGCTAAGCTAGGGGACGTTCAAGGGATGCGATCCTGCAAGGTTGAATTTTATTTACTCAGGGAACCCAGGTCTCTCGTTATCATCTATCAAGAGTTGAAGCTGACCACGCCAAATACTCAAAGACAACATCGTCTCTACATCGCCAGTTGCGACAACCCAATACTCAACCGCACAGCAAGATGACTCAACCGTACATTGTCGGCGATAGCTCGCCATTCCTGAAGCGCGTGCTCATCCCTTTCTGGGTCATCCGCATCGCGATCATGCTCTTCTACATCATCATCTACTCCGCTGCAGCCGCCTATGCCTCGGCCAACAAGAACGCGCTGTTTGATGGCGGATCAACATCAACCACTGTCATTGCCGTCCTCGTCGTCATTCTCGTAATAGTCGTCTGCTGCCTCATCCTCGACATTATCTGTATCGTCAAGCGCTCCCGACGTACACTAAGCCCTCGCTTTTTCCTCATTTCCAATGTCATTCAAACAACGGTGTGGCTGGTTCTTCTCATCCTGGCCGTAGTAGGCATCAGGAGTCCGCTTGGGTTCATCATCGCCATCGTCGTTTTGTAAGTCGACCCGGTCGATTGTGATTTGTAGACTGAGCGTCACGAAATTAATTCTTCTCTCTCCACCAGCGCCTCCTTCCTCGGTCTCCTCATTTACTCCAGTATCGTCTACCATAAGTACAAGAAAGGCTACGCGCCCGCCAACCACGCCAACCAGCCCTCTGCATACACCGGGGCGTACACCGCAAACGAGCCCACGAAGCCATCCGATGCGAATGCACCGCGCTACGAAATGGATAACCGATATGCATGAATCGCGTGAGAGGCCCGATATAGGCGTTATTTACCAGAGTGGACGATAGCATGGGGAAAAGGAACCCATGATTATGCGAAATGAGCTTAGTTACTGCTTCTAAGTTCTGGCACGATTCTAGGCGAAAGGCATTTGCATCAATACTTTTCCTGATGAGGAGTTGTAAGAAAAAATACCCAAGATACCATGCGTGCATTTTTGCAAATATTCATTGGTTTTCCGGTTATCGTCCTTTTCGTACTTCGACTTGTGGATGAGTGAGATCGCTGCATCCGTATGGTTCGTAGGATTCGACGCGGGTGGGCATTGACAGCACAGGTACGATCCGTCCTACCACCAACTGCCAGCTGATGAAGCTTGTCAATCCGTCCAAAAATAAAATAAAAATATGGCGTTCTCGCTGTATCACGGAGCGCGTAATCAACTTCATTTCCACGACCGTCAAAAACTGCCCGGAGAATGGGATCAGGAATGCCTTGTAGTGCATGACACACTATCAAGTATGGTGATGGGCGTCAGTTTACATGGCTATCCAATAACAGGGGATATGGATGTACAATGCAGATAACCCCACTGATCTGACCCTTATGCCCTGCCGATGACTGCGGGAAGGGTCCGTGGGGTTCTTGTTTCTCTCAGTCCAGCCGACGGTGATCGGCTACTTATCATCCCCTGTGAGCGAGCACAGCCTAGACATCACAAGCCATTTTACACGTCCCGGATCATTGAAGAAATTCTTGGAGAAATTACTATTACCGTGAATACGATCAATCTAGAAAAGGCTTTCTCTTTACCCTGAGCTTCCTATCAAATGACCAGGACCCTCGGTTTTCTTACTTCTTGGTAACCTTTCTCGTCGTTCGTTGGATAAGATATTACTCAACTTCTGCTGTAGTACTGATGTAACTCATCGCCTTCTCAAACGCAAAATGACTCTTAGCAGCCGATCTTAAGACAAAGGAGCCATATAGCCCAATTGAAAACCGCTTATCCTTCCTCACTCTCCTTCTTGAGTCCTCATGACTTTGTTCTGGGACTGTAGCGAGAATCATTTTACCAACTCCTTGACTTCGTTACAAATTTGGCAATGACAAGAGAGGCTTCATCTTTCATCGCAGTGAACAGGCCTGTTGATTCTTGAATGGGTCCTTGAAGACACTACGCTTATCCAGAACTCCTTGCCTGAGTTCTTGATCAGATGCTTTAGCCTCTTCTGTCAGCATCAGTATTTTATTCACCAGCTCATCGCTATCCTCCTTGGATGAGACGCTATCTCGAATTGCTGCCACGAGATATTGCTGAAATCGAATGAACTCGGGACCCTGCTCGACGGACGGTCGAGGCATTAGATGTCCGTCGATGAACCGTCTCCAGATGCAGTCCCACTTGTTATCGAACACCGTCTCGCCAAGCCTTCTTCTACGATCTTCCTGCCAATTGCGTTTGCTCCACAGCAGACACGGCGTGTTGCTGGGGATGGCGAGTTGGAGCTTTTCCACAATGTGGTCCGCCAGATGTGTCATCTTCCAGCGGAAACTAATCATGGAGGCGATGTCCATTCCATCGGTGGAAGCTCTTTCATTCGCTACCGTATCTCGCAGAGAATTGAGAACGTAGTCGCCTGGGCCTGAGTTCCAGTCGCCAGGACAAGTCTTGAGAAAGATCTTGGCCATTTCGACAACGCGACCACGGCATTCGGGGCATGTGGTTGTGACTTGTTGGTCTCCATGTAGACATATGAAGCGTCGGTGTTGTTGGTCGCACTTGATCTTGACGAGTTCATCCATAGGAACGGTTTCTTCAAGTACAGCAGGGATCTTTTCGATGCTGCAGTTTCCAACTGAATTTGTCTTCGGAAACCCCATGCTCGTCAAATCCACACCCATTTTCAAAGTTTGGGAAAGAAAGGGACCGTAAATGACGTCCGGCTGCGGGTTTGTTGCTTCTGTATCTTAGTCGAGCTGTTCCTTGTCAGAAGAAATATTATAGAATTGGATCTTTGAAATCTTTTCGTAATTCATTATATATTCAAGCCCTGTCTTTCTCCGAAAAGATTTTCGTGCGCTTTCTCCGACATCACTCTCCTGACATTTCTCCGAAAATGCTCCTGAACATACTTTGATTTCCCCCAGACTTTGACCAAAGTTAATGGACCGTATCACCGCACCCAAGCTGCCTGGTGGACCTTCAACTTAGAAGAATGGCCATCCATGATGTGATCTAATCTGTGATAGTCTGGGGCGGCGGCGATGATATCTCTATGCTGCTTTTTTTGATGTGGTTTTTAGCTTGGCCGGATTCTAAACACTGCATACAAACTATCAAGGGTTCATCCATGTTTGCTCTAACTTACCCATTTAGACAAGCACTTTTGAGCCTGATATCGAGAACTAGGAATCATAATGACGGGTCAAGCAGGCACATTGTTATGTGTTCTTGGATGAGCAACAATGGCGCATGAGACGATTTCGGTGAGGCAAACAAGCCAAACTCGTGGCACTCGAGGCAAGGCGGCAAGGCGGCAAAGCGAAATCGTTATTGGTGGAAACGGGCCGCGATTATGAAAGAATGAGTAGTGGTTTACTGCCAGACGAATAATTCATTTCCCCGCTTGCTGGCGCATCATTGTGTCCAATAAATCCACAGTAATTCGATTGTCATGCAGGCTTCATAGTTAGTATCAGACCGTGTGCCTCGGTATATGGTCAGCCGACTTCTGAGCCTTTTAAACCGATATCTTGGCGTGTTGGTTATCAAGAACGGGGTTTTATATTCCCATCTTGGCAGACATTTTATATGTTCCCGTGTCTACAACTACATGAACCCGATTCTCTCGACCTCCGCAAGGGGTGAATGCGTGGTGAATGCGGGGTGAATCTGATGGAAGCGGGGGTGGAAACTTGAGGGCTGCCACACTCTTGGATGTGGTTGGCTTTTTATGATCATTCTGAGGAATCTCATAGTTATGGAATGGAACCCCTGAAAACCTACTTGGACCTTGGCGAATGTTGTACGCTCCTGTCTCGTCTTTATAAATACCGCGGGGTGGAGCCATACGTTTTGAGAACGGATGCACGTTCTTTACATATACCAGTAGGTTCTGAGACCAGCCTAGCTGTCCTCATCATGGAGAAGCGCGCCTCAACCACAGATTATCATATTGAAGCCACAACCTCAGCTCTTGACAACAATCACAGCGATAAATTAACCAACCGCCATGGAAAGCAAGCTAACGTTCAGTCGGTCGCACTCGCCGATGCAATCGCCAAGGATCAGCCCAATTACAGGTCTCTCAGCCAGTTTAAGCTGTATGCCATGATGGCGTTGTGTGTACTGAGTATGCAGCATGCCACTCACTGTGCTTTTTTGTATTCGGCGAATAACCCCAGCTGACGACTCGCAACACAGATGGTGTCATGAACGGCTATGATGGATCTGTCATGAGCGCCATCAACGCCATGGGCCCTTTCCAGGACCGCTTCAAGATCGGCACGACCGGTGAGCTGAACGGTGCGGTCTTCTCCATCTACACCGTCGGCAACATTGTCGGCAGTTTGGGTTGCGGCTATTTCATGGATCGATGGGGCCGCCGCGCCAGCATGTTCTGCGGCGCATGTTCGATTGTCATCGGGTCTGTCCTCCAGGCTAGCAGCTATCAGCTCCCCCAATTTTTCATTGGCCGCTTCATAGTCGGCGTCGGAACCCCCATGTGCGCGACTTCTGCGCCCGTGTTTCTTGTCGAGATGGCCTACCCAACGTGGCGAGGTCTGGCCGGCGGATTATACAATGTCCTAGGCTGGTACATCGGTGCGAACAGTAAGTCTTGCCTCCAATCCAGCGTACCATATCCAAACCTTCCCGTGGCTAAATCTTCACAGTGGCTGCATGGACCTGTTTTGGCACCAATTTCATTCCAAACGATTGGTCGTGGCGCATCCCTTACATTATCCAGCTCACACCGGCAACCATTGTCCTGTCTGTGGTTTGGTTTCTCCCCGAAAGTCCGCGCTGGCTCTGGGCGCAGGGCCAAAAAGAGAGGGCAACGGCCATATTGACCAAGTACCATGGTAATGGAAATATTAATTCGGCTCTCGTCAAGCTTGAGCTTGATGAAATTCAAGATTCTCTAGCGGCTGAGATTGAGCTAAAGAGCAATAACTGGAACTACAAAGCCCTTGTCGACAACAGGCCAAACTTGTACCGAATGTGGCTCATTATGCTCGTTGCAGTGATGGCTATGTTCATCGGTGGCAGCGTTATTTCTTACTATGTATTTTCCGATTCCTACCTCCTCATCATGTGGATCCCTTCAAGCTAATGTTGAATAGTTGCCAGGTAGTTCCAAACTTTCTTCCGCAGATTCTTCCCTGGAATACCCACTACCTTGCTTTTTGTTGACTATACAAGTTTTCATGCGATCTGACTAACTATTTCCTAGTAATGGTTCAGGGTGTTGGCATCAAAGATTCCAGTCGGCAGCTACTTATTAATGGACTTAATACCGTCACATCCTTCATCGCCGGTATCTTTGGATCGTTCTTTGTCGACAAGGTCGGCCGACGTCCTCTATTCTTATGGGGCACTCTACTCACCGGCTTGGTGTACATTCCAATCAATGTGCTTGCTGCAAGGGCCGAGCAGTTCGACAAAAGTGGAAGCACCATTCCTACAGCACAATCATATGCGTTCATCGCCATGGTATTCACTTACGGCATCTTCTGGTCATTCTGCTGGACCCCACTGCAAGCTTTGTACCCGGCTGAAATTCTCAACAACGTGATCCGCGCCAAGGGCATGGGTGCCAAGGGCTTTATCTCCGGCGTCGCCAGCTTCATCAATACCTATGGAACTTCTGTGGCCCTCAAACACATTGGGTGGAAAACCTACACCATCTTTCTGGTTCTGCATTTTATCCATCTTGGCCTGATGTACATGTACTGTGTGGAGACGAAGGAGAGGACTTTGGAAGAGCTTGAAGAGATCTTTAACGATCCAAAGCCAGTGAAGAAGAGCCTGCAAAAGACTTGGGTTGTCATCGACGATGGTTTGGGTGTCAAAGTCAAACACGCCGCCTGATTCGATGTCTTTTTTTTTTTGGACATAAGTCTCACCAAAGTGATTCTGTTGCGATGTTGATCATCGCCTGGATATCGGCGGTATGGATTAACGCCGAAATGGCCGGAATATCTGCGGCCGATTCACCGTGGATCCACCGGATCTGCGGTGATGGTATCCGTGGCAAAGAGATAGAGGTAAACGGTATCTAAGTTCGTCTTTGAGAGTTTTTCTTCGTTGATCTCGAGTTTGAACTGATTGTTCCCTTCCTTAGTCGCGGAGAGTTGAGCAACTTCAAGATGTATTTCTGTCAACAATAGCTCTTTGTCGTACTTGACCAATTTAAGGCCGTTGTAAGATGTTGAAATTATAGCCTCCCAGTCTAGCGTCAATTTCTTGGTGGGTGGTTATGAGACCATTTTGTGCTAATTTATAACAGCCTTGCACTAATCATCCTTTCAACTGCTCTCATTATAGTTCCACCTATTTGAACCAATAATTAATGGTAAGTACGACTTGTTATCTCAAGTCTAATATGAGGTACATTCTGTTACTCTTATTTAGAAGTGGTCTGATTCCGGCATTATTATCCCTTGTTCTGCACTATATAGCTATGCCGCACAGTGACCAATTGCGCCGGCTGTATCATCCTGATATAGCTAGGTGGGCAGTGGCAATAAAGTGGAGGTGTACTTGATTGCGTGCTTTGCTTTCCAACAAGAGATGAGTCTCTAAGCTCTATTACGGTGTTACATCCTTGCAAAGTTCCATACTGGTGATTGATGACGGTCGAGAGAGGTTTTTGGGCCGTGAAACAAGTTGAAGGTAGGTTTTACCGTCAAACGGCCAACTCTAATACATGCGCCGGTGATGATACCGACAATGCCCTACGCTCGAAGTGTTGGTTTCAACATCGCAACACGAAGTCTTTGCAGTTCAGTCCAACAAAACCAGAAGCCTGCATTAATGACACCTGCGCCAATAACCTCAAAATCTCTCGATGTCTCACTGGGCGATACGATTTTAGGAGCCGAGCGCACAAAGCTCTTCGGACATCCGGTTGAGGGGTATTGAAATGTACATCTCATACGTACTACACCTTCAAGCGCCTAAGCTAGGAGCACAAGCCAGGGGGTAAGAGAGGGCGTGGCGGGGAAAGAACATGGTGTTAAAAAACGAGTGGTTCATTGCTGAGGAGTCTACAGACAAGCTGATAATGCCCCCCCCCCCCCCCCCCCCCCCCTGACAACCTGAGAGTACTGTGCACGATAACCAATAGGGGCCTGTGTAGAGTTAAGCTAATAGTAGAGTAGGTAATAGGGTTCTAGCTAATAGATATATCTATATATATAAAAAGGGTCTATAGGTCTAGAGAAAATAGGAATTTTTATTCTTCTTATATTATATAGTCTAGTAGTAAGTAGTGCTCCTAATAATCTAAAGGCTTTAGGTCTAACTTTAGCTTTTTCTAACTTTTTCTTTAGGTAATTCTAAAATAGCTCTACTAGGGAGGGTTAAAATAGTCTATCTTACCCTGCTTCCTCTACTGCGCTTTAGGTTAAGATAAGCTAAGACTATTCCTTTTGTTTTTTACCTCTATTTTTTACCTCTGTTTTTTTACCTCTATTTCCTCTTTTTACCTCTGTTTTTTACCTCTGTTTCCCCTTTTTCCTTCTATCTATACCCTTATCTATTAGCTATAACTATATCTATTGTCAGCTTAACTCTACACAGGCCCCTATTGGTTATTGTGCACAGTACTCTCGGGTTGTCAGGGGGGGGGGCATTATCAGCTTGTCTGATGGCTCGTTGCCAAGGACCATGTCAGTTTCGGCCGAAGGAACTCTCTCGCGCCAGAATTGGTCGATTTTCCCCCTTGGCAGGGACGACTGCGAACAGACGCGCGGATTATGGCTGCTGCGGCTTTCAGCCCAGCTTGAGTAAAGTGCGAGCAAACGATCTATATTAAACCTTGGGATTCATTGTTGCTACATGCAAGTTCACCTGGACTGCTGCGTTATCTTGTGGGAGCAGCACACCTCTCAGTTTTCTGTAGGAACTCAACGCCGCGGAAAGGATGGAAGCCGTTGACTTCCACTTCGAAGATTCACTAATCGACCCCTACGACGAGGGCCTCCACGGAGTCAACCAGTCTGATAATATCGCTTTCGTGCAGATTCTCTGGGCTAGTCTCGGATTACTAACAAGCATCGTTGTTTCTGTTCAGCTCGTGCTCCATCAGACAAACTCGAGGCGAAGGATCGCCCTCGCAGAGGCACCCAAAGAGACCCACCAAGATGCCTGGGTTAGACCTGTGTTTCCCTGGGTCCCGGGCGTGAAGCGACGGTTTCTGTATGCTCCCTTGTTCAGCTTGCGGCGGGCACGCCGACTACATTGGTTTGGAAGCTTGTCGACACGCAGCCACGCCATATTCCTCTTGTTCTATGCAGCTAGCAACATTGCATATATGTTTGCCGTTAACTTTGGTAAAAGCAACGTTGACTAACTCCTCGCTGAGATTCGTGGACGAACCGGTACACTGGCGGTGGCGAACATGGTCCCGCTGGTCCTTCTAATAGGGCACGACAACCCCATAACGGTTTGGTTGCGGTTGAATTACGACGACTGCATCATGCTTCATCGCTGGATTGGTGCGTCCTTGTGGTCGTTTCTGCTTACAATATCACCTTCAGCAGCAGTGAGCTAGTAACAGTCCTGGTCTAACATTCTATGCTGGTAGAACTGTTGTTTTGGAGATCCTTTTACACGGCATTGTCTGGGCGGTTGTTCACGTCGCCGATAAGGGCTGGTCAAGTGTCGGGGTAAAGGTAGTTCACCATGATTTCATCAGAGCCGGCTTCGTGGGATGGGTCGCGCTTGCGTTGATACTGGTTCTGTCGCTCCCCCCGGTCCGCGCCGCATGCTATGAGGCTTTGGTCAACATTCACATCCTGCTCGCAACCATCATCATCGGATCCACCATCGCCCACTGCAAACTATCCGGATTTGATCTACCTCATACGCCATGGAACATTGCGGCGGCTGTTCTGTGGGCTGTGGAGCGTCTTTTGAGGGCCCTCAGGCTTGTGCGGTACAGCCTCACCCGCCAGGGGCGGACCATAACCGACATAGAGACCATCGAAGGAACTAGCAATATGTGTCGCATCACGATGAATCTTCCGTGCCGCGTCGACATAAAGCCGGGTACGCATGCCTACATTCGCCTTGGCGCAGTCAAATTTCGGGAGACCCATCCATTCTCTATGGCTTGGGTTGAACACCGTCTGTATCCAACGGCAAGGGGATTTTCACAAAGAAAGATAACCACCGTGGTCTCTTTCATCGTCTGTGCTCAGCAAGGCTTTACCCGTGATTTGTTCAACCGGGTCTCGGCATCTGGAGGGGTGTTAACGACGAACGCAACGTTCAAAGGGCCATACGGTGGTCACACCTCACTCGACAGTTACGGCCACGTCGTTCTCATCGCCGGTGCAAGCGGCATCACACATCAGATTGGGTACGCTCGAAGACTTGTTCTTGGTTTCAACTCACAGACGACGGCAACTCGGCGGATTGTCCTCGTTTGGGTCATCTGAAACTACGATGCTGTCATGTGGGTTCGGCCCTGGCTTGCTGAGATCCTGAAGTTGCCCAACTGCTCGGCATTGTTGACGGTTAAATTGTTTGTCACTCGCGAGCTCATTCAGCAACGGCACCTGCCCAGCCCGGATATTTCCAACTCCGAAACCGTCATTTCTTACTTTTACAAGCGACCCGACATCATGAAGCTTTTACAAGAGGAGGTTGAGAACCAGATCGGCGCTATGTTTGTAATGGTATGTGGGCCAGGAGGCTTGTCAGACGACGCCAGAGCCGCTGTTCGACAATGTCAACGTTCCGGTCACGAGGTCTGCTTTGAGGAGAACTGCTTCAGCTGGTGGTGGCGAATAAGGGGTCTTTTTTAATAACGCTTCAACGGGTGGACTTCCCATACATGTGCAGTCGAATAAACAGAAAAACATTCCGCTCATCAACAGGAAATTTCTTCAGGCCTCGAGTATCCGAAAGACACCAACCACTAATAACGTGATAGAAAGAAATGCTACAATAACCCTGAACGAAAGCATGCTTTTCAGCATCTGCAGTTAGTCCTCCCCCGTACATGTGTATATGCTTCATGATAACGCCAGAGGAACAGAAACTTAAGTCCCTGCTATCGGCCTCATGCATAGTCAATGGCATAGTGAGTAATTCTCTAACCACATATAGATTTTTGTTGCAGTAACCCAACCTATTGTTACTCTTCCTTGGAGCGTAGAGAAACTTGAATGAGCTTGGGTTGCTCCGGGCGGCTCGTTGGTGTGTGTCTCAAGGTGCCGCTTGGAGAGGACTTATAGGGCTTTTGTAAGCTATGGCAACATTTCAAAGTGTAGCATAAATCAGTGATAGCAATGAAAACGGGCTTCGGGCTATCAGAGACAGAATCAGGGTCGGAGGAACACGCTATTTGTAAGAAAACTGAATGGCCTTGCGGGCTACCTGACTGACGCTCTGCTGAACCAAGTGAATCCAATCAGGCACCACCAGCTCCATTGCATCCTGCAATCAATGACGGCAAATGTTTTCACTGGGGTCAAACCCTAAGAATGGATTCTCTCGGTTTTTCCAGTTTCGAATTTCCCTTCGTGCCAGGAATTCCAGTATTCGCGTATCTCTAGGTTTGCCTTCGAGTCGGACTGCTAAGTCCTTGAGGTCCATGCTGATCGCCTCCTGCAGTGCGACATCTCTCATCTTGAACTCCCACTGCGCCTTACGGGCTCGCTCGAGCTGCACAATGGCGCCAGTCATAGCCATGGCGACGAGAACAATAGCAATTGTCGCGTTCGAGGCAAATATTGGGAACTGCCGCTCTGGCGCGGCCTGAGCGGATGGTCGGCCACCATGTGTGCGGGAACCTCTAGCGGCATAATAATGGGAGCAAGGTGTACTCTGAGTTCCATACTTTGACAAAACCCAGCCGAGGCCGTATCTTTCATACAGCAGTCGCTTCTGCGGGTCGCTGAGGATTTCGTTTGCCTCGATGACGAGCCGGTAGCGTTCAAGCCGCTTTGCAAGCGGAATACCGGCCACTTCCTTCTCATTTACACCATAAATATCAGGATGGTACAGCTTCACAAGCCGGTGGAAACTTTTCTTCGAGTAAGGCCTGCCAGGCTCAGCTCCCAGGATCTCGTGAGGCGACGGATAAGGGCCCTGAGGCCACGGTGCTACATCGTGGAGATGGTGGGGGGCACACGACTGAGGGCTTTGCCTGTTAGAGTGTACATATCTTTGACGGGCCTTGAGAAGGGACTGTGATGCGCTAGGCAATTTGGGGAAAGAAGCCATGGTAATATGGAGAGGCGCGCGAAACTTGAGTTGGCAAAGGATGGCGGAGTCTAGTGAGAGGTGTGTAACTGTCTTTGTGCAACGATTTTGATCAACACTACAACTAACCCGGATTGAAATAGCAATTTGAGGGTGAGAACGTGCTGATAGATACTCTCAGATCGAGTTGATAGACTCTACCTTGATGCCCAAAGCTGAGTCATCTGGGCAACATGTTCCAGCAGCTGCGGGGTTAACCTGCGCATACTTGCTCGAATGTAGCCCCGAACGTTGTCTGAGGTGTGTGCCATGTTTTGTGTTCTGTTCCAGTCGACTTATACCCTCTGCAAATAATGTTCTTGCATTACGCGGTGAGCGAATGTGTCTTTGAAACCGATGGTATGCGGTATAGCAGACACAAGTCCTTCCAGCGTCGACACCAGATTCGATACTCTTACAAGTAATTCGCCGTTTTTAGGCTTTAAAAAAAGCTTCCCTGGTAGTCACAACAGGGTCATATCATGGAAAGACGATCGAAAGGATGCAGACAACCACATATTCTTCTCCCCATAGTTTAAGATGTCATATATAGGAATATTGTTGATTGTGACAAAGGCCCTCTCCCCATCCGGCAAGTCGATAGAAACCTCGACTGTTGCTGCTCCTAAACACATCTCTTGGACGCTGAAATATTTTCTCCAAAGAATCATCTTCAACTATGTCGTCTTCAGCTTTTCATGTCTCTTTAAGAAACCTAATCACCACAATTCTAGCCAATATTAATGACTATGGCTATCCGCGACGCACAAGCAGTTTGCGGACCTATTACAACAGCGATCAAACCGCCTCAATATGTGCCCGGAATGGTCCTCCACGTTGAATTCATTTTGCATGAACCGGAGACAGCGAGACGTGGCGATTATACCCTCGGACTCCACAGTCTATCCTCACTTGTGACCGGCGCCGGGCTCCAGACAAACTTTCAAGCACCAAACAGCCATCGGCAAAAGCAACGGCTGGCCTCCTATTTATGGGTAGATGCAGCAATTAGGCGGGTTTGGAAATCTGCCGGTGGCTCATTTCGAAAGAATAACGATATGGAACCATTCCTGAAACTTTGTGCTACGATCTTTGCGTACACCTTCGCATTCTATTTAACCATCTACATACATAAAAGCCCATTTCTCATACATGGTGTCTACCTCGCTAGTCAGCGGACATGGAACAAAGCAATGAAGTCAACGGTTATGTCCTGTAGCAACACTGTCCCTTTTGTTGCTGAAATGCAGCTTTTTTCTTTCATTTTAAGGCCTCTAAGCCTACTACAACACGTACTTAGTGCTAGAAGTCAGAGATGCATTTCGTTGCGTGTCGCACCACACATGGACGGTGGCGTGGGCCAAATCCAGGTGATTGTAGTCACTCCCAAAATACCATCGAACCCCGGCGATCTGCTAAAACAAATCCGAATAACAGGATTCTGCCCCAACCACACTGGATTTCCAAAAGGAGTTGGACCAGCTGCTCTTTGCCTGTGCGGAGGAACCTGGCCGAATCTGGATCAGTGGCTGGAATCTTTCTCATCACAGTATGAGCACACCTCAACGGACTATGAGAGCTGAAAAGGGGGCTCCAGCTATAAGATACATGAGAAAGCGCGAGGTACAACCTCTTTCAATATCCCTTGTGTTCAGTTGACCGTTTGTTGTTACGCAGTAATACAAAATCCAGCTCATCATTTTACAACCATCTACTACACTCGTTTCGATCGTTATCCAAAATTGCCCCTCTTAAATTCTATGATGGCCCGCGTGACGCATCTTATTGTGCTGCTCACAACGCTTGCTGCTACGTCTTTGGCTTACCCTGGCATGCAAAACGGGGGATTTGCGGCACGACTCCATGAACGCTTGGACGCTCTCGAACCCCGGCCCCCCGGAGAGCTCATCGGGGACCTTCTCTACTAGTTCCGGCTGTCTCAGTCCAGTTGGTCAAGAAATCAGGAATATTCTTACCCTTTCAGGCACTGCCACGTCTGATGATGCGTACGGCAGCAACGCTCCCAATCTTGGCAGTGAGGAGTGCAAGTTAGACAAATGGTGCGTGTGGAAGCACATTACGGACGATGTGGTTACTCTCTTCCATAATAGCGCATCAGGCCAATGTACTGACCCTGCGCGATCTGCCGTACGACTTGGCTTCCATGATCTGCCGGATGGAGCAAAGAAACCGGCTCCCTAGGTGGCGCCGACGGCTCGCTTGTTCTTGCCCCTGAAGAGATCGGACGCTCAGGCAACGAGGGATTGCAGAGAATTGCCCAGCAGACCCAGGTCTGGTACGACAAGTACAAAGAGCACGGCATCAGTATCGCAGACCTCATCCAGTTCAACGCAAATGTCGCAACGGTATCTTGTGCTCAAGGCCCAAGGATTAAAACCTTGATTGGCCGTCAAGATTCGTCATAGCCAGCTCCTGACGGGCTACTTCCATCGCCATCCGATTCAGTCAATAGTCTCATTACGCTCTTTAAGAACCAAACGATTTCGGTACAGGGCCTTGTTACTCTCATTGGTGCCCATACGGCCAGTAAGGAACGCTTTGTGGACACAGAAAGAGCAAACGCGTCCCAGGACACAACCCCGGGTATTTGGGACCTCAAATTTTACCAGCAAACTTTTGAAGGAGCTCCCGCAGAGGTTTTCACGTTTCAGAGCGATAATGCTCTCTCAAAGGATGCAAGGTCCAAGCACACATTCGAAGTTTTCGCGCAAAGCAGCCAGGATATCTGGAATCAGGTGAGCTTGCATCATTGAGACTGATAATGTTGACTTTTTAACCGAAACGTAGGCTTATGCCCAAGAATACGTCAGACTAAGTCTCTTAAGCGTATATAACATCAACACTTTGACGGATTGTACCAAGAGTCTTCCTGCTCGTAACCTCTAGAACAAGCAGGCTGCCCGCCCGCTTACTGGCCCTGAAAATAAGGCAAAAGACGAGTTTTGCCGTATCACTCCTTTTTAGGGCTGAAAAGCAACGAGACCACAGACGAGTTACTATTGTAAATAGCTAAGAGAAGTTCTTTAATTCTCTCAGTTTGTGTTTCACACATGTGCAAGCCTCACAATTTAGAGAACAAACGAAAGTACTAATTGATGTTGCCTTATGCCAATTCCATAATATAAGTCTCACGAGCTCGAGCACACAGCGAATAGGGGTCATACTAAAGGTAAAGAGAAGCTTGATTGCAGTAAAAGGGTTCCTACGAGTGAGGGTAGAAATACAAGTGTCAAAGTCGGTCAGGTGACATCGCACATGTCGTGGCTAATACTACCCGGCAAGTAATCGATTGTTCCGTCGATGTGATGAAGGTATCTCTTCTCCCATTTAGTCGTGGATCTTCTACCTTTTCCACTCGACCGTTAGATTCTAGCCTCTCCGTCCATCTAGGTATATCCGTACACCAGGTTTATCAGGGTGAAGTGGACTTGCCAACTGCCGCTAGCCCTTTCAAGGTAGTTGTCCCTTGGCAAGAGAGCCCGAAGCTTTCCGGTCATTCGACTGGGGTTCTTCGTGGTCATTGCATGTTGAATTCCACCTAAGACTCAAAGGTACAAAGTACAAGCTCACTAGGCGCAGAAACTTGCTCATTCTTGCGCAGGCAAGCTACGCCATTCTAGTGCGGTATAATTGCTTCCCTCACACACCCCCCACAGTTAGAGGCTGACATCTTGCGCCAAGTCAGACTACTTCATACTAGTAAGCGAGGAAGGGGACTGACCTGCCAGGTTGAGCTGCGCCATGGACTGCAGACGGGAGCACAGACCACCTGCTATTTTTTTGTAGCCACTATTCATACTCGTGTATCCGTATTTAATATTCATAACGCATAGCTGAGACGTTAGCTTAGTTAACATGATCTCTTGCTGTAAGTTTTCTTCTGATAGGAGGCATCTTGGAAACGTTTGATAGGTATTTTTGATAGTAGAGTATCTAGAGCCATCTTTACCAGTGCTGCTGCTCTCATGGGTATCTGGAATTACGCATAAAGCTTTATTTTTCTCTGTCTCTCTTTTTCCTTTCCTTTTCTTTAGCTTGGCGAAAGAGACCTCGTGCTCAAAGAGGCTTGGCCGAGCAAAATCTGATTCTTGCACTGTCATAACCGCCGTCATCTCTCATGGTCTCACACTCTTACACTCCCCGTGTTCACGTTTTCACACTAAGCGAAAAAGAGGCCTAGCGGGGCTAATACTCCGTCCAAAGTGGCAATGGCGGAACTGCAGCAAAATCAAGTACTTACAAGCCAACATCCTCTGGCATTGGATCTGCCTTCCTAAGCCTATCTCGGGAAGACGAGATTCTAGGTTTAAGATCCTGATTAATCAATTGTCAGCGTTCCTGCGGGTATCCATCGATAAGCAGGCACTTCAATTGGTACGCTGTGGATAGTCGGGTAATTAGTGGATTTTTGCTGTGCAATTAATATTCCTTACACCGAAAGACACGTAACTTGCGCAAAATAACTAAACATCCCTACATTTGCCTTCCTTCCATGCAACAAAGCTGTCGAGTAACGCCGACGATGCTGCAAGAAGAAGCGACAGAGTAGGAAATGAAGAGAAGGAGAGGGGGGAAGGGGAGAGGCATTCAGGCCTATAAATGCGCCATGTTTCTTCAATATGCACTCAAACAAATGTACAGTCCGCCTCGTCGCACCGAAGACTCACACACCTTCCACGATCTGTTCATCATGTTAACAGCAGTGTGTACACCAGTGACTTTTGGAAACCTTTCCTTTTTTGGAGCTGAGGTGCTCTCTCTGGAGGCAAACTTAGTCTCCAACTACAGCGTTTCAGTTCCTACTACGTATCGCTTCACTCAACCGGCCATAGAAGTGGTGAACGCCGTATTCTGCAACGTGACGGTAACCTACACACACCCAGGACAGGGCGATAATGTTGCTGTTGAAGCCTGGCTTCCGCCAGACGGTTGGAACGGGCGCCTCCAGGCCGTCGGAGGTGGCGGCTGGGTTGCGGGACGCTCGATATTTGACATCGCTATGGGCGGAGCGCTGGGTGACGGCTATGCAGCAATATCAACCGATGCTGGACTGAGGAATGCAGAGGATCCATCTACGTGGGCGCTGCTGAGCCCCGGAAATGTTAACCTCTACAACCTGCAGAACCTTGCGTCAGTTTCTTTGAATGATACGGTATGTAAGCCCTGTGATATTTTATACTTTTCAAACTATACAGTCACCTACGCATTAGGTGGTTGATCGTTCTCAGGTTCTCGTCTTCTTCTGTTAACCTCGTTGTTACTGCAGGCAGTCATTGGAAAGGCACTTGTTAAGTCCTACTACGGCCGCGGACCGGATTATACCTACTGGAATGGCTGCTCGCAAGGTGGTCGGCAGGGGCTCATGCTAGCCCAGCGGTACCCAACAGCCTTTGACGGCATTGCAGCGGGCGCGCCGGCAATTTACTGGACAGAAATTTTCCCTAGCATGCTGTGGCCGCAACAGACGATGAACATGCTGGGTGAATATCCTTACCCGTGCGAGATACAGGCCATCACAGCAGCAGCAGTCTCCGCCTGCGACGGGCTAGATGGTATAACCGACGGAATCATTAGCAAGACCAACGACTGCTTAGCTAGCTTTGACCCCTTTGACCTAGTTGGCCAACAAATCAACTGCACCCAAGCGCCTACAATCGGCTCGGCTGCGGCGGCTGTAGTCAACGCGACATGGCAGGGGAGACACGACGCACAGGGCGTGCAGAGGTGGTTTGGGTTAAACCCAGGTACCGACCTATCTATCGGCGTTGCAATGACGAACTGCACAGGAGAAACGTGCCAGGGCGTACCGCTGTCAATCGCCACAGAGTGGATTTCGCTCTTTGTTGCACGTGGTGGAGGAATCAATATCTCTAACCTGAGCCATATTGAATTCGATTCACTAGCTCCTCAGAGCCGGCAATGGTACAATTCAGTAATCGACACTGACGACGCCGACTTATCTGCCTTTCAAAACGCCGGTGGTAAGCTCATTACCTTCCACGGTCTTGTAAGCATTTTCATTTCTCTTTGCAGTTACTCACATTTTGTTCTTTCTTCCTCTTTAATGACTTTAACTAACGTATGTGAAGGTTGATGAAACGATCCCCTCGAGGAGCACCTCCAAGTACTACAACGAAGTTTCAGCCCTAATTCCAAGTATAAACGACTTCTACCGCCACTTCGAGGTGCCCGGTATGGGCCACTGTGCCGGACGTCAAAGCGGGGAACCGACTAGCCTCTTTGATCAGCTGCGCGCATGGGTTGAGAACGGCACCGCGCCGGACCACTCGTCGATTAAGGTCACTGGCTTGGACGGAGCTGAGCAAAGCCGGATCTTGTGCCCGTATCCCCAGGATGTCGTCTTCGATCAGGATTGCGGCGCCGAAGGTGAAGCTCGGTGCTGGTCGTGTTCTGAGTCTACTCCCTAGGGCCTTTTATGTCTACCAGATCGTCTCAGCCGTGTATTGTACGAGTAAAATAACCTCTGCGAGGCGTTTTTTCCCAAATACTCGACTCCATAAGTGACTACGTATGGAAATCCTCGCATAAAAGCAAATGGCACGCACCTTACTATCCCACCGGTTTTTTCTATCGCACTAAAAGCCCCACAACTGCCAGGCCGATTCCTGAGAATGATGGGACCAACAGAAAACATCTTCGTTGGAGCGCGGCTAACACTTGGTGATACCTAAGCTATCGCCCTCCATGCTTTATAAGTAAACCCAGCGATATCAGGCAGGGAAGTATTTAGAGCGCAGTTATCAGTTCACCCAGCCAGTCTAGTACTCAAGGGAACTATCGCAGATTAAAATGCTGTGATCACCCTGTACGTTGCCACGTATATTACCTTAAGACCTCAGACCATTCAACAGGTGGTTTCGTTATGCTTCTCTTGAAACGTATGCACCAAAAGTGCAACTACGTCAAGCTTTTCTTTAAATTATGTTCTATAACGGATGCTAGTCTAATATCATAGGATCTTGTCGGGATATTCAACTGTTCAATGGTGGAGCCGATCCATGGTCACGTGGTTTACCATCACATGACTTACCCTAGCGGCTCACTTACACCACCACAAATATCTATAGCAACAACTTCTTCTTCTTTTTCCTATTATCTATCTTAATAAGTAACTAGTAGTTAATTAAACTATTACTGCTTTATAATTATAATCCCTATAATACTAACACTAATTAGTAGTTAACTTTATAGTTACTACTACTATAGATTAGTAAGGATTATTAGAAGAGGCTTATAATACTTTACTTACTATAGTAGCTTAAATTAAAGTATTAAAGTGCTACCTAGCCTAAAGATTATTAGTACCTAAGATCTTATAATACTTAGTAAATAACCCTTTAAGCCTTATATCTACTATATAATAACTACTATTACTACTATTAACTTTATTACTTTTAGAAAAGTCTTTTCTTTTATATACTACTTACTTACTAATAACCTTTATAGTATTTAGTATAATTATCTTTTTTTTATACCTAAGTTTCTTTAAGTTTTTTTTTTTTTTATCTTTTAACCTTTTTTTCTTCTAATTATTAAGATTTTTATCTTACTAAGTTTTTATCTTACTATAGTAGTAATAGCCTATATAAGATTATAAGTAAACAGACTCTTATAAGTTTTTATTTAAATAAGATCTTACTAGTAGGACTAGCTATAAAGTAGTTAAGTAAGAACTACTTAAGTAATTTACTTTTAATATAGTATTTATAAGTAAATAGCTTCTACTAATCTTACCTTTATATACTTCTAATATTATATTATTAGCTAGGCGTAGCCTATAGTAATTATAACTTCTTCTCTTAACTAGATAATTAGTAGCTAAGTATTACCTTTAGTAAGTATACCTTTTTTTATTCTTTAAGTAAAGTAAAAAAGGTAAAAGTTACCTATATTACCTTAATTTACTTACTTTTTTTTATCCTTTAAATACTTATTAATAACTATACTATCCTCTTTACTTTCTCTTTTTTTTTAAGTAAGGTATAGTTATTAGTAACTAATATAACTTTTACTTAACTTTACTATCCTAATTAATTTAAGAAGACTACTTATTATTTACCTTTAAGTAAAGTATATAACCTTAACTTCTTACTTTTTTTTTTAAAAAAATCTTTAACTATAGTATCCTACTTACTAAAAAGTAAGGTCTATATATATCTTTTTTTAAAGATAGTATATATCTCCTCTTATTCTTTAAGTAAGATCTACTATAAGGCCTCCCTAAAGCTATCTTTTTATATTACTAAAGCGTAAGGCCTCCCTAAAGCTATCTTTTTACGTTACTAAAGCATAAGGCCTCTCTAAAGCTATCTACTACTATTTATTTATTTATTATTTTATTTCTTTATTTACTTTATTTCTTACTTATACCTCTTTATATTATATTATTTATCTACTTATTTTATTATTATTTATACTAATAGTAGTAATTCTTTTAATATATAGATTTACCTCTAACTTTATAAGTAAGAAGTAAGTGCTTATATTTAAGAGATTAGTAAGGCTAATAAAAAGTAACTATAGTAAAAGAAAAACTAAGTAAGAGGTAAAGTAAACTATAGGCGCTAGCTAAAGTAAAAAAGTATATCTATTTATAAGATATTAAAGATCTATATCTTATCCTAAAGCGTAGCTAGCCCTTTATTATTATATAACTATAAGGTATAACTAATTTAGCTAATATTCCTAACAGCCTTACCTAAGTTAAGTAATATAACGCCTTAAGCACTATTATTATACTTTAAATAATATAATATAGCTTTATATAGCTATATAGTTAATAGCTATAAAGATATATTACTAAAGACTTTAAAGAATAGTTACTTAATACTTTTAAAGGTACTACTTATAAAACTATTATTAAATTTAAAGACTACCTAATATATAGAGGTATATAGGTATTAATAGTAAAGTTACTAACTATTACTAAATAAATTTACTATACCCTTAAGGCTAATAATCTAAAGGTATAGACGCTTAAGGATATTAAAAAAAAGAAAAAAAAAAGTAAGGATTTTTACTTAAAGATTAATAAACCTAACTTTATAAGAGATATTATAGACCTACTACTAAAAATAATATTAATATAAGATTAACTAGGCCCCTCTTATATTATTACCCTCTTAGTATAAGTCGCTTAAGTCTAAGAAGGTTAATAAAGGCCTATTAATCTAGCCTTATTATATAATAACCTAAATTTTATTTCTTTACTATTTAAGTAGGTAAGTAACGCTTACCTTTACTTATTAGTTACACTAGTTACTACTACCTTACTAGTAACTTACTAGCTTACTAACCTTATTAAATTATATCTTAATAAGATAAAGTATAGTAAAAAGGTATATAAGTTACTTAAATTAAAGCTTATAATCTTTTATAACTACTATATAAAGGCTAAGATTTAGTAAAAGCACTTTATAAGCGCCTTCTTTATTATACTTAAAGGTAAAGCTATAGAGTACTATACTAACTATCTTTATAACTAGACTAACTTTATTACTATAGTTATATAGATAAGAGGTAATTTTAAGAATAAAAAGACCTTTTAGGCCTACCTTACTAAGCTATAAAGGACTAATTTAATAAGGACTATTTTAGATAATCTAAATAAAAGTAAGGCTAAATACCTAAAGTTACTTATTAAGAGAGTAACTACCTTTATAAGAATAGTTATAAGGATTAGTACCTTATCTAACGTAGCCCTCTATAACTAATTACTTAACTTCTACTATAAGATAAAAAAGTACTTTTTTACCTTTTTTAATTTATTTTTAACGTTTACTAGTATATATAGCTAGCTTTAATTAGTAATTAGTAATATAATATAATTTAAATAACCTATATATTAATACCTAACTAAAGAAGTAGATAATTAATACTAAACTAACTATACTTATAACAGCTAGTAAAGTTACTAGTAATTTAGCTAACGTAACTATAGCTATAGTAACTTTATACTATAGCGCCTTTTTAATAGTAATCTATAGTAATAAGCACCCCTTTTACCCTTATTATTATTTATAAAGAAGTACTATATATATAGTAAGCCTAACTATTAGTTAATAAGGCACTTAAAAGATAAAAGGTAATAAGCTTACTATAAGTATAAAGAGTAGTATCTAATAGACTTTTTACCTAAAGCCTTTAACTACTTTATAACTAACTTTAAGAGATATAAGCTATTTACTTTAGATAAAGAAGGTAACTATATAAAAAGTAATAAAGATAAAGAATTAGGTACTACGTTTTATATATTAATAACGTTCTTTAACTTATTTACTATTAATAGGCTTACTCTTTTTTTATTACTATATAACTAATTTATAACCTATTTTCTTATAAAGGATAACTTCTTATATAAGAATCTATATAATAATAAGCTACCTAATATAGACGTCTTTACTCTTAATAAGTAATATTTATTTATCTTATTTTATAGTATTATACCTAACTCTAGTGTAGCTAAATATTTAATAGCTAGATATAAGTAGTATCTTACCTTTTACTACTAAATAAAAAGAAATCTAGCTATAGATAAGTTATAAGTAGGTAAAGTAAAAATCTGCTTTAGTAGTAGTAACTACTTTAAATTATAAAAGGTAATTAACATACTAACCCCCTTTAGTATATTAACTTTCTATATAATACTATTAAATACCTTATTTCTACTTTACCTTATAGATATAGATTAGTATAGTATTAAATTTAATAACCTTACTAATAAGCTAATCTAAGGTAATACTATTATACCTACTATCTAGAAATAAGGCTATATATAGATACTACTTAATTAACATAAGTAAAGTATTACCTACTACTATCTTATAGATAATAAGTTATAGTAAATTTATTATTACTTTAGCTACTTATTAGTCTAAAGGCTCTATTACGTCCTCTAATAATCTAGTAATAAAGTTAAGATTATAGCCTTAGAGAAATTAACTAAAGTCTACTACTACTACTAGATAAATATAAAGGCGCTTAGTTACTTTAAATTTACTTTATATAATAATAAATATAACTTTAACTATAAGATTATTATTAATATTATCTACCTTAATAGTAACTACCTAGTCTTATATATAGTTAATACTATAATATCCTTCTAAGCAGCCTGTTTACTTAAAAACGTTACTATAAAGTATATATAGGAGGCACTTTAGATATACTAAATTAATATCTACTTTAGCCTACCTAACTAGATTATTACTAATACTAGCCTAAACTTTTATGCTAGTAAATTTAAGTAGTTAGTAAGGTTACTTTATATTAATATTAAAGAAATACTAATTAAAGCCTATAATAGTATTAGTAAGGTTAAAAGATATTATATACCCCTCTAATATGTATATAATATCCTCTATAGTAAGGGCTATACACCTAAGGTTACCCTTTAGCTAGCTATTAAAGTAATTAATAATACAGCTAGCCTAAATAGCCTAGTACTTATACTACTAGTCTTTAGCGCCTACCTATAAATCTCTAACTTATTACTACTTTTACTAACTTTACTTAAAAGAGCTAAAGTAGTAAGAAAAGTAATAGAAGCTATTTACTAGATCTATATAAAAAAGTAAGTTAATAAGGTAGTAACTATATATAATAGCCTAGATACTACTATAATAGTAGCTTTTCTACTTTAATCTATAGTCTATATCTAGTATAAGAAAAAGGGCTAATAAGGCCCTTTTTACCTTATTACTAGTAATAAGACTACTTATACTATTAACCTCTCTTAAGGCTTATAAACTTTTTATTTAACTATTATTAAACTATACCTTAAAAATACTTATAATAAGTAATAATAGCTACTCTTTAAGATAGGTAGGTAGAGTAATAAGAAAAATAATAATAATAGTATAGCAGCCTTATTACTTACTAACGTCCTTATGCCTATTAAAGAAATATATAATAGTATTACTATTACTATATACCTATAGCTAAAGCAAAAAGCTAGCTACTTATAGAGGTATATTAATTTCTTTAATAAAACTAGCTTTACTATTAGGCCTACTGCCTTCTTTACTACTATAAGTATAGTATACGTCTTAATAAAGGAAGAAGCTAACTAACTATTATTAATTAAGCTATAAAAAAAGGGTATTATTACTACCCTAGGGAAACCTTTTAAGTAAGTAACTACTACTAAGATTAAAAGGCTTATTACTTATAAGGTATTTTACTTTATTTAATATAATAAGAATAAGTATACTAAGATATAAATATTTAAATTATAGATTATTAATAAGGTAAAAAGCTAAAATAAAAAACTATATAAAAAATCCTACCTTATTATCTAAGGATATACTAATAATAGTAAAAAAGTAATTCTTACTTAGTTACTTATAATCTAATAAGCTAGCTAGCGCCTTATTTTTACTTTTACTTTATCCCTTATTTATAATAATAATAATTTCTTACTTTAGTTATATAATATTACTTAGGTATATATATAGTTAACTACCTTATTAAATTATATAATTCTTATATGCCTTTTATTATAGATATAAGACCTTTATTTAAAAAGTACTATTATATAAGTAGTAAAGCTGTTATATAGTATTATAAAGGTAGACACTTACTAGTAGGTAATATATAGTTACTACTATAAAAAAAAGCTTTAGATAAAGACTTTAACCTTTAATTTATACCTACTAATTACTAATATAGAGAGCCTAGACTTTAGGATTATTAGTATATAGACTAATAATACTATTACCCTTTTAGATAAATCCTTCTCTACCTATAAGGCTAATAAGCTTACTAAGGCTATATTTACTACTAAGAAGAAGTAAATCCTTACTATTAATAACCTACTTACCTTTAATAGTAGCGTAGTATCTCTAACTACTAAAGAGAAGATCTTTCTCTAATAAAAAGGCTAAAGTAAAAGACTTTAACTTATTAATAAAGAATCTCTATAAGCACTTAAGTAGTATGTTAAATAATAAGCCTATAGTATATATATTATATTAGTCTACTAGCCTAAAGCATATTTTAACTACTTTATTATAGTATAATACTAATTACCTAATATAAATAAGATTAAGGCACTTAACTATTATATTATATAGTAAATAAATAACCTTAACTATAGTCTATTATTTTACTTACTTAACTTTAAATTTATAAAGCTTTTTATTTTTATAAATAGATTATTTATAAATAATAAGGACTTTACTTTATAGCTAGGATTTATTATTATTCTTACTAATAAGGCACCTATAAGTACTACTATAAGTAATAGATTTACTATAACTAGTAATATTATTTACTTTAGCTTAATAAAGTATAAGTAAGTTACTTAAAGTATACTAGCCTCTAAGATCTATAGTATAGTTACTAGCACTAACGTTACTTATATACTTAGTATAACTATTATAATAATTACTAACTACCTTAAGCTACTATATATACTAATAATCCTTTATACTAACTTATACTTACTTTATAAGTGCCTTATTAAGCTTAAGACTATAAAAAAGAAAAGGCTTATAATTAATATTATAGCCTTTTAGTAGTTATATAAGTAATATAAGGTCTATAAGGTATAATAAATATAAGGTAATAATAATCCTACTAATAGATTTACTAAATTATTACCTAATAAGGCGCTAGAATAACTAGTTAGAAATAAGATAGTTTAGATTAGTATAGAGGGATAGGTTTCTTAAGCTATATAACAGATTATATAGACAAAAAGTATTAAATACTTTTAGGCTTTTAATTTTTATTACGTTTTTAAGCTTTTTAGCTACTAGGCAGTATCTAGGCTATTTATAGTAATTTTCCTTTACTTTAGAAAGTTACTAGTGTTAGGATATTTAACTGTTTAATAGTAAAGCTAATCTATAGTTATGTGATTTACTATCACGTGACTTACCCTAGCAGCTCACTTACACCACCACAAATATCTGTAGTAATAACTTCTTCTTTTTTTTCCTATTATCTATCTTAACAAGCAACTAGTAGTCAATCAAACTATTACTGCTTTACGATCGCAATCCCTGTGATACCAACAGATCTATTTGACAGAAGTAAGTTAAGTGGAATTATATTAAAATAACTGGATTGAGTTGCTTTCTCTTAGTATTAGGTGCCTTATTGTAGAGGAGGGTAAGGTATAGAAGTGAAGTCCGCCCTAGGCGTGAAGGCAGTCGAAGGGCCCCCAGTATTAATTCTCCCCATCGCAGTCTGTGGGCAGGACCAGAAAAAGCGAAAAAATAAGGAAGGGAGGGAAGAAGCCGCCAAATTTGTAACGGCCCCTTCACAGTCGGTGGGGTGAGTGTCGACTTGACGTTCAGCTACAACATACGGTTGTCTCGTCAATACCCTTTGACCCTTCACCTTCACCAACGCCTGTCCCACCAATCTGAATCCTGACGACAAACCAATCACACAAAAATTTGCCCAGACCAGCCCCAATGATGATTGAGATGATAACATAACCGTTGAAGTACATGGCAAGCAGCATGATAATGTATGCCACGCCAAATGCGACGGCGTGGATGATGGCTCGGGCCAATTGCTGGAGCGGCGACGCTCGGAACGTGAGAGCCTGGGGAGGCGAGGCACATGCGGACGGTTCTGTGGCACAGAGTCTTTTGCCCTTTTCGGAAGACTGGAAATCTGCCGAGAGATTGGCAACTTGGCGCTGTACCTGTCGCAAGATAATGCCATCATACTCTTTGCCGAGTCGTCGTAGGCATTCGTGGGCCACGACGAGAAGGACAACGCCAATGCACGATGCAGCCATCATGCCGTGGTTCTTGATTTGCCATGATTCAGCAAGGAAGCCTGTTGTCGCTCACATCAGTCCGGGTTTGCTGGATGAGGATGGGGTCTGCGGTTGGCGATCTTACACGCATCGACGGTGTTCCAATTCCATAGCATCTAAGATGACTCGAAGGTCAGTAAACTGAACATTGAAGGCTAAGAGAAAAGAAAGAGAATAAAACGGAGGGGGGTTATTTACGTACTGAGACCTTGCATGCTGGGCTTTCTGCCGAGCTGTGATCCATGGTAGGCAGACGGTATCTTCTTTATGGCCGTGTGGGCAGTCTACGCCAGTTGTCGATTGAGAGCAGAGGCAATGTGTTTAGTGATAATGAAATGGATGAGTGGATGATTTTAATCAAGGCCGCTACTTTGGGCGCGTGGTATCAACCAACCGTACATACACCACAGGAGCTGTCGGGATTTGCCAAAGCAGTGCCCGTAGTATATCCTGATATCTCCAGCCACCGAACGTACTTCGGCATGTCTACCGGATTGAGCTATCGGATAGAGCCCGGCTCCTAAGGTGGCGACGGTGGCGCTACCCAGCAAGTAATGAAAACCCCTGCAACTCACTAGGTTGTCTCCAAGCCCTACTCTTGCAAGTCGGGCCTTAGCCAATAGAAACTTGCTCACAAGAGCCCACATTTGGCGCGACAACAAGCCAGAACGCACAATCACTGCTTGGCAGTCCGGCAGCAATCTTCATTGAATCTACGATAAGTGTGCTGCGTGATTGCTCGGCAAGAGGGGGTTTTTTACAAATCCGATGGTCTTGAGGAACCCACTCCGGTCTGGGCACGTTCGTGGTTCTGTTGTTGATTCCCGATAAACTTACCTAGTACGGAGTATATGCTGGCCGGTAACGCAGCGTCGCATCCATAAGATCCCACGTGTGTTTTTAATCACAGTCCGGCCTGATCCCTCCCCCATTAACCCCACTCATGCAAGTTAAGGGTACAGTACATTTTGAGCGCCATTCCCTGGCATGTGGTCCATCACATTGTTTCATAAAGTATATAATATCACCCTCCTCCGAAGGTGTGTTTCCCCGGTGCCACCTCGTTCAGGCTCTTCTATGCGCAGTAGGTTCTGACACCAAGCAGCAGTGTAGTCGTCCGTCCCAAAGAAAGACTCTGTACGTCGCAAGTCACCACGTTGTCTCTCCAAGCCCGGGGCCTTTTTTTATTACAACGCCTCTTGTTGCGTGGGCTCTTTCCAGAGACCTCGTCCTATCGCCTCTCGATCATTCATACAGTAATCGAGTACGGACATACAAGTAGACCGCTTGTCGATTCCCAGTCTTCCGCGTCCCCCGCGAAAAGTACATCGATGATAACAGTGCCAAGCACCGCCTGAAGATTACTCGTCGACATTTTCCCTCGACCTCGGCCACGTCAACGTTCTACCAGAGTCGCAAGTAATCTATCGGCCAGTCTTGCCGTTGAAATAACACCATGGACCTACGCTGGAGCCAGCTGGCAGCTCGTCATAGTCAAAACATGAGTGAGGCGGCCTCATCACGATCTCACTGGGGCTATATGGACGAACCTGTTCCCTGCGCAGGCGACAAGCCCACTTGCGAGTACCTCGATCTCGTTTACAATTCCCACGACCAAAGCGTACTATACGTCGGTATTTTATGGGTCTTGATTGGCGCCATCTTCCTGGCATGGGCCGTTGGAAGACAAGCGTTCTCACCCCCGTCGGATGCCAATATCATCTCTACCGCTCTTCTCGAGGGAGACTCGGACGCCCGAACGACGGACAGGGGCTTCTTCTATCGCCTGCGCCATGCAGCGACGTCTTTTACAAACAGATATCTACTTCGGGACTGCATCCGCCCAATCTTCGGCCAGACCACCCGCCTCCAGGTTCTGATTTTAGCTGTCCTGGCCGCCTATCTCCTGGTCTTTTCTTTCGTCGGCATGATTTATCGGACCTGGTTCACGCCGGTGAAAAACATGCCAGGTGTCTATCGAACGAGGACTACTCTTGGTCCCTGGTCTGACCGTGTCGGGCTTTTCGCCTACGCCCTTACGCCTTTATCAGTCCTTTTTGCCTCTAGGGAATCTGTCTTATCTCTTCTTACTGGTGTCCCCTATCAGAATTTCAACTTTCTTCACCGGTGGGTTGGATACATAATCGTTGCTCAGTCGACCCTTCATACTATCGGATGGCTGATTATTGAGCTCCATCTCTACCAACCTCAACCTCAGGTTTGGTTAGACCTAATGTCTAACCTCTATATACTATGGGGCTGGGCAGCTATCTGTCTTCTTTTGGCTCTTTATATTCTCAGTTTGCCCCCTGTTATCCGTCTCACTGGGTACGAATTTTTCCGAAAGTCGCATTATGTACTCGCCATGGTATATATAGGCGCCTGTATCGGCCACTGGAAGGAACTAGAGGCTTTCATGATCCCCTCCCTTGTTATTTGGTTCTTGGACCGTATAGTCCGCGGTATAAGGACTGCTCTGATACACTACAACTTCATAGAAGGCAATTCGCGGATGGGCTTCTCTGCTGCCCAGGCTGCTACGACCATTTTCCCGGACCCCGAGAACGGCGACGTCGTTCGCCTCGACTTCTTCCATCCACATGATCCGTGGGAAATCGGCCAACACTTCTATTTGTGCTTCACGGAAAGCAGTATCTGGCAATCACATCCATTCACCCCGCTTAACATTCCTGTCTCTGATAGCGGCCGCACGAAGCACTCGTATATCTTTCGCGCCAAGGGTGGAGAGACCAAAAAGATCATAGACATTGCCCGCCGCAAGATTGACAGCCATGAGTCTGCTGTTGTCCCCACGACAGAAAATAACAACGCCGCGCCTACCGTCTCTGTCGTTTTGACCGGCCCTTACGGCGATCCGATCCTCCGCAACATCACCTCCGACGTCAACGTCTTGTGCGTCGCCGGTGGGACCGGCGTAACCTACGTGCTCCCGGCGATCATGAGCTTCAAGAAAGGTTTCGTGGGCCGCGCCAAAACATCTCGGAAGCTCGAGCTCGTGTGGATTGTTCGGCATCTGAGGGATGCTCAGTGGATCAGATCGGAACTCGATGTTTTGGCGGCCGAGGAAGGCCCTGAGGTGGTCGTGCGAATTCTGGCGACGCGCGACGCAGGTGGCAGTAGTTCCTCGCGCGAACCGTCCGAATCCGACTCTCCGTCTCACAGCGCGGAGACCACCGCTGAAAAGGAGTGTCAGGCGGTTGCGCAGCCGATAGGCGGGCATCCCGACGTGGGCACAATTGTACGGCAATTCGTCGACGAGACCATATCCGGACGGACGGCCGTTTTTGCTAGTGGGCCGGGCGGCTTGATGTCCAAAATTCGCACGGCTGTTGCAGACTGCAACGAGGCGGGCAGGGTGTGGAATGGACAGGAGAGATATGACGTGTCGCTTATATACGATGAACGCATGGAGCGATGAAGTTTGGTGTCCTACTATATATCATAGCTATAGATGACTTTGTAGATACAGCCTAATACATATGGGATTAAAACTGTAGAATTGTGACATCCCGTCAACCGCGAGAAGGCTCCATCTCTACCAGAAATGTGGAGTAGTAATCGCTAGGGGCCTAACTATTATTTCTACTTATGAAGTTAGGGAAAAGAGGGCTTCGCTAAAATTAAGTTAAGACAAGGGAGAAAGTAAAAGTCAACATATATATACAGAAAGACTTATAGGGCGAAATCGAGAAGCTTGGAGGATTACTCGAAAAGATTATAGCTAGTTGTTCCTGAACTGATCCAGAAGCCACCTATACTTTCTCCCACGCTTGTTTAGATGCCGCGATTTGCCTCTCGGTGTGCTCCACATATCTTTCCATCTCGGATTCCATGACAATTAAAAGTTCAGGCCTATCTCCACCTAGATAGAGTTTATAAAGTTCTGCCTAGTATATAGCGTCAACATAGTCAGCATTATAGGCAGCGTAGTTAAACCAGCACTGCTTGTTAGTCCAAGATTCAAGCATCACAGTAGACAGTGGCTTCTGTCCTTCCTTAGCTTCTTGTCCCCCTTGCTCTACCTTCTTCATAACAGCCAGAAACCGCTCTAAATAAGACTAATAGGTTTTTAAAACCTAAGGGAAAAAGTCTCTTTTAAGACACTAGCCTAGAAGTACTCTATGTAACCACAATAGCGGATCTTATGCAAACTGAGCTGGCATAGAGTTAGTGAATTCGAGATCGAAAATGCCCATAATGCGGCCGGTATTTGGATTAAGGACCATATTTTGCGGATCGAGATCCAGGTTGAAGGGGAGGAAAGGGCCTCTGTCATCCATACGGTCGCAGAACAGAGGAATAAGCTGTTTAAAGCCTATACAGGCTTTGAACCTCAGTCAGGAGATTTCGGCAGCCTGCTTCAGAACGTCCTGTTTGTAATTGTGCGGCACGTTTAGATTGCGCAGTCCCTAGAGCTAGTTATGCTGCTAATCCACTACAAAGTTAAAGTAGTCGCTAGATCGCTGCAATAGCTTAGTAGGCCATTTATTAGTCTGGTATCTGTAAACACCTAACAGGAGCTGGTGTATGTCTATAGTAAAGGGGCGTTATGTGACTTCCTACTGACTTAAGAGTCTATGCTTAGTAATAGACCTAATCTTTTTAAAATACAAGCGGTTAAGTTAGAAGTAGAACCCAGCCAGTTGTTTGTAGACAGTCAAGAGCATAATATTAGCAGCTGTGTCCTTACCTAGTGCTAATAGGCTTGCTAGGAATTTGCAGAGGTTATCTCCTTTAATAAAGTCTATTAGAACAAAAGGTAGATTAAGTGTTAGGTTGTTGGAAGTTTGTAAGCTAGAATTGTGTACTTATAGAATAGGTATAGTGGTATTTGCTTTTAGGTATTCTATTTATATAACTTCATTTACTAACTTCTCTGTGGCAAGAGCTAGAGGTGTATGTCCTAGCTTAGGAAATCAAAGCGCTGTATTGTTTCTAGTAGGGAATTGAAACTAGAACACCATGTTATAGGACCCTTTAGCCCTTTTAACGAACTTTGCTAGACCGCAGTTCAACTTTTTAGTAACAAAAACTTCTAGCTTACTGATAACACTGTTATTAATAGCTAGCAATTACTAATACTTGTATTGCTTGCTGCCTTTACTATAAAGCAAACTGTTATACGTAATAGTTAGTGAGGATGTTAGAAATTGCTGTCCTATAGTAAAATATAAGGTAGAGGAATAATAGTGTTAAGGGATAGGGAGATAAGGAGAGGGCGAGATAGAAGGAAAGTAGAGGGGATTACCCGCTCGTCTGCGACATAACGTAAACTATTTTAGTTACTTGATTTACTTAGCAAAGCGTCTATAAACTCTATACTAAAAAATAAAACTTGTGTAGAGCTAATGTTTAAGCTTAATTTGATCTTAGACTACGGATATGCCGATATAGGTATGAAAAGAAGACCGTATTTATAATATTTATAGTGATAACACATAAGATAAGACCAGAGCTCAGGTTGTGCACTAGTACGGCCACAGGAAGCCCTATAGAAAACTGAAGGGGTCCCATATGTCAGCTTAGGTAGGGATTGTTAAGCTAAATTATTATGACTGGTCAAAGCAGCTCTTGAGAACAGTGACATGACAGAACATGAGCCAAGCCGGACTTCAATCTCTTGATAAGGTATAGTCTAATAGTGCCTTTAGTATAGTTAACTAAAGTACTATATAAAGTAATCTAGACTTAGTAAGTTTGATCAGGCGCAGAAAAATGCAGTTCTTTGTTAGGCGCCCAGAGACAGGGTAGGGCTGTATGTAGATAGACTATTACCTAAAGGATATATAAAAAGGGGATTTACAGGAACTCTAGGATAAGGGAAAGTGTTGGTTTCACTAGGGTGGTGATACGGTTAACTATATGTATTAATAGGTAATAATAAATAATAGGGGTAAATACTAGTTCTAAATTATACGTAAAAAAGGAAAACTATTATAGGATTACGTGGCGAATTTACTACGTAATATCCCTATAGATCTAGTAGATCTACAGCAAATTAGCTGTAGTTATTCTAGCCGATTAGCGTTAATCTATACTGCTAATATCTAGGTAATAGTTAATATTATAACACTAGTAACCTTCTAAAGTGCTATAAATTATCCTATTTTCTAGTTATCTATAAAGGGCCTAAAAATATAATAAAAACAAAAGGCTAAAAAGTATTTAATACTTTTTATATATATAACCTATTATATATATAAAACCTATCTATTTATCTATATCTCTAATTAACTACTGTTAATTAACTGCTCTAGCGCTTTATTAGGTAATACCTTTATAAATCTATCTACTAGGTTATTTTCCCTTTATATCTATTAGATTTTATAAATCTTATATTACTTATATAACTAGTAAAGCGCTATAATATTAATTATAAGTTACTTCTCCTTAGTAGTGCTAAGCTTTATAAGGCACTTATAGAGGGAGTATAAGTTAGTATAAAGGATTATTAGGATTTATAGTAACTTAAGGTAGTTAGTAATTATTATAAGTATAGTGTTAATTATATAGGTAACGTTAGCGCTAGTAACTATACTATAGACTTTAGAGGCTAGCACACTATATATAACTTTTTTATACTTTATTAAGCTAAAGTAAATAATATTACTAGTAAGTATAAATTTCTTATTATTAGTAGTAAGTTATATAATATTACTTTTATTAGTAAGTATAATAATAAAGCTAAGTTATAAGGTAAAATTATAGTTATTTATAAATAAGCTATTAATAAAAATAAAAAGCTTTATAGTTATAAGGTTAATTAGCTAAAAGAGTAGGCTGTAGTTAAAGTAACTTATTTACTACTTAATTTAGTAGTTAAGAGCCTTAATCTCCTCCTTTATAGGCTTTTAGTGTTATATAGTAACTAAATAGTTAAAGTAAGCCTTAGGTTAGTATATTAATATAATATATACCTTATAGGCCTTTTACTAGATAAAATCTTACTTAGTAGTAAGTAAATTTATATTAATAAGCTAAAGCTTTTTGCCTTAATCTTTTTAGTAAAAATTTATTTTACTATTATAGCTAAGGGAAAGCACGCTACTATTAAAGGTAATAAAATTATTAATAGTTAATAGTTACTTAGGCTTTATAGTAAAAGTTACTTTCTTAAGCTTTTTCTTCTTATAAGTAAAAGATTTATTATTTATAAGGCTAATTATATTATCTATTTATATACTAATAAGGCTAAAATCCTTATTATTAGCTAATAAAATAAGTAAGTAGGAGTTAAAGGTTAATAAATTTATCTAGAGATTTTTTTTATAATAGTAGTTATATATAGCCTACTAGTAGGTGCCTACCTTAGTAATACTATAAAGCAGCTTTATTACCTTTATAATAGAGTTACTAAGGTAAAGGTAGTAAATTTATATAAAAAGTCTTATAAGAATAATATAGTTAAGTAGTGTTATAGATTAGGTATACGCCTAGGTAATATTATATAACTAGAGGTAAAATCTATATTATAAAAGTAATAAGGTAAAAGTAAAGATTAGTTACTAGGCTATTTATTAGATTATAAGTAACTATATAAGAATTATTTTCTTACTATTATTAGTATAACTTTAGATAACTAACTATAATTTTTTATATAGTTACTTATTTTTCTTTTTAACCTTACGTACTATATATAACTTAAAGATCTATATATTACTATACGTTTTCTTATTATAAGTAATAATATAAAATATACTATAGTTAATAAGGGCTTTTACCTCTACCTTATTAGATTCTTTAAAGGGCTTACTAGGTTTAGTAATAATACCTTTTTTTTATAGTTTAATAGTAAGTATATAGTTAGCTTCCTTCTTTATAGTAAGGTATATATTAAAGACGTTAATAGTAAGGTGTATTTTATAAAAAAAGGTAGTAATTAGGTTCTTTTATAGGTAGCTATAGCCTTACTATAAGGGCAGCTTATTATTAATAATAATAGTATTACGTATTTCCTTTATAAATTTACTAGTTATTATAGGTTTTTCTTCTTATACTTATATAAGATTATTACCCCCTTTAGCTACTATTAGTAGTAGTACTAATTAAGCTTCTTCTTTTACTATATAATATAGCTTTACTATAGTAATATAAAGGTTATATAGGCTATAAAGTAATTTAATAGTATAAGTAGTACTATTATTAGTAAGTAAGTAAAATAGGCCTTACTAGCTATTTTTCTTATGCTATATATAGATAAGTAATTAAAGGGGTAGTACTATAGTATTTATTATATTTAGGCTATTATATATTACTAGCATATTACGTACTTATCTCTTTATATAGATTTACTACACTACGTTTATAGCCTTTTTTACTACTTTAGCGTGCTACGTAGTAGAAGGGGTAGGTAGTAAATTATCTATAATATAGGGGTATACCCTAAAAATAAGTAGAGTTAGTATAAGGCTATTAGGGCTAGTAGTATTATTAATAGCTTTAATAGCTAATTAAAGGGTAACTTTAGGCTTATAATTACTATCTATATAGATAATCTTATACGTATAGTAAAGGCAGTATAGTATTACTTAACCTTACTAATAGATTAATAGGCCTTAATAAGCACTTTATTAACCTTAATAAATAATATATAGGTAGTATATTTAAATTTAGCTATATAAAAATTTAGGCTAGTGTTAGTAGTAATCTAATTAGGCAGCCTAAGATATATATTAATCTAGTATATTTATAGTGCCTCTTATATATACTTTATAGTAACTAAATATAAGAATCTTACTATATTAAACGTAATAACTAAGTTAACTATATAAAGTATAGGCTTATTACTATCTATATATATTATATTAATAAAGATTTTATAGTTAAATTTATAGTTATTATATAGTATAAATTTAAAGCAGCTAGGCGCCTTTACGTTAAGTTAGTAGTAATAGTAGTACTTATTAATCTCTTTAAGTGTAGTAAGGGAAGTAGATTTACTTACTTATTTAAGTAACTTATAAAGGTAATTTACTAATAGGTAGCTAAATCTATAGTAAATCTAGCGTAATTTACTATTAGTTAAGTGTTACTTTATAATAGCGCTCTTAGGTAGCTCTAAAAGCATTTATATATAGCCTTATTTTTAGGTAATAGGTATAATAATCTTATCTTTAATAAGCTAGTTAGTAAGGTTATTAAATTTTACACTATAGTAATCTATATCTTATAAGTAAAAGAGAAATAGCGTATTACTTATTATTATATAGAAAACAAGCTTACTAATTAGTATAGGTATATAGATTACCTTAAGGGATTTATAGTAATTCCTACTACTAAAGTAAATTATTACTTTACTAGTGTAGGTAGTATTTAGTAGGATCTCCTTACTAAGGTGTTTTTTAAAGGTAAAGTACTACTACTAGCTAGCTGTAGATATCTTAGCTACGCCTATATTAGGCATAATGCCTTAAAAGGTAGACATAAAGTAGTAGTTATTAAATATAAAAATATTACTACTTTTTATAGTTACGTTAGGTAATTCTTCTTTATATAGATTTTTATAGGTAATAGTATAAAATATTACTTAGTTATATAACTTCTTATAGGTTAATAGGCTATTAATTAACTACTTACTAAAGTATATAGTTATAGTAAAAAACGTAGTAGATTTATAGTTTTTACTATTTAATAAGTAAATCTTACTATCTTTACTTACTTCTTTAAGATAACTTAGCTTATTACCTTTATAATTAATAAGAAAGTAACTAAAAGTAGTCTATAAAGCCTACGTAAAGTAGGTGCTTTTATACTATATAAAAAAGGCTTATTATTCCTCCTTTATATACTTAGTTAACTAATAGCCTAATTTACTATAGATAAAGCACTTTTTAGATAGATTACTATTAGGTAGTGCTTTACTACTAGCTAACTATAGAGGGCCTTATAAATAGCCTTACTATCTCTAGGGGTCTACCTTATAGTTACACTAGCTATTATACTTATAGTTAACTTAGTATTAGTTATTACTATAATTATTATTAGTAAAGTATTATAACTATAGCTTATAGTAAAGAAGTAAATTTACTATACTACTACGTAATTATATATAAAGGCTACTAAAGGTAGTAAGTAGATTAAGGATAGTAATAAAGTATTTAGGTATACTATAGTAGTAAGTAAGTAATTACTTATAATAATCTTTATTATATAAAGTACTATTATAAGTAGTTACCTATACTAACTAGGTAATTTATATAATAAGTGCCTTAAGTACTTTAAGCTTATTTTTACTAGCGTTTTCTTTAGTAATTAAATTAAAGGAGGTATAGTAAAGCTTAGCTAGGTATAAAAAGTATACTTTATTACCTTTAAAGTGTTATTTAAGCTTTACTATTATTATATTAAAATTATTAAAATAACTAAGTAATAAGGTAGTATAATACTTATATAGCTCCCCTTTAAGTATTACTATTACTACTACGTTATAGTAGTTTTATAGTATACCTATATAGATATAAAGGTTATAAAAAAATAGTAACTTTAAGTTAATAGTTTTATATAGGCTACTGCTATATATTAAACCTAGATTATTTATATAGAACTTTATTAAGTCTATTAATTACCTTAGCGTTAGGCTGTTTTACCTGCTTACTATTATAGCTGTTATAGCAGGCGTTACTAATAGTAAAAAACATAGTTAGACTTAGGCTTTATAGATTTCTACTGTTATCTAGGGTTTCTATAGTAATAAGGCTAGAGGAGGTATAAATAATAGATTGTTATAAGAGATTACCTAGGTAATTAGTAGTAATTTATAGGCTATAGCTTATTTAGCTACTTTTACTATAGTAATAGCCTTAATAAGTAACACTACTATACTAGTAATCTCTTTATAGAAATTATTATCTACTAAGCGCTCTCTAAATCCTCTAACTTTTTATATAGTAGTCTTAATTATCTCTTTATCTTAGATAATAGTTTTATTATTTTAAATAGCTTAGTAAAGACGTATTATAATTATAAAGTTTTTTACTTAATTAATTTACACTTTATAGCTTATAAGGCACTTATATAGCCTCTTAAGTATTTTATATAGTAGGAGGGTAAAATCCTTAGTTTACTAATCTTTAAAGTTAACTTATACTTTAGCTTAAAGGATACTATATAAATAGTTATTTACCTTATACTTAGTAATATAATACGCTACTATAGTAGTAAGGCTGTTATATTACTAGGCCTTAGTAAGATCTTTTAGTATATTTATAATATAATCTCTTTTCTAAAGATTAGAAATAATATGCTTTTTAAAGTTACTTAGTATAAGGTATAGGTTACTTATTATAGCTACTAGCCTTATAGCGTTATATAGTATTATATACTTATTATAAATTATTATAAGTTACTTAGTTAATTTACTTTCTTATATATTACTTATTATCTCTTTACGCTTACTTATCTTAGTTACTTACTTATAATTACCCTCTATTAGCCTAACTACCTCTTAGTTACAGGCGTTTCCTTTAACTATTATTAAAGGTGTAAAAGTATGGGTGGTGTGCCACGCCTGTCAATAGACCATTCTAGCATTGCCAAAAGATTAATTAGTTCAGGCACTAAGTGCCTGAAATGCACCACACATGGCCTTATAAAGGGTAACCAGGCTAACCCCTTACAATTGCCCCCCTTCTAATGCGACGCGTCCTGAGTCGCTTCAGGCCCACGTGCACTAGCGCCGGTACCTATGCGCTGGAGCATAAGGTCATGTTAACCCTGAAGGCCCTAGGCGCCTGGCACCTGGCGACAGCTGGGGGACCTCCGGCTGGCGCTAGGCTTGCCTATCGCACATCAGTCCCTCTAAGCCTAACGTAAGCTGCCCCTTATTTATGCCTAGCCAACTAATCCACTGATTGATGACCTTCCAGCCCCTTAAGGCCTACACTAAAGAGAGCGCGTAACAGTCAGGATTTGAACCTAGCCCCTGTCTAGCCAGAAGACCCACTTAGTGCCTAAACAATTATAAAGGTATAGGTGGTGTGCCACGCCTGTCAATAGACCATTCTAGCATTACCAAAAGATCAATTAGTTTAGGCACTAAGTGCCTGAAATGCACTACACATGGCCTTATAAAGGGTAACCAGGCTAACCCCTTACAAAAGGGCGTATACGTCTGTTAGAGGATTTACTACTAGTAGTATAGGTAATTATAAAGACTTAAGGTTAAATAAAAACTTAAAAAAGGGAAGGCTTATAGTAAGCTTATAGGTAATAAAGGCTATTATATAAGTAATATAAAATAATTTAGAGAAAAATAAGAAAAAAATATATAAAAAAAAGAAAGTTAGTAAGCTTTATAGGCTTATAATAAAAAGAAGGTAAAAGGTAAATAATTACTAATTAATAGTAAGTTAGTATATAAAGTAAGGTGTTTTTTATAGTTAGATAGGGGACTTCTTATATAGTAATAAAGTTAATTTACTTATATAAATAACGTAAATTTACACTACTCTTACTATATTAAGGGGATATAACTACTAGGTAACGTAAATTAACCTATAATAGGTGTATAGCATAATCTTACTATAAGGGTATTTATAGATAGGATTCTTAGTAACTAATTAAGGCTACTATAAATAATTAATAGAAAAATTACCTCTTCTTATGTCACCTTACTAATTTATAGTAGCTTATAGTAGTAGTTACTATAAAGTTAACTACTAATTAGTATTAGTTTTACTAGGGTGGTAATATAGTTAACTATACGTATTAATAGGTAAGTAATAAATAATAAGGGTAAATACTAGTTCTGAATTATACGTAAAGAAGGAAAACTATTATAGGATTACGTAGCGAATTCACTGCGTAATATCCCTGTGGATCTAGTAGATCTATAGCGAATTAGCTGTAGTTATTCCGGCCAATTAGCGTTAATCCATACCGCTGATATCCAGGCGATGGTTAACATCGTAACAGAAAGGGTAGATGGGAATAAATAGTATTACTAACCCTTAAAAACACTTATTGTTTCCTCCCTTACTTAGTTCCCTCTAATATTCTTCTTAATGTTCATTTACAGTATGCCTGGAGATGTTTCGTCTTCATTAGCCATACACACATCTACTGATCTGTAAACACAAGGTTTTAGGCAATGACGACATCCCTACAAAGCCACTGACATAAGATCTTAGCCCCCGCTGTGACCACTGGTCCTAAATATCTGAATGAAGGGACCCCTTCCCCTAAACTTGGAGATTAGACTTTACAACGGACTTTCCTTCTGCAGCTGGTAACAGCTCAACTGCATATCTCTAATTCAACGTCAGTGATTCACCGCCAGCCTCAAAAAAATCCCCAAGATGGACCCAGCTCAACTGCCTTCGTGGGACCTCCCTGAGGGCGTCATCTCACGTTATGTCGACACGTCCCCTGTAGGACTGAAATTCCACATCCTCGAGTCTTTTCCAGACGCCGTATCCCCAAGTCGTCTCCCACCGTTGGCCCTTCTCCTTCACGGCTTCCCGAACCTATCCCACGACTGGCGCTTTGTGATGCCAAAGCTCGCCGAGGCCGGGTACTACGCGGTAGCTTTAGACATGAGGGGCTTCGGCCGCACACACAACGCGGATCTCAGTCCCATCAGTGAAAACTCGTTCCGTCTCATGACTGCATTGCGGGACGTTGTCACGCTCGTCCACGCCCTTGGGTATGAGACCGTCCACGCCCTGGTGGGACACGATATTGGGGCGTTTGTGGCTTCGCTCTGCGCCGTCGTGCGAGGAGACATGATCAAGTCCCTTGTGCTGATGTCGCACCCGTTCAAAGTCTCTCCTCAGCTGCCGTTCGGTACGGCGGTCTCTCCCCTGCTGGTCTCCGCTGCCTCCAAGGGTGCTGGACGTGGGTGCTGGACGTGGCAAGGGGGAAGCAAACAAGGCTGACCCCGGTATTCGGTCATCACTCTTGAAGCTTGACCCACCCCGGAAGCATTACAAGTACTACAACGCATCTCCTGAAGCAGCCGAAGAGTGGACCAATCCGACCGGCGAGCCGATGCGCCGGTTCCTCAGAGGTCATTTCCACCTCAAGTCGGCAGCTTACAGCTTGAACAGGCCAAGGCCCCTCGCATCGTGGACCGCAGAGCAGCTCGCCGTCATGCCGCACTACTACGTCATGAGAGCCGAGCTGTCGATGCGCGGAAACGTGGAGCTGGACATGTCTGACGAGCCGGCCGAGATCCGCGACAGACTCGGCGAGACACGGTGGCTCACCGACGCGGATCTCCAGGTGTACACGGACAAGTTCTCGCGCAACACCTTCGGTCCTCCTTTGCTGTGGTACAAAGTGCTCGTGGACACGAGCCTTTCGGCGGATCTCCTGTGTTTCGCGGGGACAAAGATCGGTGTCCCGACAAAGTACGTCTCTGGAACAAGCGACTGGGGTACGTATCAGGTCCCAGGCTCTCTCGACGCAATGGAGAATGGGGAGGGTGTTTGAGACGGCTGCTGGAAGGGAGCCGCTCATGTTCCCGGCGCTGGGCACTAGGTCAACAAGGAGAAGCCTGAGGAAAGCGTCAAGGAAATCTTGGCGCTGGCGAGTTCTGTCTAGTTAGGTTCAAGGTATAGAAGTGTTTGAGGGCAAGGATTGTTTGTCTGGCCAGATCTGATTCCTTTGTTTGCATTGAAACATACATTTTGTGCCAGAAGCTCTGTATCACTTATCTCGACAGGATTACACCAAATGATCGGATTAATGGATGCTTTATTGTCTTCGTGACAGGCTCAAAGAAATGTAGTCCTTTTCTGTACAACGGATTCAGTGCAGGCACAGGATATCACCTACAAGACACAACCTAGGACGATGACTGTCTTCATTCCCTCATTTACGTGCCATATTGTCCCGCCCATCATGAGGAAGCTTCCATCAGCCTTAAAAGCACAGTTCTATAGGGAAAGGTTTGGGTCTCTTTCCTCTTGCTTGAAGAAACATGGTCACGAATCGTCTGGGCCCGAGTCTAGGATTGGCGATTGGGTTGGTTATAGAAAGGAGGAGCGAGCCGCAGCAGGCAGGCAGGCAGGCATGCAGGCATGCAGGCGTGGGCAACTCACGGTCGGCAGGGCTGGCTGTACAGTCAGTAACGGAATGCACTGCACAATGATGGTGTGCAGGTCCTAGGAAGTGGCAAGTACCAGATTCTTAACAAACCAAGACTCTGGTTCGTATCTCTCGAGCGTGATGGTTCGTGAGTAGCAGAACCTGTGGAGGAGCCGACCATGGAACCTTGAACCTTTGTCCTGTTCACCCGATCCTGGGGAGGGAGCCCAAAAATCCCAGATTCCAACCCGTCTCATTTTTCTCTTGGATTGATGGGAAATTCTCTTGTGTAGAGATGTCGAGGATTTCAGTACTGATACACCCAACGATTGTGGGAGGCCGCTTGCTCCACTCATCTCACATTGGCTTCATCTACACTTCACCCGTTCCTTCCAAAGGCAACACTATAAAGACAAAAGCAGAAAGGCGAGGCGAGGCGAGGCGAGGCGAAGTATCGGAGAAACAGTCCTCAAGGTCGCCGTACCTTCTAGTACCCATCTCCGATGGCCTCTGCTTCCACCTTCTTCTCCCCAGTCTGCAATTCACTGCTCCCTCCCCGTTCTTCTTCCTCTTCCATCTTTTCTCTCCAGATCTCTCTTCCTGTCCATACTTCTCTGAATCCTTTCATACTCTTTAACCCGTATTGACTTCTCCCCAGCTTGGCCCGCTTCTGGTACATATTCATTTGGCTGGGCCGAGTCAATTACTTCACAACACCATTCTATTACTCGTCTTTGGACGCTTCAGTTCTTCCTCACGACCCCGTCCATCTTCTTCATTGCCCTACCAAAGACAACAGCAACGCCGCTCAAAGCAAGCAACAACATCTACGACACCAATCCCACTGGACGCGTCCATCGCTTCCAATTCTGTTCCCAATCACACACACATATACGTACGCGCGCGCGCGCTCGCAACAGGTCTCTCCATGTGCCAAGCCGAGAACAGGCAGTGCACTGGGTGCAGGCGGATTCGCCCCTGGATCCGTAGGTGCGAATCATACGACTCTGCTGCTGATTCCTGCGTAAACATGAATCTCGAAAACCCCCCTCTGAAGCCTCATTACCAGCTTTGCGACAACCTCGAATGCCCATTCGTCAATCCCGTCCTGCAAGGGTCCAACCCAGGCCTCGATCTCGATGACTTCGCTGGCATCATGATGCTGAAGCAGGCCAACGACGAGATGGACGCGACCGCGGCGCTGGTCGCCACGGGTGCCACGTCCGAGACTGTGCAGCCTCAAACGGGGGAGCAGATCGCCGCTGTGGTCGATGCCAGTGGTGGCATTGGTGACGACTCTCTCGGGCCTATCTTCGGCAACGGCGCCAGTCGTGCGAGCACCCCAGGAGTGTACTTGCCACAGATGCCGGAGACTCCTGGTTCGCCGGTTGAGCCTATGGTCGGAATCGACATGCCGAGCGAGCACGAGGGTGTCGAAACTGCAACCCAAGTTTCCAATGGCAGTCTGCTTGCTTTTCAACCGGGTTCGAACGAACGGCCGGACATTCAAATGCAACAGACTGATGCCCAGACTCAAGCCATCGCGGCCAGTCAACCACAGCCCGAAGAGCAGCTTTATATCGACCCGAAGCTCCTCACTAAGACTGCCTCGCCTTTCTCTTTCCCGGATGCTCCGACGGTGACCAACACTGCGGCCGTGGCCCAACCTCTGAGAGAGCCCGAAAGCTCGAACATCACACGTCCTCATCTTCCCAACATATCAACTTCGGACCCTAGCCCGGGTCTCTCTCAGGCCAATTCACAAATCCCCGTCGCCCAAATGAGAGTCTCGTCCGAGCCGAACATGATGCAGCGAAAAAGAAGAATACCCCTGAATCGCGGGCTCAGCCCGCTGGTGGCGGCGGCAACGACACCGACCGTCAACCCAGTTCAAGGATCTCAGCTGCTCCCGCGCACCCAGACTGCGCAGGTCACCCAAACCCGCCCGATGCGCCCTGTGGACCAGGCGCTCATGAGAAGGCTCATGGACCCCAGGTCTTCGCACCCACAACGGCGAAGAACGGTCTTCAGAATGTCCAGGAGCCAGGAGCTCGCTGGCACGCCGGCGCAAGATCAACAACCATCGGCTACAGGACAACCCCAAGACGGTTTGCGGAACTTGGGCGACGGCATGGCATCGAGAACACCGCACCCCGAGTCGAATACAAGTTTTGAGGCTCAAGCGCTCCGACTACGCGCCCAGCATTACGTCCCAGTGAGCCAGCCAAGCCCCGCCCCTTTGGAGGCAATGAACAATGAACCATCGGTTGAGCACTACGCGTACATGGCCGCGTATTACAGCAAGCCTGTGGTCCGCCCACGGTCGAACTGGGATAGACTTTTTGAGCGTCGCACCCGCGCGCCGCCACGGGAGGAATCCGCCAGTTTGAATGAGGCTGGGCCAGGCTTTGTGCAGCAGGCCCCTCCCAACTCTGAACCGGGTCCTTGGTCCCCTTTGCATTCCCAGTTGCAGCCTTCTTCTGGCCATGGAATCCCGCAGCCCCAGCCCGCGTTGACATCCGATGCCACGATGATAGTGTCTTCCAATACAGCGGTACCGCAGATTCAATCCACGGCGCTGGATAACGACCGTGTCTTCTGGGACCATTTTCCGCAAAGCACGCTTCAGACAAACATGCTTGGACAGAATAGCTTCCAGCAGAATGACTTACAGCAAAACGGCTTCCAGCAGAATGGCTTTCAGAAGAATAGATTTCAGCAGAATGACTTCTAGCAGAATATCTTCCCGCACAATATATTCCAGCAGAATGGCTTTCAGCAGAATATCTTCCTGCAGAATAGCATCCAGCAGAATATCTTCCTGCAGAATAGCATCCAGCAGAATGGCTTCCAGCAGAATGGCTTCCAGCAAAATAGCTCCTAGCAGAATAGCATCAAGCAGAATAGCATCAAGCAGAATAGCATCAAGCAGAATAGCATCAAGCAGAATAGCATCAAGCAGAATAGCATCCAGCAGAATAGCATCCAGCAGAATGGCTTCCAGCAGAATGGCTTCCAGCAGAATGACTTCCAGCAGAATAGCATCCAGCAGAACGGCTTCCAGCAGAATGGCTCCCGGCAGAATGGCTCCCAGCAAAACAGCTTCTAGCATAACGGCCACTAGCAAAACAGCAATACGCCAACGGCGTGCCCAACAGGTCCTCTATACGACCATTATATGATGGAAGTCCAACGCCCAGCCAAGCGTGAGAGAACCGGCAACGGAACTTACAGAACGCACCAATACCAAGGCTAAAACCAAAGACAAGCAGAATGAATGAGGTGGAATGAATGCGTTGGAGATGGTCTTGGGCGTTAGGTTGATTGTGTGCAAGGGATATGATGTTAGGCAAAGTCAGGGGAGCAACAGATTACATACAGCACGCTTTGCCAAAGGATTGAGGACTCATCATGTCACCATCACGGAGGCTAAAGGGTCCAATGGGTTCATTAATGGGAATATTGTCCCGACATTGAAGTCTATCATAACACACTCGCAGAAAGATGCTCATACATAGTCATACCCATCCCAATAAACACATAGAATGCCCCAATTATACCCGTACACCCCAACCCCCGTATTGTTACGCCGACCATTTCTCTCTCTCTCCAAATGTCTAATCGCGCAGGTACTTGAGGATCTGGTCGCGCTCCTCAGGCGGCATGGTGCGAATGACATCACGAACGCCACGCATGGCAGCGCTCTGGTTGGCTCTCAGAACTGAGCTCAGCTCAGTAGCCAGGTTGTCGGCCTTGACGGCCTCAATTCTTTCCGTGATGGACTTGCGGTTGGCCTCGTACCACTCAGACACCTCACGGTCAGCGGTCGCGAAGTTGACGACGCCGGACCAGCTCTCGAGGAATTGCAGGTTGCGCTTGCGAGCATCGGAAGCCTTGGTGGCATCACCGCCAGGGGCAGCAGTGATGACGGTCGACGACATGCGTCGGAGGAGGTACTCCTCGTTGAGACGACGGCGCAGGCGCCAGTAGAAGTAGCGGCGGGAGTTGGTCCACACGAGCTGGTCGCGAATGACACCCTTGGCCTTCATGCGGCCGGAGCGGTCGTGAAGGTCGGCGAACTGGAGGGCAATCTGCGAGTAGACGGGCAGGAGCTGCTTCTCGCGGATGGTCATCTTCTTCTTGAGCTCGTCGGCCTGCTCCTTGGGCAGGTCGGCGGCCATCTGCTTCTTAAGAGAGGCGTACACAGGGTCCAGGCGAGCCATGGTCTCAAGCTGCTTGTCCTTACGGTACTTGATACCGATGATACCCTCGGGCTCGAGGACACCACCACGGGCGTCGACATCGGCGTACATCTCCATGGCCTCAGGGTTGATGGTGGGGTCGACAACGACCCAGGAGCCACCACGAAGCTCTCCAAAAGGAGGAATGTAAACGAAGATTGGCTGCTCGTACTTGACAAGGGCATCGACGATGTAGGATCCGTACTTCAAGACCTCGTTGTACATGTCGCGCTGACCACCGGAGAAACCTCTCCAGTTGGCGAGGATCATGAG